TGGGTGTTGTTTTTGAGTTTTTTTCAAAAGAAATACTTCAGTGAGATCCTCAAAGTACTTGATATCAAAGTGCCCTACTGTCAGACTCCTAAGTCTTTGACCCAAAGATGATGTTCACTATAAAGAAAATCTGGATCAGATATGAGTGACCAAATTGTTTCTCAAAGCAAGACTCTATTATTAGACCAAACATGATGACTTATTACAATCCATTTATCAACAGGTTTTTGTTTGATAAAACTATGTTTTTTAAGATTGGCTACGATTGAGACTAGACTTGAGCAACTGTACCCTCTAATTATGTCATGAGCCAATGAAACCACTCACCATCATTGCCAGTTCAATCATGTATCACTTTCTGGATGCAAAAATATAAATACTTGCTCAAGTAATCTGAAGAGCCATCATTCTTCTTGTCAGGAATCTCTACAGAGACAACATAGAATTTCTAAAGAGTTTCTCTCTCTTGATCAAGATTTTGAATCAATAGCATTTTTTGACTGCATATTAACAATCTTGTCCTTTTGAAAGCAAAGTGTGTGTGATTTCTTTCCTTTTCCTCCGCTTCCCAAAAATTTGCTAGGTTGGTAAGATTCAAGAACAAGGATTGTCCCCTGATCAAAAGATCTGTGATGATGCTAAATTTGATTTTTTATAGTTGATAGGTCCTGTTGTCTAGGATTTGACACCCAAAGAACATTTCCTTGAGATTTGGTTTCTCAATTACACCTTTTTTCTACTTCTCCAATCCTTTATTTCATCTTTTCCATTAATTACTGCTTCTAATTAGAGAAACATCAGACTGACCAACTCTCACAATTGATTTTGTTTCAAGTCTTCAATATATAGAAGGTTATCTGTTGTGGAAGATTTATCACCAATCACAAGCTTTTTGGAAGTATCTTTTCAGGTAAGTTTTCAGAAACTTGAGAATCATCCATTGATGAGGCTCTATCCAATTTGAAGTAGTCCATTCAAATACTGATCCACAAAATAATGTGAGCTTATAGGGATGTTTTACAAACCTTATGCTACATTCATTATCTTGATGGTCATGCATAACATCACAATGGGATCTGACCCTCCAGTGGAGGATTGTCACTGTGGTTTTCCCCGAACATTTCTTGACTATTACCCACACCAATGTGATCAACTTCTTAGGTGTACCTGTGATCCACCTCGAGTTACTAAAACAACTAGTTGTGAAGCAGATATCATCATAAAGGAATTTTCTTGCTCAAACCCAAGGTGTGGTAGTTTATACAACCAGAGCAATTGTCAATCAAACCATATAAGTGCCTGTAGTATTGTTCATCATGGTTGAATATATATCCCTCAAGTGTCAAAGTTGAATTGATCTAATCTCTATAAAACAAAACCAATTTAGTGGTAATAATGCATTTTGAATTGATTGAATTACTTTTCATTTATCCTAGATAAGTACTTTGGCTAGTGAAAAGTTTCTTGTAAGAATTCACCAATGAATCTGAAAATAGTTTATGGAAATCTTTTGTTCATTTTTTCTGATACAAGATGAGGCCAGTAAAGATTTTTTTCAAACTCAATATCGGCACTTATATGGTTTGATTGACAATTGCTCTGGTTGTATAAACTACCACACCTTGGGTTTGAGCAAGAAAATTCCTTTATGATGATATCTGCTTCACAACTAGTTGTTTTAGTAACTCGAGGTGGATCACAGGTACACCTAAGAAGTTGATCACATTGGTGTGGGTAATAGTCAAGAAATGTTCGGGGAAAACCACAGTGACAATCCTCCACTGGAGGGTCAGATCCCATTGTGATGTTATGCATGACCATCAAGATAATGAATGTAGCATAAGGTTTGTAAAACATCCCTATAAGCTCACATTATTTCGTGGATCAGTATTTGAATGGACTACTTCAAATTGGATAGAGCCTCATCAATGGATGATTCTCAAGTTTCTGAAAACTTACCTGAAAAGATACTTCCAAAAAGCTTGTGATTGGTGATAAATCTTCCACAACAGATAACCTTCTATATATTGAAGACTTGAAACAAAATCAATTGTGAGAGTTGGTCAGTCTGACGTTTCTCTAATTAGAAGCAGTAATTAATGGAAAAGATGAAATAAAGGATTGGAGAAGTAGAAAAAAGGTGTAATTGAGAAACCAAATCTCAAGGAAATGTTCTTTGGGTGTCAAATCCTAGACAACAGGACCTATCAACTATAAAAAATCAAATTTAGCATCATCACAGATCTTTTGATCAGGGGACAATCCTTGTTCTTGAATCTTACCAACCTAGCAAATTTTTGGGAAGCGGAGGAAAAGGAAAGAAATCACACACACTTTGCTTTCAAAAGGACAAGATTGTTAATATGCAGTCAAAAAATGCTATTGATTCAAAATCTTGATCAAGAGAGAGAAACTCTTTAGAAATTCTATGTTGTCTCTGTAGAGATTCCTGACAAGAAGAATGATGGCTCTTCAGATTACTTGAGCAAGTATTTATATTTTTGCATCCAGAAAGTGATACATGATTGAACTGGCAATGATGGTGAGTGGTTTCATTGGCTCATGACATAATTAGAGGGTACAGTTGCTCAAGTCTAGTCTCAATCGTAGCCAATCTTAAAAAACATAGTTTTATCAAACAAAAACCTGTTGATAAATGGATTGTAATAAGTCATCATGTTTGGTCTAATAATAGAGTCTTGCTTTGAGAAACAATTTGGTCACTCATATCTGATCCAGATTTTCTTTATAGTGAACATCATCTTTGGGTCAAAGACTTAGGAGTCTGACAGTAGGGCACTTTGATATCAAGTACTTTGAGGATCTCACTGAAGTATTTCTTTTGAAAAAAACTCAAAAACAACACCCAAAAATTGATTTGGCATTATATACTAGAAGGAAAACAATTGGGTCTTGGGGGCGGGCCTGGCACAGGGCTAGGACATGGTTGAGACTTGAGGATATTGAGTAGGCAGAAGTGAGGTTAAGACATTCATCTGAAAATCAGAAGGAGATGTAAAAAGACATACCACAAGATCCAGTCTGAGAAGATGTGCAGTACGTAGGAATTTACACAAGGCACAATGTGTGGAACAAGTCCATGAAGGCATGCACCGTGAAGACAGAGGATGATAAAATGGAAAAGAGGAAAAGAATGGCCTGTCCGTTTATTTCCCAAAAGAGACATATCAAATTCCCACTCTTGACTGCGGTCTTACGGGAAATATTAGAGTGTCTTACATCATTAGAACTCTACAGTTGTGGCACATACACTTAGTAGGTGATGTATAAAGCTCCATGCTGAGCATAATATATTTCATTCCTTTTCCCAACCGTTTCACTTTACATCTTTCACTTCCACTAACTAATCATAACAAGCACAACTGAAATTATCCATATCTTAGTTTTGTAAGGATCCCCTACTTCTAGAGTTAACAAGAACTCTTTAGCAACTAGCTAACAAGATAATTTTTCTCCAACCTGCCCTCCCTATATAATAACAGGAGAGCACCAGTCTCCCACTGTGCCCGTGGAGGGCGCCCTAGACGTCAGGGGCCCTCAAGAGTACAGAGGGAAGCCTTTGTACTTGTTGGAGCCCCCGACGTCTGGGGCGCTCTCCACGGGCACAGTGTCCTGTTGGGAGACTCTGGCTCTCCTTGCTCTTGTCTTTATAAGAGGACCCATTCCTCTATGTTTGGTGGAAGGCAGAAAAACCCTTCTTGGCAAACATGAAGAACAGCTTCCTCTTGGAAACTGGCCCTCTCAAATGATCTCATGATTTGAGAGAGCTTCTAGCCCACATAATATCCTTGCTTGCCCAGTAATTAAACTGGGCAAGAGACAGGGTTCATCTCTTAGGAGATTGACAAGACATGAGATAATGGAGCAAAAGGGAAGTATGCTAGTTATCTACAGTACTTGTACCAGTCAAGTCTTTGGTCCCTAACATAATCATTGTATTAATTAGTTCATCTATTTCCATCATCAACAAAAAATCTTTTCTATCAATACAGTATCATTCCAATTCTATTAATAGTGAATTTTTTTTGTGAAACCCTCTGTCCCTCCCAAAAAGGCTTAAAGTCATATGTATTATAGGTTTTTGTATCTTGATAACTCTAACTTGTAGCCACCCCAAGGGTCAGGGGTTTGGCAGCTAGTGCTTTCTCTCTCAAGCAGTAGTGTTAAGAAATCAGATCTCAGGATTGTGGTGGAACTTCAATTTTAATTTGATGTAATTTAAAAAAAAACATAACTAAAGAACAAACAAAAGCCAAAAACACTCCTCCTATGTTGATCCACCTTGATAAACAAGAATTTTGAACTTCAAATGATATCTTTGAAGAGCTTTTTTCTTGATAAGATCAAATGAATCAAAAGATGTGAAAAGGGAATAGAGTTAACCAGACAGGGGGATCTACAAGAAGTTGTTGGATCTGACCTTTAAATGTGAAGGTCAAGTTCAAGAATTTAAAAAATCAAAACTTCAAAACTTCAAATTTGTAACATCTGATGTGGTGAAAATTGATGATTTCACCTCCAAAGGAATTTCTGACCACAAATCACACTCTTTAATTTTTTTAATGCAAAAATGAACCATGCACCACCAAATAAACACTTTAAATTTTGCAGAATGTGATTTCTCACCAGAAATTGCTTAAGTGAAGGTGCCCTTATACTTGATCAAGTGGTAACAAGCTGAAGATAGTATGAGGAGAAGCAGAAGAGCTTGAAGAAGCTCTGCTACCAAATTTATTGCAAGGTTTCATGACATTTAGAGCCCTGATCAAAAAAGGAAGCTCAATCAAAAGTTCTTGAAATTCTTGCTGGTCTCAGGCCAGAGTTGGGGTATAAGCTCTTCTACAAGAGCAGACATGGCCATATCAGAAGGAAGAGGAGCTTAGTTGACCTTGTCAGTTTGTACAAGAATGAGACATTTTTTTGTACACTTGATCATTTAGAAATACACACATGAATGATATGAAAAGAAACTAAGAAGCTTAGGGATGATGAATTGTTTTAGTTTTTTTAGATTTATAAGATTCAAGTAAAGATAAATCATCATCCAGACCCAACCTATCCAAAGCCTTTAAATTTCTTTTAACTTTAACTTGATGATCAACATGTCTTGAAGTAGTTTCAGAAACTTCAGTATGATTCAATTGAATTGATTTAAATGGATAATCAATGATCAAACAAAGTGAAGGATCAATTAAAGTGTCCAAAGGTTTAAGTTGAATAGATTTATGAAAAAACGATTTATGTTCATGTAGTTTAGCAGATTGATAAGTGGATTGGAATCGATTTGTTGGTCGATCATCCTGATCTATCCAATTAATTTGAAAAACTTCATACCGATGATCATCAAACCCATCAGGTTCTAACCACTTCATAAACCGGAAAAACTTTTCAGATAAAGTGAATTGACCTGAAAAGAAATCAAGTTGGAATTTAGATGTCGGATGATGAAATTGTTTTAAGACGACAGACGAATGAGAAGTAGATGGTGGATGCGGATGAAGTTTTTGGTACGTTTTCATGATAGATTTGTTCAAGATTTGACAAGAAGCAAGAGTACAAGAGGTCGAGTTTAAATCAATGATTCCTAAGTTTGGAAACCTAGATAAATAAACCAAAGCTTTATCGGTGATTAATTTTAAACCTTTAAGACTCAAAACAGTCAGTTTGTTCCAATTCGATCGTTCATCCATTCTTAGATAATTTAAATCATTTTCTTCAAGGCCAGATCCGAATGGTTCAAGTTTGTTTAAATTGACTTCACGAGATAAATTAAAGATACCTAAATCAGTGATCGAAGTGTAATCCAATCTAAGAATAATTAATGAATGTTTCAATGATGAGTGAATGATATTTAAATCTTGATCTGAAAATGTAGTATACCAACTTAAATTCAAAATAGTAAGTAAATTTAAAGGTAAGGTTGGGTTTGGATTTAGATTGAATAAGATGTTGAATTTGGTTTCATCCTTTAAGACTAGATCCGAATATGGTAGTCGGTTCAAGTTGGATGTATTTTGTAAATCAAAGATAGTCAAATCTTGATAAGTTTTCAAAATAGAAGCATAGAGTGGAAATGGTAATTGATGATGATGATGAGAGTTCTGATTATGATTGATGGTTGTTAAGATAGATTGAATGATTGGTTTGAATTGTTCTGAAGTGATCTTGGGTTGATGTTGATTGTGATCAAATATGAAATTAAAGATTAGATCAAATTGAAGTTGAAGTTGATTTTGTTTTTCAGTGATGATGTTTAAGATGAATTGAGATATGATTCGAATACAAGTTTGAGTTAATGTTGAGATTTCTTGTGAAGTTGATGTTCTTGCTGAATGGTTTAGTGAGCTCATGATGATGGTCAACTTCAGAAACATAACGCGACCCAAGTCTCTCTCTGAAATAGTTTGACGCGACTTCAACCCTGTCACGTGATCACACCAATCTCACTCACTTTTCGCATACATATCCTTATATCACACGTGCCTCTTCCTCCCTTCTTTCAAGAAACCATCCTTGGTTTTGATGTTTCCATTTGGTTGAAGTTGGTTTACTGGAAGCTGATTCGAAAAGGACATAAGCCTGGTAATCATTGACGATAGGCTATGATATTCCTTTGATGACGAAGTGGATTGAGTGTGCTTGTAATGACCGTGAAATATGAACTGGATCAAGGTTTACAGGTTGATGGTCAATTGAAGATTTGTCGGTTTTCCAATTTCTTGAATCTTGGTTGATGACTTGAGTCTGTTTACCATTTCGAACATCAAACCAATCAGATTCACAAGAAATCCATCATCATCAAATCAAAATGCCACCAACACCTAAAAGTAATCTAAACTCTCAAAGTCGAAATCATCCTACAAACAGCAATAATAAAGGGGATTCTAGCTCAACTCAAAAGGCCAAGATGAAACAAGTTACTTTAGGCGTCAGTTGACTGTCTTGTTCCCTATCATGAACATCATTGACTTTTCAGCTAACTCATTTGTTCTTTCTGATCCTAAACAGTCCTTCTTTCAACCAAAGTCTACACCGAGTTCTAGTACGACGGTCAAATCTAAACCAGATACCAAATCTGATCCAGTAGTAAGCGATCAAGTCAGCGAAACTACATCAATCCCTCCATCCGTCATGGATGAAGATGAAGATGAAGAGATGCCAATGATGACTACAAGAAAGCCTAACAAACGAAAAAGTGTAGTCATGAATCACTCACCTAACTCTTCTGAAATTGACGAACCTACCAATTGTATGTATTCCTCTTCAAATTGAACATCTTTTTCAAACCAATCAGCTCATTACTAATTATCTGATTTGTCAAATCGATCGATTTTCTTTTCCTAAAGCTAAGAAAACGTCAAATGTTGCCAAAAAACCACGTTACTCTCGTGGATCTAACGCATCAGCCACTTCTCAATCTGAAGATTACAGTCACACAGAAGTTTCTAGTAACTTGGACGATCTAGATAGTTTGTCTTCCATACCAGATTTCTCAAACCTATCAGAATTCTAATACCAATCATGTTCTTTAGCGGACGCTTCATTTGAAGATCAAGAATCCGATCAAGAAGTTTCAGTCAAACGAGTCTCTAAAGCTAAATCAAACAAAACTTCAAACACCAAATCATCTTCCAGTTCACTTTGGACAACAGCTGAGAAGAAAAAACAACAAGAGAAATCAGAAAACGAATCGAAACAAGCTCCTTGGAAATTTCTTAGAGATATACGAGATGTAAGGATACATACTTTTGACTTTTCCAAGACCAAACTGTCTTCTGAAATCCATCAATTCTTAATTTGACGTGTTGCTTTTTTTCTCTCTAGGCAGATCAAAATCCTGTTGGATCACCTGAATATGATCCAAGGACTCTTTATATTTCAAAAGAAGATTGGAAAGCGATGACACCTTTTGAAACCCAATTTTGGGAAATCAAACAAAGTCAGTCTACCTCATCTCATTCATCCTTTAGCTCATTTTTATCCACTTTTTAGGGTAATTTCATTAATCAGATCACCTTTTTAGGGCACTTTGATACTGTTCTCTTTTTCCAGAAAGGTTCGTATCTTCTTACAAAACATCCAATAAGACCCAATTCCAAAGATGAATCCAAATTGAGCGTTTTCTTTTTGTTTTATAAAGGGAAATTTTCCGAACTTTATGAAGGTGATGCGATGATTGGTCATCGAGAATTTGATCTGAAGATCACCAAACGTGTCAAGATGGTAGGACTCTGATCTCAAGTCTGAATAAACTGATCAGCTGACTAATAAGCTTCACATGATCACCTCTTTTTTCATTTGACCAGTCTATGGTGGGAGTACCTGAAACATCCGTAGATTTCTGGATCGCTAAATTTCTTGCAAAGGGATACAAAGTATGTGATCAATCAATCTTTCCAAGTCATATGGAGAACTTTAACTTTCGAATTCAATTTCGAAGGTAGGTAAAGTAGATCAATGTGAAACGGCTCTAGGAGCCGAAATGAGGAACAAAGGAAGTCTTCCGAGTTCGAAATCTGCTAAATCACAACCTAAACCTAAACCTGGTGCCAAGGAAATCGTACGAAGAGAATTGAGAAGTGTGGTGACTTCGGGTACGATTGTGGATGGGAATATCTTGACTGATGATGCTGCTACTTGTCTTATGGCCATCAAAGTTAGTATTTAGAGATTTATTTATCGTCTTTTTTGAAGTATCCAATCTTACCGTATTTTCATCTTGCATCTTATAGGAGACCATAGGAGAATCTGGCTTACCAATGTAAGATAAAAAATTGGTCGAGAAAGAGCTCATCAACTCACAACTAAGCTCATTTGATGATCTTTTTTTCTTTATTTGAACTAATCTTTTGATAGATTTGGTGTGGTCATCTTGGATGCTTCAACTGCTGAATTCAACTTATCATACTTTGACGATTCAGCCAATCGAACTCATCTAGAAACGATCATGAGTCGATTTCGACCTAAAGAAATCGTTCATGAGAAATCCGGATTAACGACTTCTACCATTAGAGTATTAAAAAACATTGCATCTTCAGATTGTACTTGGACCATTTTGAAATCCAATGAATTTTTACAAATTGATGAATGTATGGAGAAACTTTCTGAATTGTTTGGAGAAGTTAACAAACCGATTCCCGAGGCTATTTCTGCTTTTCATTCGAAACCTGAAACTATGATGGCTTTGGGAGGTTTGTTATGGTATCTTGGACAACTTAATTTGGATAAAGAGTTGCTTAGCTGTGATAATGTGTGAGTGGTTAAATCTGGATGATTGTCTATGTAAATCCAATGTCTTATGATCATTTGTTTTTTCCCCAACAGGAAAGTACTGGATGTCTTTCGACCAACGGAAACTATGCAACTCGATGGTAAAACGATCTCGGATCTTGAACTACTTCAAGGTGACCTTGGAGAAGATAGCCGTCTTTTGAAACTTCTCAATCGATGTATCACTCCTTTCGGTATGCTCAATTTTGAACTTTATCCATCCTAATCAAATAAAACACTCATCCTTATCTCGTCTGTCGTTGATCTTATCATATAGGTAAAAGACTCTTTCGACATTGGTTATGCTCACCTCTTCAAAGTGCTAGTGCGATCGAAATGAGATTAGACTCTGTTACATATTTGATTGAACATCCAGACTTTGTGGATCAATTTGGTACCCTAACTGGATTACCAGATCTTGAAAGGTTAATCAGTCGAATTCATGCAGGATCATGTACGGTGAAAAACTTTTTAAAAGTCTTAAAATCGTTTTCAAAGATTCAAACTACACTTGAAACTTTAAAAACGACGATTGGAGATGATCCACCTAAGATTCTTGAAGAACTTATTAAAAAAGTACCTGATGTGGCTCAATTGATCATTGATATTGAAGAAATGTTTACATTAGATGAAGAAAAGAAAGATTTACTTCCATTAGAAGGTAAAGATGAATTATATGATGCAGCCATTGAAGAAGAAAGAGAAGCTGAAGGAAGTTTAGATGATGAATTAGAAGCAGCGAAAAAACTTCTCAAGTTTGTAGATTTTTCCTCACTATGTTTCATCTAGAATTCCAAAAAACCAAGACTTAGATTTTTTTTGCATTCGAATATAGATCAAAAGATGTGGTATATAAACATATTGGAATTAAAGATATTTATCAAATTCAAGTACCTGGTAAAATCAAAGCACCATCTAATTGGACTAAGATGTCAGGTACGAAAGATTGTGCAAGGTATTATAGTCCTCAATCTGCTCAACTGGTTAAAAAATTAAAACAAGCTAGAGAAAAGAAAACTTCGGCTTTGAAAGATTTTCATCTGAGAGTAAGTTTAGATTCTAGATTGAATGTGAATTGGAAGATTGAAAGAAATCTGGACTAATCCTTCTGATTCGAAAACTTGTTAAAAAGGTCTTTGCACTTTTTGACCAAAGTTATCCCGATTGGCTTTTGACCGTCAAAACCGTAGCCGAGATCGATTGTTTGATTTCGTTAGCACAAGCTTCAATGGCGATTGGAGAACCGAGTTGTCGTCCTGAGATTCTAGACTTACCACAAGCTGAACTTGGATTTGAATCTTTAAGACATCCATGTGCAGTGGGACGTGATGAATCTGATTTTATTGCGAATGATGTGATTGTAGGAGGTGATGAATGTAGAATGATCCTTTTAACCGGACCTAACATGTGAGCGTAATTTGGGAAATTTTTATGAATAGATGATTGAAGAGTTAACTTGAATGGGTTTGGGTTTCATTAGGGCTGGAAAATCAACACTCTTGAGGATGACTTGTGTAGCTGTCATCATGGCTCAGTTAGGATGTTATGTTCCAGCTACGAGTGCTCGGATCTCACCTGTTGATAGGATTTGCACCAGGATGGGCGCAAGGTTTGTCTTCCTCTTAGATGTAGATTTATGTTTAGAGGGGATATGACTGAGATTGATGGTTTTGATGGTTTTGTAGTGATCACATCTTTGCGCATGCGAGTACTTTTAAAGGTGATCATATCTTTCGATTGCGATCAGGTTGAGGTCTTAGGAGTGATTGATGGACGAATCTGATCATGATTTCCTTTCTCAGTCGAGATGGATGATGCTAAAAAGATTCTCAGCGAAGCTACACCCAAGTCGCTGATGATCCTTGATGAGCTTGGAAGGGGTACAAGTACCTTTGATGGACATGCCATAGCTTTTGCAGTACTGTGAGTGATGGAAAAAATCCTGTTTGATGAAAGTTTTTTGGGATCAGAACTGATTTGTGGATGGATGGATGAAGTCATCGATTGGCAACTCATTGTAGTTGTTTAGGATTCTTTGCGACTCATTATTCGGCTCTTAATGAAGATTTCGCTCATCATCCTAATATTGCTTCAAAGTATATGTTAACAAAGGTAGATGAAGAAACAAGAGAGGTTTTGTTTCTTTATAAACTTACAAATGGGTAAGTTTTTCATCAAGAGTTTTGTCATCTTTTGATCATCATTGAAATTTCTATTGATGATTTGATTTGATTTTATAAATAGAGTTTCACCTAAATCATATGGACCACATGTAGCTAAGATGGGAGGAATACCGGATGAGATTGTGAAACGAGCGATCATGATTAGTGAAGAATTCGAGTTAAAATCGAAATCTAAACAAATCGAAAATCATAAGATTAATAAGATCAGTTTAACTTTACAAGCCGATATTTCATATTTGATTAAAAGTTTATCGAATTTGAATTTATTGAAGAATGATGATCATCAGAAGAAGATGGATGGAAACGATCAAAGTTTATGGATGCATAGATTGGAAGTTTTGAATCGGATTAAATTAGGGTTTGTTAAGGAAAAACAATCGAGGAATTGAAGAAGCGGTGCAAGTGGGGAAAAACATGATGAGATGATGAAAATGATAAAATTTGTTGGTATTTTTTTTGATATGTTTGGTTGATTTGATTATCTCGTTTTTTTTTGTTTTTTCCCTGCAACTTCAAGGTGTTTATGATTTGAATAATTCTGTTTTATTTTTCAAAACAACAAAAAACTCGATTTGAAAGTCTCAAAAAATGAATAAATTTATGTGTGTGTGGTATTGTGATATCGTTTTGAACCAACTTATGAAATTATGAAATTGTGGATTTGGTGAATGGGTTTTTGGATTTGGATTGGTTTAGGAATTGGTCTTGGGATAAATCGAATTGAAGTTTTGATGATGATGATGAAGGATACAATTGAATGATCTTGTGCAATGAACCTCAGGTGTAAATGAAGACGAATTTCGAAGAGTTTTTACTGATCGCTCAGACTCACTTCCTAGAACTAAAACTTCGTCCAAGACTCATGAAGATCAGATTAGTGGATGATTACGTAGCCAAAGTTCTTCTTTTGATTCTTGTACTTGTACCTTTTTTATTGATCATCCTGGTCTATCAGAAGCTAAACAAAATCGTAAACTGAAAACTTTGTAGTCCATCACGAAATATGGATCAGGACAAGATCTTTTTATGATCAACTCTAGACTCCTAAATCTCCTAATTCTCACTAGTTTTTGATCTTTTTCTGTTGTGAATCAAAAGATTTTATTTTATTCGTAGATCTATCATTTGACAGGTGAGTTAGATTCCTCTTATTGAAGTTTAAAAAATTATGCAGACGTTTTCATTGCTTCTCTACCACTACTTTTCTCTGCTTTGATGTTCTGAGGGCATTTGAAGGGTTGCAGAGGCAGACAGCCTAGTTCTAAGCTTAACTAAGCTTCCCTTCCAAAGCAGCCATGACCAAAGAGGGGTTTTTGACTAAAACCACGGGTTTGGCCTGAGTGCAGCCGATTTTGAAGCAGTTTTGCTTGCAACCTCACAAGAATCTCAAGAGGAGCTTCTTCCAAGGTTTTATGTGTCTCCTAGCACCACTCTTTGTATGTCTCAAGTGGTGGATTTCCAGTGAAATTGAACTGTAAGTTTAAAGTGATTTTGAAAGGTTCAAGTGCACAAGCTCAAGTTCAACTGTGTCACTTTGATCAAATAAAACATGTGCTAAAGGTGGCACAAACATGTGTAAGAGGCTTATCACAAGCATGTGTTCAATTTTTTGTGAGGTTGCACATTGTTTAGAGCTCTCAAAATGAGGTTTCAAGCAAAAGCATGTGAAAATCCTGCTGTGCTCAGGCCAAATGTTTTAGTCAGTCATAAGCCCCTCTTCGAGAGCAGACATGACAGTGTTGGAACAGAGGGGTTTAGTTAAGCTTAGACTGGTTGTCATACAAGGCAATAATCTTTCACACACCCAAAATGTAACAAGTAGGACGGTACAAGCTGTTGTACCCAAAAGTCATTGCCCATCTGGGTACCCTCATTGAGGACTACCCATGACACCAGAACAACACAAACAACATAGACACAGTGTGACATTACCAGGTGTGACACAGTAGACAAATGTCTTGGTGAACTTTGTCAGCTGACTCAATGTTCACGTCTTGTGTGATTTGGGATCCAGCATTGAGAGCTGGGCCATCAATTCTTTGCCAAGCATGGCAGATGCTATGTGGTCATGAATGGATAAGTGAAATGTGATATTGTGGATGGATGAATTTTGGTAAAATGATTAAGATTGGATATAATACACATGGACAGATAGATGAGAAAAACAGAGGTTGGGTTGTGTAGGTGTGCAAGTGGATTTGGACAAGGGTTGTCACATTTGGATGTGGTAAAGGCATTGTACTGTAGTTTTAAAAATGTTTGTTACAATTGTTTTGTCAAGGCAGAGCCAAAGCCTGGTGGTTAAGCATCTGTAATTGAAAGTGGTGAAAAAGCAAAACTAGATTCAGAAGAATAAGCAAGAAGGGTGTGTACAAGCATGCTCTACAAGCAGTATTCAAAGCTATGTGGGCTCAGGTTGATTTGGAATCCAATTGTGATTGAAAGTGCTTAACCAGCTTAGGGCCTGTTCGGCTGGAACCCAAAAACGGTTTTTGGTCAAAAACACCACCAAAGCCAAAAACCGTTTTTGGGTCAAAACGGTTTTTGATTTTCATGAAAAACACAGGTGTTCGTACGGAAGCCGTGACGTGAAGTGACCGCCACCGTTTTTTCAAAACTTCGGTTTTCGGTTTTCGGTTTTCGGTTTTTGGAATTTGGGCATGTCCTTCAATTTTTGATACACACCACGGGCTACCATCACCGAGAACACCAACTGACACCATCACCACCACCAAGGGTTTATTCCACACTCGTATTTTCACTCAGCACCCACCACCGAGCATTTTTTCCACATCTGTCTTTTCACCACCAGCTAGCTATGTACGAACATCACCACCCACCACCGAGCTATCTTTTCACACTTGTCTTTTCACCAATCTAGCTATCACCACCACCACCCAGCTTGAGTATCTTTTATCAAAGTCCAGACTTGTTTCAATTATCACTCACTCAATCAACTTGGTATCATTTACAGTCAATAAACTTGTAATCAACTTGGTATCATTCACAGTCAATAAACTTGTAATCAACTTGGTATCATTTACAGTCACAAATCACCTTACCCCTCAATCAATCAACAACCTTTCTGATCAAAGAAACTGTTGGTTTTCCAAATAGGTTGAATTTTGAGGAGGTGATTGTCAAGATCAACCTCAATTGTTTGAGAACTCAGAATAATCAAAAATACTTGGCATACATTTTTTAAAACAGCCTCATGATTGAAATGTTGTAAGTTGTGTAAAACAATCAATAAGTAAGTGATACAAACTCTGTGAAATGATCAGGTTCCAGATTGTAATCACCATGATTTGTGATTATACTCTTTGCAATTCGAAGATACTTATGTAAATTTTTTGTTCAGATGAGGGCCAGCCAATTCAGCATTTTGATGTGTAGTTAGTGTAAGAATTAATGGATCAATAAGAAGTTAAAGAAGAAACTTCAAAGGTGAACACAATGAGTGTTGAGATAAGAGCTTTCAGAGTTAGTTGTGATGTGTAGTAGGATCGAGTGGATCAATTTTTTGTTGAGATAAGAGCAAGCCGATGGAGCTTTTTGATGCAATGGGTAGTTTAAACATTAGTGGTTCGATATGAAGTTGACAAAGAAATTTAAAAGGTTAACACAACAGGTGTTGAGATAAGAGCTCGCCAATTCGACTGTGATGTGTAGTAGGATCTATTAGTTTAATTTGAACTACAATACTTTGGTATTGATTGATACGATTGAAGTTGATAAGATTTGAGATGTGGTTTGATTGAGTCAAAGTCTGGATATTTGAAGGCACAAGAGTTGAATCGGTCGAGCAGTTTGACCGACTCACTGTAAATTGAGAGGGAGGCATGGTTGCTTTTCAAAAAAATTGAAGGAAATGCCCAAATTCCAAAAACCGAAAACCGAAAACCAAAAACCGAAAACCGAAAACCGAAGTTTTGAAAAAACGGTGGCGGTCACTTCACGTCACGGCTTCCGTATGTTCGGCAACGGTCTTTGATCAAAACCAAAAACGGTTTTTGATCAAAAAATCTTCAATTTTGAAAAACAGCCCTGAGGCTGTTTTTGAGACCAAAAAGTGTTTTTGCCCTGTTTGCCCCTCCATCTCGATCTTTCGTTGACCTATTTGGTCGACTGTTTGGTCAACGTAAAAGCCGAATTCCGAGTTTTTCAATCCGCCCCTCGAAAAAGGGGCAGATTGAAAAATCGTTTTTGTGTAACGATTTTTTCGAAATCCAGCCGAACGGGCCCTTAGGCCCTTGGTGTACCAAAAAAATTGTGATAAAAGTACTGTAAATGATAAAATCTAATGCATATGACTGTGCCGGATCAGACTCTCATTTTGAGAGCCGCCTCATTGCTTCCACAGCCCTTTAAGTCTCCTGATCTCTTGGGTGCCTTGTCTCACTCATCTGGACTTCAAATTTGGTCACCTTTCCCAACCTCTACCAGAAGATAACCTCTTGAACGTCCACCTCAAGTGTGATTGATCTTCACTCCCAGATTTACCTCATCTGACTACATGGCCTGGTCCTGAATGTGACTATTTCCACTACTTTACAAGTTTTAAAAATCTTTCACAACTCTTATTTTATCTGTCTACCAGAGATGAAATGACAGGCAATTTACACCACAAAATATCAAACAAGCTGTCAAAACTTTCAACTTTTATCATTACCAAAGGTATTCCCTTATCATTACTAATTGTATTACCCAAGCTCAAAGGTGATAATTTTATTTGTAGAAACTGAAGAGAATCCCTTTGACCAAATTTCAGCTTTCAAACTGTTTCCAAACCAAGAACTCTGGAAGTCCAAGGGCATTGTATTAGGCACTTCTTGGGACCTCTTCTGTTAAAGATCCATACATCTTTGCCATGTTAAGATCAATAATGCAAATCATCTCTTTCAAGATAATTGTATATGTAGAAGTATGTTTTACCTTCTGTAAAACCACATACCCAGCAAGATAATTAGCCAATGTCACTACCCAATGTTGAAAGACCCTCACTGAATAAAGGAGAGTTTTGAGAATACATCCTCATCCAAGGATTCCAAATGAGAAGGAGATTGTTGTTTTGATCACCTGAGAGTTTTGATAAGGACATTTCAAATGTTTTTGAAAAGTATTGGGGAGAAAATAGGTGGATGATGTGGTTTCCTTTCTTGTCCAAGAGGTGAGAAACACACCCTTGTGCAATAACAGACCATAATATGATCACAGACTTGGTAACTCAAATACAAAGAAAACCAAAACATAAAAATCACAAACTGAACTTGAAAAAAAGCATCAAAACTACCCTGATGCAAAATGAACCAGATCAAACAAGATCAAACAAGACTTATGCAACAAGTCTGGTGCAAATTTTATATCTTAAAAAACATATTTTTTACTGTGAATTTTCTTTCAATTTAAATATATGATTCAAAAATCTTTGAATCATAATTAAACCAATGCAAATGCAAAAAATATATAAAACGATTCAATATGTAGAAAAAAAGAGGAAATGCATTTTGTTTGTTTACAACAAGATTTGAAATCGAAGAAGAGACAAAAGTGATAAATGATTTTTTGATTTTTTTGGTTGAAAAAAAAAAGAAAAAAAGAGAAAAAAATTGATTCTTTCGTATATAATTACACTATACATACACTAATCACAACAAACCTAAACCGTAACCCAAACCTGTATAAGTTTCAAACTCTTTTTTTTTTGAAAACAAAAACATATACCAAAAGTTTCTATACTATCCAATCTTCAATTTTAAACAAAAAAGCAATTTCTTAAAAAAAAAACCCAATCCTTCTCATTTCCCAAATTTTATATTCAATCTTCAAAAATCACATAACTACCACTATGTCTTTTATCAAATAAACTTTGTTCCATCACCTCACTTTGATCTTGAACCTCATACTCATTACCCCCACCTCCAGTCCCATTCCCCATCTGTGACTGTTGTAAAAGATTAGGAGATCCATAATTCGACAAGACCCCATTTGAATTCCCATTGGTATTGGTATTGGTATTGGAATTGACCAAAAAACTACCTGAGATTCGTTTATACATATAATGAGCTAACCTTTGATAAGCTAACTTATGAAACGTATTTAATCCTTGAAAAAACTTTTGTCCAGTCGGATGTGATTCGATTCTTCTAATGAATTCAACGCATAATGATCTAATGATTTCAGATGAATGAAATAATCCATATGTGAAGGGTGAAAGTCCTCCTAGGTAATGCGGTGCATATGAAAGAATCTAGATTTTGAAGAATAAAAAGAATGTGTTACGTCACACACATCGTACAAAGATCAGTGATTCTTCTTTTTGCGGGGGGGGGTTACCTGTTTCAATCATATGTTTTTTCTTTCTTTTGAAACTCACCTCAATGATTTCTTGATGAGTTTGAACTTTTGCTACCAAGACTTCATGCATAGCTTGAACTTCAACTTCCGATATCCTTTGTGACATCCTTAATCGACTTAACTGATGATGAGCATCAAACCCAAAATTCGTATTTGTTCCACGTGCACGTCTCTGAAGAAAAAACACAAAAGTAATCCAACAAAAAAAGGTTTGAACCAGAACCATATGTATTTCTGATGAAAAAGAATCCACTAACCTGACAATGTAATTGATAAGATCTAGTCTCTCTCCACCCTTCGATCCTAGCCGAATTAGCACTCAGCTCACGTTTCATCAACACTTCATCCGCAAAGACCGGTCCCGACCCCAACATCTCAATCTTCTCTTCCAAAGTGTTGGTATTCAAATAAGTCGATGGGATCGTAAACAGTTTCGTATTCGGTGCAATTGAAGATGTACCCAAATGATCTTCTTCCCATCTAGAGGCTACTCTTACAAACCTACTCACATAATCTGTAAACCTTGCTCGGATGATCGGTTCACCTAAATGTGAAGTAATAGCTGAGATAATCTGAAGAAAAAAAATAACACATCCAACCAAACCCATGTGAGTCATTCATGGTATCTCCTCCCTTGGAATAAGATCATCCCACTTCAAATCATAAAAAAATACATACATCATCCATAAAACTATGATCCACTGAGTCTCTGACCAACTCATTCTTAGCACCAGTAAGAGTAGCATGAGAAAGCACGACCCCACCAATCACAGGCGTATTCTTCGAGCCATCTTCTAAACCCACCCCACCACCACCACCACCACCGCTTTTAGTGGTACTATTAGCCAAATTAGTAGATGCAACTCCAGTAGTTAAGGTCATTTCAGTTAAAGATCTTTCAGGTGGGATAGGCGAAAATGATCTCATGGGTTGAGAAGACATTGTAATATCTTTCGAAATCGTAATCTTGCCTGTCTCAATATTACAAAACACGTCCCATGCTTCTGTGTGTAATTCGAAAATCGGATTTGTAACACCAGCTATATAACCAGGACTAGATCAAGAAGAAAAAGGAAAGGAAAGAGAAAGAAGTCAATTTTTTGAATATCAAGATTAACCATTTTTGATTTGCAAGAAAACCTTTTTCTCAGAGAGGTTTTTCTTTCAAACTTACACAGCTTTGAAATCTTCATAAATCGTTAGATTAGAATAAGGAAACGCTCTTCTTGCATAACCTTCCAAAACACCACCACATCCACTCCCCAGCGCACAAGCCGCCAAGACCATCTGAGCGACTACCCCAGCAGGTAAACCGTGTCCTAAGAACATGATACGTTTTTGAGTGACGAGTGCGTTGAAGAGGAGAATGATAGGATGGGTGAGAACACCACTAGTATGTAAATGAGGATGTAAGGGACCGTTATAGTTGAGTGCATTAGGAGAAGAAAACGTTTGAACGAGTTGGATTAAAGAATACTACGATCATCAAGAAGCATCAGTCTGTGTAATAAAGGATTAGAGAGAGATGAAAAGGATCTCACTTCTCCAACTTCTTCAGGAAAGGTTTGAAGTGGGATTCGAACCGGAATACTTTTACCCGAATAATTAATCTTGGTATCATAGAAATGGGTATCTTTTGGACGTTTAGGAGCTGTTGAAGAACTAGAAGGATTAGAAACTAAAGCATGAGACACCAAAGGATTGGAGAGACTAGAAACGAGAGGGTTGCATGGATCAGACAGAAGATCGGTTAAAGGGTGATTAGAAACGAGAGCGTGCGCATACGGTGGTGCTCGAACATTCATTTCGTCAGAGATGATGGGTATAATATTACTAGGCGTTCGACTATGAGGGTTCGTAGTTGGATAGGTTTCTTGACCGGTTTCGAAGGAAGAACCAGATGAGGAAGAACGTTTACGAGTACGAGTGGAGTAGAGTGATTTCCGATCAGAAGACATGAACGAAGAGGAAGATGGCATGGGTTGAGGATGAGGAGAAAGAGGACCACTGAGTCGTTTGTTCATACTAGCACTCGAAGGCAAAGGAGGTGATGAAAGTGAACCAAGGTTCGCATGACTATTTCGATTAGATGCAAAGTGGGGTGAGACTTCACTCGAATCGAGGGTAGGGAATGAAAACTTTTCTTCAAACATATCAGGTCGCTCTGAACACCTTAGGATCATACGTTCGAAATGAGAGAGTCGAGGCATGCCACTGATGTCCATCGTATTAAGTGCATCATAGAGTTTCGCAAGACAATCGATAGATGGATTGACAAAGTAATCTTCGAGAGCAAGCAAAAGAATCGGCTGAAAAGGAATCCTTCGATATCAGCTCTGATGGGATCTAGCTTAGAAACTGATGAGCTACTTACCTTGAAGATTTGAATATAAGGGTGAGGAGAACAGACTGCCATTGCTTTACAAATAGCACCTCTGTATATGAGAACAAGAAAAGACAACATCAGCAAAAGAACCCATCAAATCAAACTGATAAAGTGAAAACCAAAGAAACACTCACCTGCGTACTGTGTTATCTTTCTTAGTACGTACCAAACTAATCACATAAAGTAACTTACTCTCATTTGTTTCAAGATCATCATTCTTTTCATCATCATCATCATCATGATCCGGTTTTTTTGAATCAAGATTAGGAGTAGATGGATCATTAAGTATCGATGATTTCTTAGGTGAAAGATGAGTTTCAGATTCGTCTGGTTTATCAGGATCGGTGATTAAGATTTCTTCTTTGGATGTAGATAAATCGTTTTCAATGGTTAATCTTGGAGTTTGATTTAGAAAGAAAACTGTCCAATCTTCTGTTCGATCATGAGCTCCATCTGGTAACATCAAATCTGCCAACATACTAAAATGATCCCATATGTTTTTTCAAATAATTTAGTTTGATAATAAGAATGATTTATGATTTAAATTACTTACTGTTCTGAAGTTCCAGTAGGACGTGGATATTGATGTTTAAGACCAGAACCAGTATCAATATCGAATTCAGCCAATAAGACAAAAGCAGCATGTGGACCGATAGAAGAATTTGAAGGAGGTGATGAAGAAAGATCTTGAATGAAAGAAGGAGGAGTACGAGGAGATTGAAAGGGTTCGAATGAAAGTGAAGCTGATCGACTTGATCGAAGAATTGAATTTGAGGCAGGTGAATTGGTTTCGCTATTGATCCCATTTGTATTTCCATTCATAGTATTGTTGGTGGTAGTGGTGATATTGTTTTGTTGAATTTTGAATGTGATTTATGATGATTTGATTTGATTGTTCATTCAGTTATCTTGATGTTTTCTTTCTTTTCTTTCCTTGGATGGTTTGTTTTCTTTTGTTTTCTTTTGCTTTGGATGGTTTGATGGTTTGATAGTTTCAGATGCTGAGTTGAGGTTGATTGGTCAAATTTCAAATTTCCAAATTTTCAAAAAATAAAATAAAAAAATAAACCAACTTGCTATTTATCAACTTCATTTGTGTACATGTTTTGCTTCCTTCTTCCTTATCAACAGTACTTCATTCAATGATTCATAACTTGATTCCTTCCAACATCATTCATTTCTTATCCCACTGGAACTACAACACATCCAAAAAAAAATAATTATCAAACAAAAATCTACCACATCCAAACTTCAAGTCCAAAATGTTCATTACAATTTCAAAGAAAAAATAGATCATGAACTTCAAAAATCAGTGAACAACTCATGCTGCAATCTTGGACATTCTTTACTAACTATACACATATATTATGAAGAGCAGTTTTATAAAATATAGCGCAAAGTGATTAATGGAGTAAGTTGCTCCAATCAAAGGATATCTTGTCAGTATCATTGGAACCAGAGTTTAGCTTCCTCTGGTGGGTCATGCTCAATGATGCAAAGAATATTTAACTAGTACATCCCTCAAAAGATTCCAGAGCCTTGATGGTTTGATAAATCCGAGCACCTACATCTTTGTCTGAACAGATCAACTTCATCACAGATACTTGTGTCATATTGACCCAGAGGATTTTCATTCTTTGTATGATTTGATCACTAAATTTTCAAGTAATCCATTCCTGAATAGATTTCTAACAAAAGAGAGAATGGGTATATTATTTTCTAGAGGTTCCATGGCAAAAGATGAAGAGGAGACAAATGAGATGAAAATGCTCAAGAAGGATCTCAAAGCTGGTTTTCTTTCAACGATCCGACTCGAGGGACAGCGAACCAGCTAGAAGCCCGAGTGGTACTGATGTCCGCGGTAGTGTAAACTCTTGTGTAATTTGCTAGCCTCCAACCAATTTCTAACTTCCAAACACCATTGATCAGTCATTTCGATCCATCGACAAACCACACAACCCAAAACAACCCTCAAGATAACTCAAAAATGGCATGTAACCTAATCACCAACGTAATCCCGAACTTAGACGACGTAATTATAGATTATTTAAAAGGTTATTTAGAAGAAGACGAAGATCCAGTAGAAAGTTTTATAAAACCTTTGCTAGAAACCGAAGGGATTGAAGAACATCAAATTCAAGAGATTTGTAAAAACATTAATCAATTGATCCTTAACGAACGTGGAGTTCATAAATCTATTCATGATGGACCTAAAACTTTGGATCAGGTATAGAAGATTTCATACGGTTTTTTGAGATACACATTTATGGTTTCTGAGTTCATATTGATGATGTTGTTGGTTTTTTTACGTTTTGGTTACAGGCAGTTCATATGAGATCTCAAATCGCCATGTCAAAAGTTAGTACCTCATCATACCCTCTCAAAACCCCTTTTTCATTTCCTCATGAAGATGGATCTTTCTAACTTGTGAATTTTTTCTTCTTCTTTGGATCAGACAGCTCTCATGGGTACAACAGTAGATATCGAAAGTACAGTCAAAGCCCGAGATTCACGTGTAGATGTAACTAAATTAGCTAAAGCTGAAGCTAAACTTCGAGCTAAAAGAGAAAAAAAGAAAGATAAGTTTGTGGAATTTGAAGAGAGTAGATTAGTTAAAGCAAGAGACGCTCAAAAGAGTTATGAAGAATTGTTCTTAGAAGGTATTTTTCTTTCTCTCTCTCTTCTTTCATATAAACAAAATTCTTATTTTTGAGATTATTGATTAAACTTTTTTCTTTTTGTGGAATAGTTAATCCTCTTAATGCAGCTGCTCTTGCTAAAGGAAAAAGTAAAGATGTTCATGTTGATAACATTGAGTACGTATCAAAAAATTTCAACATAAAACCCGCAATTTGATTTAATCATCACTGATCCGATTTTTGGTTTCCTATTCAAGTGTTAACTTTGGTTCCAACAAGATCTTATCTAATGCTAAACTTGATTTGGCATATGGAAGAAGATATGGTTTGATTGGTCGTAATGGTATTGGAAAATCGACTTTACTTCGAAACATGGCATTACGAGAAGTGGCAATTCCGTTGGTTTATATCTTTTAACCCTTTACTTGATTGTTATACAAACTAATTATACTTTTTCTAATCGATGACTGAAGTACACATATCACGATTTTATATGTCGAACAAGAAGTATTAGGAGATGAAACATCTGCTATCGATTCAGTTCTAAAAGCTGATGTTTGGCGAGAAAGGCTGTTAACAGAAGAAACCGAATTAAACGCTACTTTATCTGCTCCTGATCTTCCAGGTGGAGCTGATAGTGCAGAAGCTAGGGCTGCAAGTAGAGAACGAGAATTGGCGGCTGTGAGATTAGGAGAAGTTCATCAATTGTTGATTGATATCGATGCAGAAACTGGACCAAGTCGAGCTGCTGAGTAAGTCTACCTCTCACTCACTCAGAAGATAGTACTATCTATGCCTTACATCTGTTGATGATTTTTTTTCTAGACTTTTGGCTGGATTAGGGTTTTCAGCTGACGATCAAGGTCGTCCTACCAAAACTTTCTCTGGTGGTTGGAGGATGAGATTGAGTCTTGCACGTGCTTTGTTCTGTCGACCAGATTTACTATTACTTGATGAACGTCAGTATCTATTCACAACAAAACTTGTTCAGTAACAGAGTGAGTTATAAGGCTGATCTTTATGGGATACCTTTTGATAGCGTCGAACAATTTGGATTTGAACGCTTTGGCTTGGTTAGAAGATTATCTTCAAACTTGGCCTGGATCTTTACTTGTGGTTTCTCACGACAGAGCATTTTTGGATGCAGTGGCTACAGATATCATTCATCAACATTCTCAGCGTCTGGATTGTAAGTTTTTGAACCTAACGTCACAAATCATCAAATCGAAAGTTGATCAAATCTGACATTATTTTTCTCCTCTAGACTATAAGGGTAACTTTACTCAATTCTATGCAACTAAATCAGAAAGAGCCAAGAACCAAAGAAGAGAATTCGAAGCTCAAGAACAATATAAAGCACATCTCCAAGCGTTTATTGATAGATGGCGTTATAATGCGAATCGAGCAGCACAGGCTCAAAGTAAAATTAAGATTTTAGAAAAATTACCTGAACTTGAACCACCTGAAGATGATGATGTGGTTCATTTCAAATTTGCTTCGACTGATAAATTAACACCTCCTTTACTTCAATTGAATGATTGTGCATTTGGATATTCGGATGATAGACCGATGATTTTGAAAGATGTGAATATTGATGGTAGGTATTCATGATGGGGTGTTTTGAGTTTTTTTTCTTGGAATTAAGTTTTAATGAATCTGTTTCTTTTTCAGTGACGATGGAAAGTCGATTAGGTTTGATTGGTCCTAATGGAGCTGGTTTGTCATTTTACTCTTGAGATTGATATCATACGAAAAGAAGATCTAATGAAAAATCATCAAACCAGGTAAATCTACACTTTTGAAATTACTCATTGGAGAACTACAACCTACAAGTGGACAACAGAATCGGAATAGTCGATTAAGGATCAGTTATTTTGCACAACATCATGTAGATCAATTAGATTTAAATCTTTCACCGGTTTCATTCTTAGCTTCAAGGATGCCAGGCAAATCAGATCAAGAGTACAGATCACATCTAGGTAGTTTCGGTTTGACAGGTTTGACTGGACTTCAACAAATCTCTACTTTATCAGGTGGTCAGAAATCTAGAGTGGCTTTTGCTTTATTAAGTTTACAACAACCTCATATCTTGGTACTTGATGAACCTACTAATCATTTAGATATCGAAGGTCTTGATGCTTTAATGGATGCACTTTCTAAATGGAATGGTGGGGTTATTGTCGTTTCTCACGATAGTCGATTTATTCATACTGTTTGTAAAGAACTTTGGGTGGTTGCAAATCAAAAAGCTGAGAAATTGTTAGTGATTTTTGATGCTTTTTCTGTTGAAAATCAATAAATCATCGCTAATGTGTTTTTTTGTTTTTTTTTCAGCTACGGGGATGTTAGTGCTTACAAGAGCTTAATTGTTTCAAATCAAAAAACTAAACCCACTTGAATGCAAAAATGAAAATGAAAATGATCTTTGGAAATCTAGTAAAGCCAAACTCAAGATTAACTGAAACGTTCTATTTAGAGTCTGATTGGAACGAATGAATGAAAGATGTATATACCTAATAGACCTATTATATATATATGTAAAGTAAGATAACGATGGCAAAGAAAATCATAACCAGAATGAGTAGATTTGTCCTACACAAAGTTCTCCTGGAACTTTTCCACGAAGGTTCCAGAATGATTTTCCACGAAGCCAGAAAAGAAAATTTTGGCTGTGTTCTGGCTTCGTGGACTTGTGGAAAAAAAACTAATTTGAATGCCCTTTGCCCCTAGGATCCAAAAGACAGCGTCATTCAACTCTGCAGCTGCTGATCGAGGCCTCTACATCTCCCCCCTCAACCACCTCTCATTCTTCACCTCACTTCCACACCTCTGTCCTCATAAACCACACGATGGCCTGAAAAGGATGAATGAATATATTGATATTTTTTTGTGTATGAAAATATCAATAGAAACAAATCGATAGGAACATCTTTTGAAAGAACATCCTCGTTTTGAACAAGATCAATGTCTGATCCTTCAACTGACGATGATCCAAATGAGATTAGCTGTTGTTGAAGATCAATAGGAAAATGTTCTATCCGATGATACACAAAAAGATTGAAATAACCTTTTGAATCTTGAACAAGATCGATACCTATGTATTTGAATCAATTTCCGATGATAACTGTGGACCGAGTTCAAGAATTAAATCGATCACATTCAAAGATCGATAGGAACAAGTTCAATTTGATGATATGTACAAAAAAGATAGAATCAGCTCTTGGATCTTGAACGAGATCGATATCGATTTGAATCGATCTCTGATGTTAATTGCGGACTCAGTTGAAGAATTAAATCAATTACATTCAAAAGATTGATAGGAACAAGTTCTATCCAATGATACAAAAAAAGCTCTTGTATCTTAAACAAGATCAATATCTATCTAAGTCAATTTATGATGTTAATTGTTGAGCAAGTTTATGAATTAAATGGATTAAATTCAAAGATGATTGTTAAAAAGTTGAATTAGTTGATTAATAGTGATTCGGATTTCTTCAGATGAATCTTGGGGTTGAATGAAGTAATTTGAGAAAAGTTGTGGGATTGTTTTGTGGTTGATAAATTTACTTGAAGGGGTACTTGAGGTGAAGCTTGTCAGGCATGCTGTGATGGTGGATGTCCCAAAGTCCAGAAAGCCAGAACGTATTCTGGATTTCTGGCTTCGTGGAAAAGTTGTTCTGGAACCTTTGTGGAAAAGTTTCAGAAGAACTTTGTGTAGTATAATTGTTTTTTTCGAAAGAAGGATATACAAACCTTTCATGTGGATGGGATTTTGAAATTTTACTTTCAAAAGACTTGAAAGAACGGAACGAATTTTTTATAGTCATAGAAATTGGTATACAGATTTGAAACCAGAAAATTTGAAGCAGAAAAGTATATACATATTTCGGGATGGTAATTCAATCTTTAGATACATTGCCATTTCTGTGAGGGGATAAAGGCAAGGCTGTGCAAGGGCTGTGCTTTGATGTATGCACGTGCTTCTTCGATAAATGTGAGCGGGCCTGATATCCTTCAAGACTCACATCGATATTTTATTTTGGGATTAAGTACGTACAGTACAGAGAGATTGGTTTTGCTTTGCTGGATGAACGTTCGAAGTAAACCAAGTCCTCGTATGTACATATTCGAAAGAAAATATGGAAAACAGCGAACAAGTACCTGGACAGGAGACCAAGATCGATTGGGAAGATGTGGATAGAGTGATTCGATATTTGCGTCAGGTGGTTGATGATACCGAGTGAGTTCATTTCTTCTCTCGTGATCTGGTCGCCATCACCATCCGACATCTTAGTGCTATATTTATACACCTTGATGGGGCTCTAGCTGATGATGTTCAACCTCATCTCCTATCAGGGATGTCATGATGGGGGATCCCAATTATCCGAGTGAGATTCTTCTCAAGGCAGCCAAAGCGCTTCAGCCCGGATTGCCGGACCAAGAAGTAGTAGCCATCGCAAAAGCGACTGAAGCGGATCTGAAGCTAGTGGAAGACAATTCTCCTTATGCTGAGGTGGGTGAGCTCCGCGTCTAGTACAACATGCGCAAAGAGTCAGGTCAACGGCTGATGTTTGTATTTGCAGGTCCGGGCTTGTGTGGACGCTTTTGATGATACTGCACTTCCAGCCATGACTTTTCGGTAAGTCTTCGTTTCCATCTCACTGTCACATTTCCAAATGATTTGGCATCCACGACGTACCACGGCAGGATGTGGATCATTGGACTATCATTAGGAGCACTGGCCGCCGCCTTCAATCAATTCTTCCTGGCCCGAAGCCCTGGTATGGTATTGGACCATACTGTGGTACAAGTAGTGGCGTATCCGATTGGTCGTCAGTGTGATTCTTTGATCCTGCTTGTGTTATGGATCAAGTGATGAAAATTAATTTCTTTCCTTGCACAAAGGTTTCTTTGCCAAAGTCTTACCGACCAGAGTCTTCTATTTTGGCAAGCGATCATTCACTTTCAATCCTGGTCCATTCAAGTCAGTTCGTTTTGCGCGATTGTGATAGATTCATGCGTCCTGAGATTGATTTCTTTGTAAATCTATAGTATCAAAGAACACGTCTTGATCAGTATCGTTGAGTGTTATTTTTGAATGTTCTGATGGCACGGGAGTCAATGCTCATACTGCAAACATGGCTGTTTATGGTCTCTATAATATCAAGATGGCCAATGCTTCTCCCTCACCTTATGTAAGCTGTGTAAATGCTCATGCATTCCTTATTTTTACCAAAGCTCACGAACCACACAACAGGCAACAGGAGTAATTGGTGCACTGAGAGCTAAAACGTTTTACAACGATACACGTTTTTCGACCAAGATTGGCTTCCAACTTGCATTTGTGACAAGTACGCAACTGATGGGATTTGCTTTGGCTGGGGTAACCAGAAGGTGAAGTGATTAACACTCTACAGTCTTTTCCTTTGGAACTCTGTTGAATTGCTCTTTATTTCCATCAGCTTCCTGATCCATCATCGCGAAATGGTAAGAGGTCTCTGAAGCTCTCCGAATCAGTTTCCGGTCTCACATGATATGAATGCAGGTTTGGTGGGAGGTCCTTCCTCAAATCACTGTTCTACGAGCGTTACATGGCAAAGACCATTTACCACCTATACGCGGCTGGAAGATAACACAAACGAGATTCCTCATCATATGCGCAGTGAGTTGGCTGATCTGCGATTCAAATGTGTTTAATACTGACATTTCTCATTCCACAGATTGCTTCCGGGATTTGTGAGTTGCTTCAAGAATGTATACTTTACTACCACAAGCTCAAGATGATGATATCCATACCTATACTCAGACTTTATCCTGCCGGGTGTATTCTTCGAGAGTCTCTCATTTTTCAAGTGGGTGCAAACCCTTCATTCCGTATTCTGAGATAGTGTCAGTAGTCGTACTGACAAAACTGCCGCGCAGCTGGACAACCTGGATTGACCCGAATAACGTCAAGCTAGCCCTAATCACTGGAACAGTAACCGGCCTGGGTCTCAATCCGATGCCTACCTTAGACTGGAACTTTATGATGCAAGGTCCTATTTTCACTCCATTGTGGTCTATAGTGCGTTCTTTTCAGTACATATCTGTTCTTGATGCATTCTGATATCTTGTTTTATCAGAGCAATGAGTATATAGGTGCATTGGGCGCCCTGGTGGCTATCTGTGTGATATACTTCAAAAATTTCCTCTTTATAGCATATATACCTATCAATAGTGGCGGTGGGATTTGTTTTATTCGTGATCACATCAAAAGGGCGATATTGATATATATCTCATCTTCCTTCCCTGTACCATTATAGGTCTGTACGATAGACATGGGTACGTGAGCAGAGGAATTTTTAGTGCAGATACGAAGGTGCAAACTGATAAGTGATGTCATCCTATCTAGAAATCATTACAATGCAAGCAGAGTCCTTGATCAACTTGGTAGATTTGATCAGGTACGTTTATTCAAGCGACTAAAATTTCTCTTAGTCCTTTATATCTGACTTCGATCACATCTCATTCAGACCAAGTACAAATCATATAGCCTACCTTTCATGTCGGCCGCTTTGATTGTATTGTAAGCAAGACCTGCTACATCAATCTTGCACGTTTTTGGCGATCAGCTCATGGAGACCTCAAAACCCGAATCGAAAACCTAGTTACACTTGTAACCTTGCCCTTTATAGTAGCGTAATTGTATATTCTATGATTTACTACAGAAAACATCTTGTTGGAGGGATCTCTCACTATATAGCATCGTGGACACCTAGTTTCAAGAGCAACAGGCAGTGTAACTCAGGAGAGCTCTACCATGCCACAGATATTCACTACCGACTCATGACAGCTTATCCAGGAGGCAAGTATCAAAGTGCATGTATGAATATCAGCTCTAGAACACTGAGGCTTACGTGGTTTGTGTGATCACTTTAGTGCCTAATTCTTGGTTCGTCGTCATTGGCATTTTTTCTATCATTCTTGCAATCTTCATGAATGAAATCTAGTAAGCTTGAAAATTTTCCTCCATATATCGAATCGCCTCTTCTGACAGAATGTCTGCTTCTTTTTTAAGCCAGACTCAGTTGGCTATGTGGGGTCTCGTACGTTCCGTATCTTGTCTAGTAGTAAAATATGTTGTGATCAGATTTCTAACCATGCTACGTATCTGCTAACAGTTTGTCTGCCTTACTATCTCTCTTCTGTTCATTATTCCTGCAGGGATAAGTGTGTCATTTTTTTTTCAAAACATGAGAATTCAATCACAAATCTCATGTAAATTTGTATCTCATTTCACAGTGCGAGCAGTTGCCTATGTTCAAGTACCCCTCAATGTTAGACCTTATACATGACTAGAAAATAAGGCTTGATTGCTGATTAGATTTGTTTCAGGTTCTGGGTGAGCTGGTGGGTGGATACGCTTTTGCTGGTCGGTGAGTATATTCGTCAAGGTAGACAAAAAAGTCTCTCTGGCTGATGATTGGGTTCTTGAGATAGACCCCTCTGCAATATGCTCTTCAAAACGTACAGTCACTTTACCGTAACAAAAGCTCTTATAATATCGGCAGATATGAAAGTAGGTGCGTTCTTCCTGATTTTAGAAACTTACAATCAATTGATGGATTATACTCTCTTAGTTTGCTCATTATATGAAGGTTAGCTGCATTATTTAGTTTATCGGGTTGGCTTTCAACAAATTACCAATGATTTCGACTTTCAGATACCTCCTCAAGCGGTTTTTGTTTGTCAAATAATTGCAACTGTCCTTCACTCATTGATCTCCATTGGTGGTTTGTTGAGCTCACGTCTATCATACCTCAAAAGTTTGATTTTGTTTCTGACTTCTTTGGATTACTCAGTCCTTGACTGGCAAATCACAACATTCCCTGATCTTTGCGAACGCAATCAGCCGCAACATCTCATTTGTCGAAGTAAGCTCATCTGATTAACGTTTGGAACACACACTGACTGTGATCTTGACCTTTGAGCATTTTAGCGTATTCTCAGTTTTTCAGGTATCAATTCCATTCGCTCTACACACCTTTCAGAACCTCTTATCTCTCATCATCTGATACCTAGTTTTTTGGGGGGGCTAGCTCTTCAATCATGTATGGTGCTGTAGGTCCAGCCCGATTGTTCAGCCAGCCAGGAGCACTTTACAAAGGGTGTCTCTACGGATTCTTGTAAGTGATGAACTTGACGTGTTTTAAGGGTTTCAGTTTAGTGAAAGTAAATCTATCTATCCAGGATTGGAGCCATCCTTCCTTTTCTACCCTGGATCGCCGCCAAAAGATGGCCCCACTCTAGTTGGCGATACGTGCAAATAGTGAGTCTTCTGACCATAATTATCTTGTATCAATAGCTTGCCAGTATCCTTACATGACATATCATGATAGCCTGTGATCCTGTCTGGGTGTTTTTACTTTCCGGCTCTCAATCTTGCATACATAACGTAAGTTTGATAAATTCGAAAAAGCAAAGACTTGGAAGCATTGTGATTTTTAATTACTAATCTTTGATTTCACCCTTGTGTTGATTTTAGCCCCACTTTTATATTATCCTTGTTTTTCCAAGGGTACCTGAAGAGATGGTACATGCTTTGGTATGGTAAGTCGCAACAAGTCTTATACCTGAAACACAAGGAAAGATATAGTGATGGGATAGATTTCTGATTCAAAATTGATAGCAAAATATGCCGTAGTGCTAGCATCTGCAATACCCGCTGGTATTGCAATTTTTGGACTGGTATACTTTTTTGCTTTCAAGATGAATGGACAGGAATATAACTGGGTCAGTTTTACCTTACTTATTTGAATATACCATTACTAAGGAAGAACAAACCCTCACATGATTTCAACAGGCCGGGAACACAATTTATAAAAATGGATGTGACAACAAAGGTTGTGCCTTGATGGATGTACCTGATGATGGCTTTGGGCCAAAGTATTGGGAATAAAAGCTGTTGAAGTTCTTGTGGGTTTGAGCACTTTTGGTTGATTGAAGCTATAGTTCTTTTGACACCACACCACTTGGACACAGGCAAATGTTATCTGTCATGTTGTGTGCAACTTCCCAACGGAAACCTTGTGTATTGAGTGAATTTTGACTGTCCAAATTTCTAGAAACGGAAAATTTGCCCGGGGTATACTTGATCAAATACTTCACTTTGGAAGCATAGGGTACCTTGATACTGGCAAGCTGATTTAGGCAAATTTATCAGAGTAAAATGATTCTGATGATACATAAAAGGAGTAGTTTCAGGACGTTTTGTCCATTTTTTAACGTTTGTGTTTAATTCAAATATACAATAAAAAACAAAATAATGGAAAAACCTATCATACAGTAATGTCACACCCTCCACTCTTCCCCTTCACTTTGCTAAATCAAACAGAAAAATAGAGTAGAAAAAGACCCAATAAGCCTTCATCAAAAATTTCAGAAAGTTCCTTTACATATTCCAAGCAGTTAGATCATCAATCAATCACCCAGACTGATGAAAATAAAAAGATCAGGAGAATTTGTTAATGCCTTCAATTAATTAGTTTCATTGCTATCAGCATATTCTTTACCTGGAATGATCCATCAACATTTAATGTACCATTGTCCCTTTGCAGATAATGTATGGATGCAGAAAGTGGGATGAGGACCTTGGGATGAAAAGACTGAGGCTGTGACTCAATGACCTCTGCTGTTGGCAAAGGAGCTTGTTCTCATTGATTAGACTTGCTCAATGGTATGTTGTCAGGATTTGAAGGGGGAGGATTGCTTCCAACAAGTTGATCAGTGTATTTGGGGGTGATTAAGTCGTGGACCACATCTGGAAATAGAGTAGGATGATGATATGTGAATACATCCTCTCAATAAGCAACCTCACCAGTAATGAAAATACTACTTCTTTGCTTTTCCCAAAACTGTGATGCACAGGCACTGTCTTCAATATCAACACAAACAAACTGTCTTGCTACTGGAGAAACTTTGGATGTGCATTTACAATCCATAGCAAAGCATAAGCATCCAAATGGTTTTGGAATGTCCACATCAAACAGATGAGTGTGACCAGGATTTGGAAGCAGTGACTCAAATTTTCAATTGGGGATTTTTTTGGAGGGTCACATAAGATGAGCAATTGATCTGAATTGAGCAATATGTCACTCATCCCCCCAAAGAGATAGAGGAAGACCGCTCTCAAGAAGTTGAGCACAAGTCTTTCCTAGTGGTGTTTGAAAATAATGTCCCAAAACTGAATTGGCCATATTTGCTGGACCTTTCACTTCTTCAATCCCTTCCTCCTTAAGAAAATTCTTGAATTCTTTCAAAAATACTCTCCTCCACAATCAGATTTAAGTCTCATGATCTTGTTGCCATACTTCTTCTCCATCAATGATTGATACTGTTTGAAATCAGAAAATGTTTGATCTTTTGATTTCAGAAGATAAAGACTAGTATAACGGGAATGATAATAAAAAAAAGGCCATATTTCATTGCAGATTTGGAGACAGGAGATATAAGACCAAGAAGTTCACTATGTACAAGGTTGAATGATTGTGGTGATTGGTGGAAAGAAGATGTGGCTGGAGAATGAGTAAGCTTTTGCATTGAGCAGGAATCACAAGCAACAAAATGTTGCTCAGAAAGTAAAAGGATTTTTTGTCAACAAAGAAACTGAATAACACCTTCAGGATGTGAATGTCCTAAATGCTGATGCCATGTCATAGCAAGCTTTTATTGATTGGTGTATGAAAACAAAACCAAAGGATAATTGATAGCACATTCAGGCAGCCAGAGGCTATTGGTTGTTGAGCTTCAACTCAGTTGTAAGACTTCAATGCCTGATTAGTCAGTGATAGTGCCAATATTTATGTTGAATGACACACAATACCCATTATCACAGATCTGGCAAATTGGAATCAGATTCCCAGTCAATTTGGGTAAGTGGAGGACATCTTGGAGAACTAAAGATCCAAAGCTTACATTCCTGAGGCTAGTCTGATGTGCCCAGAAATCTTTCAAAGCAACCTTTATTCTGGTAGGACAAATTTGACAGAGAATTAAAATAAGTGACTTGAGCTCCTGCAAGTTATCAAAAAGATCAGAAATTTCTTACGGAGTTAATACTGAGTAAAATGCCTCAAGTAATTGCAAAAAAATGCTGCAGGACAAAGGGCATTGTGTGTCTCCCTAGATTTTTTTTCTGAAGTTTAGACCAAAACTGAACTCTCAATTTCAGAAACAATCTTTTGTCAATCATTTTTCATCATGAAAAGATACATCATCCCTGCAGTGTCAGGCACTGCTTTCAGGCAATCAACAGGCTAATATGTACAGCCCAACTTTTCTGGGATCTGTCTGGCCATTTTTGGGCACAAAACCCTCCCATGGTACATGTAGCTTGGCTCCACACTACAGCTAAGACTGTGTACCCAGTCTTTCATTTGGAGCTTAGATCTTGTTAACTCCAAATCAAAGACACAATTGTGGGATTTGGGTCTTTGGAAATATTCTTACACATTCTTGGCTTGATCCACTGTACTATGTAGTATGTATAAAATTTGAACATATGCAGTTTTTTTGTTGTCCTAGAAAGGTTTGAGTGTCCTGTCCCATCCTAAAGTATGACTAGACTCTCAGCCCACAGCAAGCTCATACCATATCTTGATACCTTATTTTATTTCACATCTCTCTTCTTGCATCTAACTCAACCATGACTTCACCCACTACCTCAACTTTCCATCCAAATTTAATTGCATGCTTAATGATGGTGTCCTTCATGATTCCAATGAGGAAGACAATGATAATGGCAACAACAACAAATCAGACAATAATATTGGATATCACTCACATATTATCATGGGAGTGTTTTGTTCAACTGGATGTGTTGTGTTGGTGAGGAAGGGTTAGTTGAGTCTATGTCAAACCCAACAATTTTTTTCAAACACGTGATTAGATCTAGCCAATTTCAACCCATCTAAAAAACCCATCTGATCCTTGGGGTTTTCATAGAATGCACAATTCTATAAAAACTCATAAAAACAAAAACAAAACACTAATTTTGTCAAATATAGTGTTATGATTATTTCAATTGATCAAATTATAAAAAAAACTTAAATCTATAATATAAAGGCACGAGGCTTGACAACCAAGCAGTGTTTCGTATGCCATGGCCGAACCCCATTACCTCATCCTCATTCCATGCTGCACTCAATAGCCAACCAAGGATCCTGGGTTGATCCGCAAGGCTCTCAGTTAACCTCGCTTTGTCTGTGGAACCACCCAGACCCAAACTTAACGAGTCCCTCGCGAGCTGTACTGGCCAGCTCAAAGGATCCAGAACCATTCGTAGGTCACTCCTACTTTGTCCGCAATCATCCGCAAAACCACCCAAACCCTTTGCGAAGCTAGGACGAGCTCTGTTAGTCTTTGAAGGTCGATTTCACAATGCCGAGTTCACAAAAGAACATTTGGAGTCATGTAGTGATTGCAGAAATAACGAATTCCGTGGTACGCTTACACGCCACGGCATCAAATGAGGCCCTGAGTTCTTGAGGCAAATGGATTTGAAACACTGCTTGACACAATATGACTGTACTCCTTCTGACGATGCTCGGATGAAGATACACCCAATTTTTCATATACTCATCAGAATCCGATTCAATCCCTTTCTTCTCATCTTCTTCACGAAATCATCGACATCCAATACAATCTACTTTATTCTCACCTTATCGTTTGACTTCAAATTTTAAATATTCACCACGACTTTCGATCATTGAACGAAACAAATTCGGGAATGAAAATGACAATAAAACTGCCAATCTTACTTCCACTTCTTCTTCACCACATTCAAAATACTTGGCCCAGTTATAACCCTTTCAAGCTTTACCTATTTTGACAAAGTCGATTGAAACTGATTCATTTGTGTAGATTCATTTCAAGGTGTAGGTTTATTCAATTTTGTCTAAAAAACTTTGAAAATATGTTGAAGATCTTGATCTTAATGTAATTCTGTTCAAGGGTTTTCTTTCTTTTTTTGAGTATCTTTGTGTCTCTTCGAATCCCTGACGATGATTTTAGATCAAAGAAAAACAAGAAGGATTTGAATTAAGGTCATTATTAGATGAACATCATTGAGTAAAGAATAAAGATGAGTGCACTATCAAACAACCTGAATCATCTGGGTAAGTTCTGCCTTTTCTTCTTCCTTTTTTCATTTACACAACAAACCCTCTTCTTTTACTTCAATATATCTTTTTGTTACTTTGCAAACAATTCTTCATACAGTTTTACATGAAGTGATTTGTTTGTTACAAAACTTATTCTTGAAATGAGATCTTATATTGATAGACATGTGAGGATAACATGAAGATCAAATCAGAAAAATCCAATCAATCAGCTTTGATGAGGTGGGATAGTTTGAAATCTGAGCAACAAATTACTTTACAAAATTTCAGTGATCTTCTATTGGTTTTCACATATTTCCCATCTTTGTGACCTCAAGATCATGTACCTTCCAGAATCAGATTTTTCATATTCAAAAAACCAAACACTTATACATCTCTCTTTTATTTCTTTTGCCTCAACAACTGATTGATATTTGAATGATCAAGGAATATTTCAGTACAAATTGAGTCTTTGACTTTTGAAGTTTTTATGAAAGTTTTATATATTCTAGCTATTTTTGTTGAACAAGAGATCCAATTATTTTAAAACAACAAAAACAAGTTTTGGAAGTAATTATGAGTTCATTAAATGATAGGGAGACTGATTTCAGAAGAATAAATTTTGCAAAATAAATGCTTGACCAAGAGAGTACATCAAGAATGGGATAAGATTTGATACTGATGGGGATTTCAATGTCTTTGAAACCAATATAAGGGTCTTGGGTGGACTTTCTTTGGGCTATCATCTTACTGATAGAAATTGACTTAATCTTGATAAATCTATTGATATAGATACTTGACTCTTGACTATTTGATACTGTAAGTTGATCATTGCAAGTTTTGATATGATTAGTCACTGCCAGTAAAAATACCTTGGATTGTAAAATCCAGGGTATCCTTGGATATAGATTGCTTTGGACTGTGGGTCCATGGAATTAATGCAAGGGTTTCTTTGCCCACAAAGATTGCCTTGAATCAATTCCTCAGACACTGTGCCCAAGGCTATTGCCATCTGAGGATACCTCAGATTTTCCACCCCAAGGAACTTTGTTGGTGGTGAGCAAAAGGGATTAGATGAATTGAATTAACATCCAGATTGGTTGGAAGATAGCCTACTTGAATCCCTTAGTTTTGTGAACAACCGTAAACTGGGTAAAGCAAAAGCTGATCAAGATAATGATGGTTTCAGTGGTTCATATTCCACATGAGTTCATTGATACTTCTGCCCCTTCAATAAATGGCAAATGGATACTCACATTCTTCTTTTTGTTCACCAGAATATTATTAGTAGAACACTTCAATTGGAATTCAATTATCTGGCAGATTTGGCTTGAGATCAAAAGTCTCAAGATGTAGCTGAAAAGGACAGTACATTCCTATCTTCAAGAGGAACACCAGTGGTGACACACAGTGTATGTGAGTGTCTTATGTAATTAATGTTTAAAGTGTAGCGCAGATTGTGGTGCCGCCAACTTCCAAGGTGCGGAAGACCTGGAGAAGGATAGATGTGTATGTAGCAGTGCATGGCTGAGATATACATGAATGAATTTCAATGTACTCTCAAGACCCAGAGTGTGCGGTAGCCTAGAGGATCTGGGGGTAGCCTGAGACTCCTCTGGGACTCTGGGACTCTGGGAAAAACCGGTCGTAACCCATGAGTATATGGGTTTGCGCGTACGTAATACTCACCACATAACCGGCCACATCAATTATGACTTACAAGTTTTCGACATAGGGTAAGCGTCCCTGTTGTCCGTGATTGGTGTGTCACCGCCCCTGTCCTTCATCTAACACACCCTTCGACAGGCGTGTGATAGCACGTCGCCCTCTACCCATCTCCCCCATATCCTTACCTCTTACCTTCTGCCGATCGCATGCCTAATGTCAACACTCACTCTGAAATCATCCTGCAATGCTACTCCACGACTTTGTAGCCAACATCTCCGCCACCAGTCCACATCTCAGCGCAACACTCACCTTGGACGATTTCATTCAGTTTATCTCCCTAGCCTCCGAGGTGCAACATCGCGCTGGAGCCGCCTTGCGTCTCACTCCAAAGCCACCACCTCCCAACCGACCAACAGTAATATCTTTCTTCACCACTGCCCTCTCACCCAAGTTTCCCGAACACCTAATCAATGATCTATGGACCTTATGCTTTCCGTACTTACCCTCAACACGATTCGACCCTGTGGCCACCATCAGGACCTTGGGACTCGATCCCAACTTGAAAACGAAACTTCCTGAACTTTTCTTACGCGCTCCTGTTTCACAATGTGTTGTTTGCCCGAAAACCCACAATTTACACGTTCATAGCCGGCTTAACGGGTACCTTTATGACACGGATGGTGTGCATCCAGTTCAGACCATCATCTTGGATTGCCCAGGTGAAGGATCCGTTCTATTTATCCATGAATCCATTTAACAAAATCGCAGCAGCTGACTATCGTATATACAACAGGGTGTGGAGCCTCATATTGGCCGAGCTATTACACCCACAGTCAGATCCGACACTATTACACTCCGGAGATGGGACGTGACAAGGAGATACTCCATGTTCACTGTCACTATTACATCACAAACCGTTTAGCCCACCTGTTCCGTGTGATTCAGATGCTCGCTCAGTCAGTTCATCAATGACAGTCTGCTTTCCCGTACCATCAAGCTGAAGTGATTGTCATTTCAGTGTTAGTCACTTCAACTTGACCAATTGGTACAACAAGATGTATGTGGAAGATTCGTCTGTTCCCGTGTTTGATCCAAAACAGGGATTCGGACCCGCCATGTCGGAGGCTGTGTGCTTTGACGGTCTCGAACTGCGCGCATTGATAGCTCACGAGGATCGGCGACATATGCAACTTTCAGTTCCTGCAAGCGGCACCGACAATGTGCGTTTTGAAGAGGCGATTGACTCTCACCTGGACAGACTCGATGTTGAAGGGACACGGTTTCGAGATCACTACTGCAGCTCATGTGTACGCGTCAAATCCGGTGGTGTCGATCCTGAGACAGGGGAAGAACTTTTGATAGGTATGTACTGGCGTACTGGTGCATACCATATTTCCATGGATAGATACCCAAATCCAAAATCATTAATCTTTGATTTGATTCAGGAATCCGAGCCGTGGTTACCAATGGATTGACCATCGGTCACTGGCGCTGCAGCGCTTCCACGGAACAGCTCACAGAGCTGGTCACCGCTTCTGGCAATCCTCCACCTGAAGGCCCTTGCACCAATCGACTAGAAAATATTAACGATCGTTTTTGTGCCTATCACAAAAAGAGTCTGGGGAATCGTTGCCACGTACAGCCGTGCCGGAGTGATTCGCTTTCAGACTCAAAAACTTGCGGCGATGCATCCCACATAGAAGCATGGGCCAAATTCACCGAACGAGTTAAATCGAACTTTTCACTCTCCGCTATCCTGAATCGCCCTGGATCCAATTTGCCCTCTGATCCAACAGTCCACCTGGACGCCGAAACTGGCGAGTTCATTGACTTGGAAGGAGTACGCGAAGCTGACGAGTCGAATCGAGCCCATGAGGGCGCCCGTGATGGTGGCCAAGGAAAGAAATTGGTAACTTCAAGGTGTCGGACACACAACGACCAACTCGTAGTCGGGTGTTGCGGAATTATTTTAGCACGTAAAACATTCTATCACGCAGAGTCTGTAAGTGCAGTGAAGGTGAGGTTTGAGCTATTTCTTGGTTTGGTTCGACATTGCTAATGACTAATGAATCTTCATTCATTCTTCATGCAGCATTTCCTGGAGGATACCTTTCCTCAAGGTATGCCGGAGGTAGTGTTTTACGACAACGCTTGTCGACTCACCGAACATATATACCACGGATCTGGGGAAACACAACGCTTCCAAGGAACTGTCATACCGGTTGATCCTTTCCACCACCGTTCCCACGCCGAAAGTGACCAATTCTGCAAGCTCTTCACCGACCCGAAACTCTTCCCGGATATACAAGAAAATGGACAGTGGATATTCAACGCTTCTGCTGCCGAGCTTACAAACATTTGGTACGGAGGTTTTGCGTCAATGTGCCGTAACATGCACTCCCTTCGATATAATTTTTTTCTGGAAGAGATGGTTTATTTGAGGAACATGTGGCTCACAAAGAAATTGAGCAAACGCCCGGGGATGGAGTTTTTGGGAATTGGTAATATTTAGATGGAGTGTTTGTCTGAACTGAACTGAGAATCAATTTTGATCATCTTAACGACATAACAATCTTTATGTTTACTCTGTAATTTCTCTGTTGCTTTTTGTTGCTTTTGCAAAACGAAAACACGAAAATACAAGTTGATGACATGTTTCAAAGTATAAACATTTCTTTCATTTTCACTAGAGCTGAGCAGCTTCTGTAAAAATGAAGTTATGAAAATGTAAAATGTATCAATTGCATTTCATCGCTTGAAAAGAATGTAATGTGATGGGTGTTTCACGCAAGTAGATACAAGTTATCTCATCATCACTGCCTTAAGCCACTGCTCCTTTTTATACTAATACGACAGTATGGTGTAATACCTGATAGACATTTTTGGATGAAAAGTAAGTCAATTCTCTATCATATAGAGATCCTATAAATGAGAGTACACACCTGGACAATGATATGTTTAGACTCCTCATCTTTTGAATGGACAGTACCTTGAAAATACATCAGAGAATCCAATTGGATGTCCTTCATTTCGGATAACTCAGGAGAGAAATTTCCGAAGCGATAAATGATCTCGAATTGCTTCTTTTTTCTTGCCGGAGTCAAGAATGAGATCAGCGTGGCATTCAATATACACCTCAGGCAGGGGTGCACTCACTTCCGGGTCAAACACCTCATGTTCAGCATGAACGGTAAGGTGCCATACTCCGTCGTCTTCTTTGGTCAGGTCAATGTTAACTTTAACAACCTTGCCTATTCCACTGATCATCGCTTTGCCCGCGAGTTCTTGAGGTTGAGGAGCGACAGTTGCTACCAAACTTTGAGTAAGGCTGCTGTGCTTGATAAAAGCATTGCCGCTTTCGGAATCTTGACCAAAATCACCATGTATATTATAGGTCCAATCCCAGGTGAGTACGTCATTGGCCATGAGGTAACCGAAAGCTTTGAGTGGCCAGGTTACGTGCTGCCCTCCGACACCGTTCAAAATGAGCACTGCGTCGGTCTTGTGCCAAGCTACGCCGCCATCGGCCAAGATGGCGCGCAATAAAGTCGTCTGAGGAAGGAAGTAAGGGAAACGTTAGGAAAAAGAGGTGTCAAAAGGTAAACAATTGAAGAAAATGGGAAGTAGTACATCGCTAGTGGTTGTGAGTATGGCATTGATGGTTGCGGTAAGATCCGGAGTAGCCATGATGGTGATGGTTGGTGCGCTTGCTCACCAACCATCATCGCAAGGGAACAGCTGATATTTGTACATTCTGAGATGAACACCACCACAAGAATGATGTTTGAGACGTGTAGGTGTAGGCAGGGTCAAATCATCTAAGGGTCTCCACTTCTAAGAATGTGTTGAAAACGTGAGGAATTTGATGGACTTCCTCGTGTTTTGTCAACATATAAATTTTTTTGGGACAGGGTCCTCAAAGGTTTGAAACCGTGTAACCTTCAGTTTAGAAACACAGTCAACAAGGAGGGACAATGTCCTCCAAACGTGATGGATTGCATGTGAAAGTTATATACTGATTGCTTTATAGTTTTGATATTAAGTATAATCATGAAGCCAACAGGGTGTACATCATTTTCATTCAGAGGTTTGCAACCGTTTTGAATTCCTCCTTGAAGCGGATTCGTGCTGCACCCACATTTGCACGCGGAGAGTCAATGTATTCTTCTCTAAATCGCTCATATTCTACTTCTTCGATCCATTTCTTGTACCTATACATTGTGGAACTAGCATAACGCCACTCGTAGCCAAATGCTAGATTCCATGCCTCCGGAGCAGGGCGAGTCTCACAATCCTTAAAGCACGCAAGAAGATCTGATATAAGTATAGTGGACGACGGCCACCCTTTTTTCTTGAGGGGGGGCGTTTGGATTGGTCAACACAGGAGATGGTGTTGGTGTGTTAACTATCTGTTGCACACCATTTAACAAAATCAGTCTCAATGGTGTTATCATGTGGGTACCCTGGACTGACTATTTCTTTAGCTTGGTCAGCTGTTCCGGATTGTGAAGGTTCGGCTGGGTGTGACCGATCATCAAATGGATTGAATTCGGGTAGGTCGGAATCTGAATCGGAATCCATGTGATCGTCAGTTCCTGAATCATTGGATTCAGGAACTGTGGTCGATTTGGGTTTGGTGGGCTGCGCAGAGACCTCACGTTTAAGACGTTGAAGGGGATGGGTACTGTTCCCGTTTACAACGATCACATCGGGTTCAGAATCAGGTGACGAGTTTGGTGGGAGAGGTGTGAGAGCTCCCTGATGGTAGTGGCCTGTGCTGTTTGATGAGTTGGCCTTGGACGTTGGCAGGCCAGGTGTCCGGGGATCAACATTTGGCGACCGAACTACAATCTCGTTTGGATGGGCAGGGAATCTATGCGGCAGATTCACCATGGTCTCGCGCTGAAAATCCAAAGGATGTGAGCGTTTTTTGCGTTAAATAAACGAGCCCTTATAATCAATCAGTTATAGATTAGAACTGACCCAAGTGTTGATCTTTCCATCCCAAATACAAAGAGCGCGGTTCCAACTTACTCCGAATTTCTTCGTGCAAGCTTGGATAAGTAGCGGCGATTCGTCCAGCCTTCCTTTAGGCCATTGATCCATATGGGCAGATATAACCTTTGGTTCTACTGCCTATAGCGATTGTGGTAGTTGGTCAGTAAAAGCTATTGGAGTATGTAATAGGAATTGACCCAACACACATCAAGCCACAAGTATATAGTTACGACTTTCTTCTCGTCGTATTTGTCCGCTTTGGCCCGTTCTAACTCTTCGTAACGTTTGCGTCGGTCGATTTGGATGGCTGACACCGCCTCCGGACCCAGGCGGTGTCCCAGTGAGTTAACACTTTGAGCCCACTGATGGAGACAAGGTGGCCTAGCATGAGGGGCTAAAGCAGACGAGCTCGGTGTGGGCAGCTGGAAAGGTGTTGGCCTAGCAGGAGGTGGTGGTGCTGGTGCGTGAGTGGATGTGCTCGCAGTAGGGAGCTGGAGAGCTGTTTGAATTACGACTGCAGCAGGTTGGTCGCGACGGGGGTGCTTGGGACACGGGCCTAAACCGTATTCGAGGCAACACTATTACAGATAGTGGGGATAAATTGTTCAACAGATTTCATTTTTTTGATGATGATATGAGTAACAACTAAACAAACCGCTTGACAGTACTGATGGGGACACCCTTTGTTGCCTGTCGTCCGGTGAGTTCGGGCCACTGGCCCACGTGAGGTTCGCTGACACGGGTAAGTGACTTTGGTTCAGTGGGGTCCGGCAAGTGAGTCGACTTGGTTTGCGAAGGGCATGAATTGCTGTTCAACTCGCCCCAAGAACGGATGGTCATCGCGAATAGGGTGTGGTAGATTGAGACTGGGATCAATGTCTGCATCAATCCGTTTTGGAGGAAGGATGACCCCAGAGGGTGATATTCGGGGGCCCCAGTCGGCTGCAGTCGAGAGGATGGGTCGGGCGGCTCCGGCGTTGATCAAGGCCCGTTCGTGATTGTATTGATCACATCGCCACGTACGCCAGTTGTGTCGATTCTTTGGGCGTTGTGGACACTGGCGAAGGGGAAAACAACGGTTAGTTTGCACCCGTGAGAGATGAGAGAAAGATTGAAGGCAGCCGACATGAATGAGCCATGCATCTTCTTTGGCCGAGTGAAAACGGAGAGGTGTTCGGCATTCTGGACAGAGAATGCCGACTAGGCCGCCTTTCTTCGGCTCTGGCAGATGCCCGTTGCTGATGAGTTGGTACCTTTCGTGGATGAGTGTCTCGACAACCATGTTCGAAGTCGTGTTCGTTGGCGCTGACAATCCGATCACAAAAAATTTGCCACCTTGAATCGATCATGTTCGTTTTACGTGTGATAATAACAATTGCCATGTCGCGTTGTCCCTTTTGGGTTGATGATACACTTGGGTGGATTGGATGATAGTTGAGTTCGTCCGCTTTGGTCATGAGGCAAAGGTGAAGGTCAGCGCTCGTCGCTTCACCCGGTCCGAGAACTAATCCCGTTGCTGATGAGTTGGTACCTTTCGTGGATGAGTGTCTCGACAACCATGTTCGAAGTCGTGTTCGTTGGCGCTGACAATCCGATCACAAAAAATTTGCCACCTTGAATCGATCATGTTCGTTTTACGTGTGATAATAACAATTGCCATGTCGCGTTGTCCCTTTTGGGTTGATGATACACTTGGGTGGATTGGATGATAGTTGAGTTCGTCCGCTTTGGTCATGAGGCAAAGGTGTGGTAGGAGATGTTGCGGAAAGGTTGGCGGTCAGTAGCTCTTGTGACACTTTGGTACTTTTGGGTAGTGTCAAAAGTACGTGGGTTTTGGACATTTGTATCATCACATGTAATATGCTTACTCGCATGCTTATAGTGGGGTTACTGTATTCCCACGGTCCCACGATTTTCCCAGTCCCAGATTCCCAGGACGAAACCCCGGATCCTCTGGTGCTCCCAGAGTGTGTGACAGTATATTTTGGTTGAAGGAGTGCTGTGTCAAGGATTGGTTAGTAGCAGCACACAGAGCCCGAACTGCATAGTAGTAGTAATTCATACGCCAATGGGGATGACATAGGCCAAGGTTGCAATTCAAAATGGGCGGCTGGCCGCCCAGTACCTCGTATTACAATAAAAGAAACCCAAAAAATAATAATCTATCATACAAATCTAAACCCAATCCTATCTCCAAACCCCTTTTCCCTTCCCTTTCCAAAACCTAATCTTCAATAAAAATCCCCCAAAAAAACCAATTCAATCTTCTTCCCTTCCAAATGAAAGAGAATCCCTTAAACCGTTAACTCATCAATCATTTTTCCTAAACTATTTGAAATCAATGGATTCGGACACCTTTGTTTTAATTCCATCAATTTCTTAGTTTCACCTCGATCTGCACATTCTTCTCCTGCAATGATCCATTCACCACATTTAATATATAATTCGATTCGATTCTTAGTTTCACATCTTTTAATATACTTTAATGCTTCTCGATTACAACCCATTAATAAAAGTTGATGTACGAATGGCTAATAAGTTTTCCAAAATCCCAATTCAATACAAATACACATCAGTTTCTTGATTTTTGAAATTAAAAGTTTGTAAAGGAATGAGAATCACTTACTTCATATCCTATAGGTGATTTTTTACTTGACCAATTTTCTAATTCAACCCAATCTTTAATCTCAACTAAAGCTTTTAATTTTAAATACCAATACCTTTTTTCATTCACTTTAAAATCTATACTTAACTTCTCAGCTTGTTTCTTTAATCCTAATTTAATTAATTCTTTAATAGTTTCATTTAACGATTTCATAATCTTTCCATCTTTAAATAACATTGAAATTATAAAACTTTTCTTTACATTCAAACTTCTTTCTTCCAAAGATGATGATGAGTTAATCGATTTAATTAAATCTTCTATTAAAGTTTTTTGAAATTCGATCAATCTGATGGATTCTTTTAAGATTTTTTCTTCAAAGATTCGATTAGAATCTTCTTTAAAAAAATTCAATCCAATCTTAATTTTCGAAATCTTTAAATTCCAAAACTCATTCCAATTACTAGGTAATTGTAAACTGGTTGAAGGAGCGGAAGATAAAAATCCACATCCATTTAAATAACTTTCCTCTAATGATAAACAACCACTTTCAGTTCTTCTATCATCCTGAAAACAAAAATCTCTAAACACATCCCAATCATTCCCCGGTTTAATTATCATCAATTTTCCTTTTTCATTCAAATTCGAATTTAATTTTCTATCAATATCATTCTTAGCCCAAATTCTAATACAACTCACAGCTTCTTCTTTCCCTTCAACAAATCCTAAGAATTCAGCTAAAGATTTCTTTGATTTGATTTCCCATAAAACAGATGATAATAAATTCGGATCTAAACTTTTGATCGATTGTTTTAATCCTTCTTCAAATTGATTCATTTTCATTAATAATGGGATTTGTTTAATAGGTAAGATTTCATATGAAAGTAATTGAATTGATAATTTGATTTTACCTAAATTCCATGCAATCTCTGCTATATCTGATGCTCCAATTCCTTTTTTTCCTTTTAATTTCTTCACTATCTTTTCACATAATGATTTATTAGTATTAGTTTCATAATTAGGATGTGTATTCATGATTAATGATCGAGCCCATTGTTTTAAGACTGGTGCTGGTGATAATCCTAAGAATTCTGTAATTCTCAATGCTAAAAGGTAATGTGCACGTGCTGTTAATCGATAAATTAAATGACTTGGATGATGTGCTATATACCTAATGAATCAAAAAAAGTTTGGGTTAAAGACTCCACTTCGACAAAAGAACTTGTTAATAAAACTTACTGTTCATAAGTTAAAGGAATCCCAATCTCATAATGTCTAACCGCATTTAAAACTCTCAAAGTCTTAGCCATCCTAACAAATCCTTCAGGATTGTAAACATCTAAAAACGATTTCCCAAAACTAGCCGATTTCAATAACCTTTCTTGCCATTTGATTTCAATTTCATCACCTGCTGCTTTGATACACATATTAACGGCTTCTTTTAAATTTTTCTTTATATTTCTCAAATGTTCATCTGATACTCTGGCTGATTTTTTATCAAAATGATCTAATGCATCAAATAAAATCGCTGCAGGTGAAGTCGATCCTGGTCTGAAAACTGATATAGTTGATGGTCCTACTTTTGATAAAAATTCACATGTATGAGATGTAATGATTCTAACTCCATCGATTTCTCCAACTAAATGAATCGGATCGGTGAAAGAATACCTGTACCAAATCGGATTCAAATTCAGATCAAATCATTCAAGTAAGTTGACTTGAATGTTTGATGAAGAGTTTGATTGATGAATTTACCTAAATGAAGCACCAAAAGGTCCGATCATGACTAAACTTTTCTCCCAACCCACAATCACTGTATCACCACCACACCAAACCATCTGAGTAGGAGGTCCATCCATCAATAAATCATCTGAATGTTGATCTTGTAAAGAATATTCACTCAATTCTCGACTGAAATCCGAAGAAACAACCCAAACTGTAAAAGGAGAAGGACTAGAAGCCGAAGTTAAGAGTGCTACAAATTTACCATTAGGTGAAGGTAAGATTCTTTCGTAGGGTCCTTTAGATGATAATCTTTGATCGGTTGAATCCATAGGATCTATTACTACTATTGAATCTGATCTAGAAACTAAGATTTGGACTACGCCGGTGTTACTTGATTTAGGTGGGATGACTGCCCAACTATTGGGTCGATCGATTAAACCACCAGATTCGATTGAATCTAACCTACCACCACCTTGATCAATAGGTAACCTTGTAGAATCACCTACCAAAGAAGGGATTTGAGAATCTTTAGAACCCATCCAAGGATCATTAAATGAAGTTAAATTAGATTGAAAATTAATTGAATCTTCTTCAAAACTTTCAATTTCTTCTGGCCATCCTTTAACTTGAACAAAACTTAAATCTAATCTCATGACTAACATTCCATCTGACCAAATCTGACCATCAATCACACCCAGTTCTTCTGTTACTGAACCTAAACTATGTTGAGTAAAACTAACTAAATCAGAATTAGTTGAAGTTGAAGTTGAAGTAGTTGAAGTTGAATTGATTGGATAAATTCTATAAAACCCATCTGATGATAAAGTCACCAAAGATTCTGATTTAGTAAACCCAAATGAAACCAATCGAGAAGGATGATCCCAAGTGATAGTAAATAATAAATTTCCAGAAGAAGAATGAATAAACAGTTTAGGTTTACTAGTTGAAGAAATATTAATATTATCACCAATCAATGCAATGGGTTTTGAAGTATCTAAAGTGATAGCTGTCAAAAATCAAAAAGTAAACATCAGATTTTGATTAGTTTTGGTTAGATCTTTTCTTTGGTTTAGATTGAATTGCTCTTGGGCACACCGAGTGGACCACCAAGTGAAGCCCCCACTACTCTATAAGAAGATAGATCGGAAACCGACCATGACATTTTATAGATTTCTTGTTTTCTATAATAAGTATCACCCACTGAATCCCAATCTGCACTATTTGGAGCCAATGTATGATTCATTTTGAGCTTGATTCTGATGTTGATGGTGACTGTTTGATTGGTATTGCTATGATAGTTGGTTAGTTGGTTGAAAAAGGAATTGGAATTGGTTGATCGATCGAATTGGGAGTAGGTTAAGGTACATAACACTTAAGTTGACCTTAACATTTAAGACTTTTAACTTAATCCTAAGTATCCACCGTTCTAAATCCATGTTCAGCAATCCAAGTTGAAGATCGATGAGTTCTGAATTGATAAATGTTACCAACACCTTCACCACCTTCACCATCAGAACTAATCGGAATCAAAAGAGTTCAATTCAAAGGTAAATCAGTCTTACTCAAAAAATCAAACTCACCTTACTTTGTACATCAAAATTATAAAATCATGAAACAAAAATCAGATCAACGAGCTCAATCTCATTCATCATCATCAAAAACTTCAAATCATTCTTTCATCGGTTCTACTTTGAAATATTCAATCTTAATGCTCTTATTGAGTTTTGGACTTAGTCGAATGATTATGGAACATTGGTTTTGGGGTTACGAAGGAAAATATGTTCAATTAAATTATTATTTACCAGTCAGTTACAAATACCAACCTATCCAATTCATCCCAAACTAACTAATTGAAATTTACTGATCTCTGCAGAAAGATAAAACGGTTTATACTTTAAAAGAATTATCAAATTACGATGGAATCAAAGATCCAACTAAACCTATCTTATTAGCTATCAATGGAAACGTTTATAATATGAATGCTAATAAAGCTATCTATGGTCCTGGTGGTACTTATCATCATTTTGCTGGTAAAGACGCTTCTAGAGCTTTTGTGACGGGTTGTTTTAAATCGGGTTTAACTTATGATACAAGAGGGTTTAATGATCAACAGAAAAAAGTAAGTCAATTTCTTATCTTTTGATCAAATTTCATTTAACATTCTCATGATTGGGTTTGGGGGGTTTTGGGTTTTTTGATATTAGGCTTTAGATCATTGGAGTGGGTTTTTTGAAAATTCTCCAAAGTATCCTAAAGTTGGTACGGTGATTTTACCTAAAATTGATCCAAATGTACCTTTACCAAAAGATTGTGATCCTAAATTAGAAGGTGGTGCAGTTTGAAATCAAATCAAAATCAATCTCTTTTTCTGGTTGAAGTTTTTTAAAGGTTTCATTTTTGATGTGTGTGTGTTTTTTGCATTAGTTTTTTTTGGTTTTTTTGGTTTTTGTATGAATAATAGTGTTTGTTTATTTTTGTTGGATTTATTTAACACCTTTGAATTTTAGAATTTCCCATTTTGTTGTGTATAAACTAAAACAAGAACAATAAAACTCACTTGATTTAACTCTCAATTTTATAAATTCCTGGATTTCTGATCTCTTTAGAATAAAACATGTGGAGTTTTCTTAGCTAAGGTTAAGGTTTTCTCTTGACTAGCTATGTCTCATAAATAGAAGGTGGAAGTCTCATGCTCTATTTAGGTATGAATTTCTGTCCCTTTAATCATGTGCATGGTGATTTAGAATTCAAGTTGATTAATTATACCAAATATCTTGATGATCTGTTTGCACAGATCTCTTTCTGGTTTTTCAGAAGGATGACATCCAATCATACAACTCATTCCAAATTAAAGATTTAATATCATATCTGGATAGTGCATAGCAAAAGCAAAGAAATCATAAATTTTGACAAAGACAAAGCATTGATTCATATTTTGGTAGTGATGAAAGATTTGATTTATTTTAATAAGGTTCAAATTAATTGATGAATTTATAAAAAAGGGTGACAAAAAATATCTCTGCATATTTGTTTGAATTTTATAGTCTTTGTAACTAATTTCCAGAACAAAACATTCAAAAAAAATCTTATCAGTACTTTATGATTGACTTAAAGAGTTAAGAACATGGTTGTCCTATTTTAAATTATTCACTTGGTAAGTTTGATTGAAAAAAGAAGATAACTATTCAGTTCCTGACTTGTTGTGAAGGATGAATCTTGACTACAAACTTGAAAAGATCTTTAAAAAGAATCTCTTGATGGATGAGAGATAAATAAAGATTGTGAAGTTTTTCTTGGTTACTTGATCAAACAAGTTGATAAACTTCAATTGATCTTTGAAAGTCATAGAGAAACTGAATAATTTACTTGTTTGATTGTTAATTCTCTTCATTTATTTTAATAGTGTGGTTTGGGAGATAAATCTTTTGCTTTCTAGTAAACTCTCAAGGATGATCTTTGAATTTTCAGTTTACAATGTAGAAAGTACTAGAAATTGACCTTTGATTCTTTGATGTAGATTGAACACCACCAAACAGGAGAAGAAAGGTAGGTAGAAGGTATGAGGCTTGGATAGAAGGTAGCTAGATAGTTTGAGTTGCTCAAAGAGGCTAACAGATTGTTGAAGATTGAAAAGGTAGTAAGGCAAGCAAACAGGGGAAGAAGCATAGTTTGACAAAATAGGGATTGAATAGAAAGTGTTTAAAGATTTTTAGTTGGTTATAAAAGCTGATAGATTGTTGAAGATTGTAAAGGTAGTAAGGCAAGAAAACAGTGGAGAAATTGTGATTTGAAGATACAAAGCTTCACCAAAACGGGATCAAGTGATTTGAGCTGAGAAATTGAGTCCAGCTGAAGCTGGTTTATATACCACAGATCTGGCAGGAGCTAAGGCATAATTTGGTTCAAAAGGTGAGGTACAAACTGAGACGTACACTGAGGTGATGACAGTGAATCCAAACATCATCAATAATGCTTATCACATGTCCTCAATCTGAGATAAAAGGTCAATGAAGATTCATACGCCAGCTGATGTCATTGTTTATTTTTGTTTTCATTGGTTTGGGACTTTTAGGATGGGCACCTAAGGGATCTAGAACTAAGGTGAAATGTGTACAAATTCTATACATCATTGTCAGCCCTGAGTACATATACATGTACCCAAATGATCTTGAAGTGGACCTGAAATCATAGGCATGATCTTCCCAGGAAATTGTTAAGCCTTTGTCTGGTCCATTTTTTTTCTTCAAGACCTTACTACTAGAAATATCAATTTGATATGCTCAATCATCAATCAGTCCAATCACCAAGTCTCTCCGAGTAAATACAATGGCAAAAGGCGTAAAAGATTGGAAGGCTCTACCAAAGTAGGCTCCACATCTGCAAAATATAATCAGACATCCATTGACTTGTCGCATTACATCTAGAATCAATTTTCTGCTTTGGATCCTACATGCAAATTGCATGTGTCATGATATACCAAAGTTTGTATTTGAGGACCACTTTTGCACTGTATCTTTGTCCTGCATAGTTGATGGGTAAAGCAGAAACACCAAAAAGTCCATTGCAATCCAAAAATGTAGTGTATGACCATTGGGGGCTACTGCAAGAATCAAATTTTGCTACCCATGTTGTTAAAACAAAACAAGGAAGATATGAATAGTAGGTGACTGGCGGAAGATATCATCATTTGATCTGTTGATCCAAATGGATGGTGAAGGAGAACTCACAAGTATTGAAACGCACAATAATTTCAATATGCAACTGAAAACTTTGGAGATTGACTCATATTCATTTCGATACACAGTTGGTTATAGCTTCTCAGTGTGTTATTTGCGCTTGTAATGAATATGCATCTGGGCGCGGAAGAACACATCCACTATTGGCAGTGAACTTCTCATATAGGGGTTTACTTGGGCCAGTTTAGTGCTAGGAGAATCCTAACCAGACAAAGCTTAACTGGGAAAATCATTTAACATACAAGGTTGTCGAGACTCAAGTATGAACATTTATATCCCAAATCTTTGATAAAGATGACCCAAAATGGATAAGAGAATTCCGATACAAGTATTTATAAGTGATGGACAGTTGAAAGAAGATGGAAGGTGTTTTACATAAAGGTATAATTTTGAATACAAGGAGTGTTTATAAAGCAGTTAATATCATCACATTTTCAGCTGATATCATTATTTGGAGATAGATTGAGTAAACATCTATAATCCTGGTGCATTCCTTCACCACCAGGAGATATGGAGTAGACATCTTGCTCTTCCATAAGTGGAGAAGCAAGGATGGAAGGATCCTCTAAGAATAAAGAAAAAGAGAGTATGTGAAGTAGATGATATAGATATATAATGATACATGATGAAGTGATGTCCGAAATTTTAACAAAACAAACAAGAAGAGAAGATAAAGGTATAATTTTGAATACAAGGAGTGTGTATAAAGCAGTTGATATCATCACATCTTCAGTTGATATAATCATCTGGAGATAGATTGAGTAAACATCTATAATCCTGGTGCATTCCTTCACCACCAGGAGATATGGAGTAGACATCTTGCTCTTCCATAAGTGGAGAAGCAAGGATGGAAGGATCCTGTAAGAATAAAGAAAAAGAGAGTATGTGAAGTAGATGATATAGATATATAATGAGACATGATGAAGTAATACCCGAAATTTTAACAAAACAAACAAGAAGAGAAGCAGTCGATTGAGGGGATCCAATTGAGATGTGATTGAGTGAATGACGATATGATCTAAAGATCGAATTCCTCCATTAATGAGAGGACATCTGAATCATGTAGATATTCTCGAATGAAGTCCCTAGAACATTGACAAATTGAAAAATACAGAGTCAGAACTATACAAAGCAACACTCCATGAATTGAAAAAAAAAGATTACATACCTTGATTGAGTACTACAGCGATGATCTTGAACCCAAAATCTGAAGAATTGAATTAATAATCGAAATATAGTCTTGTTCGACAATGGTGTCATTTCGATCCCGAGAATCTCTTGAAATTCCTTTCCGATTTTCCTTTTGATACGAGGATTGAGTTCTTCAATTTGAGTTATTTTTTCTGGAGAAAGATCTTCTAGTGGGATCAGTAGAGAACTCAAGCCGGGTGCAACATATTTCGCGCGTTCGATGACGAGTCGGGTTTGAGGAGAGAACATAGTAACAGGGTGATATCCTGCGACCCTAGGAGCGAGAGTTACGGTAGTCGAGGAAGGTCCAAGACCAGCGCAATTCCCAGGTTTCAAGAGTTTGTACTTCAGATGAGGATGTCTTGCGAGAAGGAGTTTGGCCAAGGATCGAAACTTGCGACTATGTGATGAGAACAGGATAAACCATAAAGTCAGCCATGAATGAAGTGGATCAAGATCAAAGAACTATAAGACATACTCTGGGTATGACCTGGCAGATGAACGTTTTGAGCACTTGGTCCGAATCTGTTGCCTGATAACCTCGGGAATGGAGGTGTTGAAAGTCTTATGATAACGAGGACTATACGCGTCACCAGAAAGCGGAGACGGGAGATATTCCATCGTACAAGAGACTAGTGATTCAGAGAAGAGTAAAAGCCGAGAGAAATACGGTGATTTGAAATTACTAGTAAGGGTTGGTTGAGGTGAAAACAAGAAGGTGATCGCGTTATCTAAGTTACTGTTAATGTATGGTTGGGATGATATGAATGAATCGGATGGAATGTGGTTGGAAGTGGTGGTAGTGAGAAAGGTTAATTCTGTATCGAAAGAAATGAAGTCGACAAATTTTATGATTGGGCGATCAGCTTTGAAGGATATTCGGATCAGCTAAAAATCTTGTATTTGGGGAAGACTTGCCGCGGTCACTTCTGTTTTTTTGTGATCACGGGACTTGCTCAACAAAGTCCAATTGTTTCATATTTGTTTGTTCACTGTATGTATCTCAAAACCTTATTTTGCCGACTGAGCTGATTATCATCGCGAGTGTTGCCCAGAGTATTCCACTTGTTTAGATTTATACAAATTCACATTCTTGATCCTTAACTTCTGATGAACAATTCTTCAATCCATCTCAACCCTTGACACTTTTCAGCTTGATCACCTTTTCTGATATCCGATAAGACTTCTGCCCAATTTAAAAGATCAATCTGTATCGATGAATGATAGGAATTCCATTGTATTTTACAACGGTTTGATCTCTTCACTTCGTTTTGTTCAAGTTCGGTCACTTCGAGTTTCTTTCAGATGCTCCTTTGTTGAAGGTTCCTGTTTCCGATCTTATTTTCTCAGCTGTCTCCTTCACTTTTCTATTTCCTTTCTTCTTTGGTTTCATAAAATTCTTATCCTGGATTTCTGCTTGTCGCTCCCAAAACAAGCCTCTCAAGATTTCCAGATCTTATAGACGCACAACATCCATTCTTCCTTCAAACTCAATTTCAACCACGCCTGCGAGAATATCCAGAACCATTCAAGTTGATCAAAGTCACCGAACAATTGGATGAATATGTAACAACCGTTGTGTGTCTTTCTACCTTCCCCTTGTCCTTGAATTGATAATATCCTCGAATTTTTGACTGAATTTTCTCATCTGCCATTTCGATAACAAGTCATCATATATTCATCCTTCTTCGACCTGATCAATTTGAGAGAAGAAGTTCTGCGAGGTGTTTTCTTTCAGATTCAAGTTATCTTCTCTATATGTATCATTGCTTTTATTGTCATACAATCGGCTCAAATTGCAAATCTTTCTATCCTTGCTTGTTCATTTATGGACAAGCAAGATTTCTACGCCAAAGATCCTGGTGGTGAAGGAATGCCTATCAATCTATCTTTAGATGCGTATATCATTCCAACTGAAATATCAAATTCTCGACGTCCATTTGCTTTTATTCTCTCATTGGTACAAACGCTCCTGCATAACGACCTTTTAGGTATCTGAAAGTGCAAAAGTATGGCATAGAGTGGTAATGTTATTTACAGATGCAATTTTTCAATTTATAGTAATACAACAGCGTGAAGTATTTCATGATGATAACCATGTATTCAAGTTATTTCACAGCACATACCACTAATAAACCGAATGACTGTTCAGATAACAGTGAATATGGGACAAAGTCCCTCATATTTCCAAGAGACACAGTCTTGTGCTACAAGTCTTGTCTACTCCAGATCACCTATCCGCCAGGATTACTGTACAGATGAGATGATTTCCTTTGTGACATTGACCCCTTAGTTGGTGTTTATTGTCACTATGTCCTTTCAACTCGTGACGACGATGAGACGCAAAAACCTCTACTTTTGGTCTCTGGATCTACTCACTATGGAAAAGGATGGTATGTCTGCTTATGACGTCTTTCCAAGTGGTTTGATTGTGCTTGGAAGCTCTGTAATTTATCATCTTAAATCAATCAAACAAGTTCAGTTAAGTCCTCGTGTCTATAGATTGACAGGCTCAGCGAAATCGCTTGCGGGCTACATGCAATTGAGACACACAAGAAAACTCAAATACCAGATAACTTCTCAAATATATGAAACGCACAACATAGAGAGATGACCTTTTGCAAAAGTGTGATTTTTTAATTACTACGGCACCCTGAAGCTTATAATGAAGATCAACATGTGTCCAGGTCGTTCTAGATCGATTGTGTTGATACCGGTGAACGCGAGTACAAGCTACAGCTCTCAGAGAGAAAGAAAGACTTACTTTTCTTGTCAACTTCTGATTTCACATTTCTCCTGATAGCTGTGCAGGTGAGATGGCTTCATCGCAATAGTGGGCATTCACTCAGTCTTTATTATCAATACGTCCATTCAAGTCATATTGCTTTTGGTCTTTGCTCGATCTCCATGAACAGAGTAGTAACCTCTTCGCAATCCAAAGCAGAGATCTTAGTCTCAAAGAGTTGACAAGGGTTACGATTTGATGCGAACGAGTGGCTTCTGATTGATAAACAAAACAGATCCTTGTGTGGTTGCATATTCAACTCCAAAGCTTTTGCTTTTAGTCTTTGCTCGATCTCTATGAACAGGACAGTAGCTTCCTCGTGATTCAAAACAGACAATTCAGTCTCAAAGAATTGACAAGGGTGTTGCTTTGATGCAAACCAGTGGCTTGTAATTGATAAAAAATTCAGATCCTTGTAAGTTCCCATTACATGATAGTTGGACCACCCATAATGATGTTGGGAGATACAAAGTCTCGAATAATATCACAATTGATTTCAGGAGTTGATGGTGCGGTAAATTTGATGAGGCAACATATAGATATCATGAAGAACAATTGGGATTCCAGGATGCAATGATTTGGAATCGAACAGATAGGATCCCGATGATGATGTTCTCCGAAAATCGTGATTTCCTAATGGCAGGCAAATACGTTCTGAAGTCGCGAACAAGGCCCACGACCGTGTATCCACCGAGTTAAATCCTTGTCAGGAACATCGCATCATGAGGTTGAGGAATGATCAATCATAGCCATCGTACTGAGGTGAAGCGCGTCTACTTTTGATACGTTCGAGTTGACTTGCCAGGAGGGAAAGTGTGAAATACCACAACACAAAGCTGTTTCATCAATCAGATCACATCCTCCATGAGGTCGTTCAAGCTCCGATGATCCTCATTCATGTCTTATAGTCGTTCGTATGTGAATCTTGTAGGTTCATTTAGTTCACATTTTGCTTGTCGGCTTGGCTCAAAATTGAGGATAAAAAGGAGTACGAGCGAACCAGAGAGCTCAGCAAGCCCGATCTCCACGTTGCTGATCTCGATGCTTTCAAGGTACCGTGACAGAGGACCCGATCCGATCTGCGTCGATTGCCGCAGCATGCTCAATAGCATTGTTAGGCATGCATTTGTGACAAGCATGCATTCAGATGCATTCTCAGGCTTATAAGAATTGCAAAAGCTTTGCCACTCTACCAGCATAAAGGTGACATAATGGTCTTCATTCACAGTACGGCGATGTTTCTCATCAATTCCAGCAAGATCAAGTTATGATGGTTGTGGAGTATTGAAGCTGGGAAGTAGTGTTACGAATTCAATGTGTGAAAACTCCACAAAGTTTGCACCAAGATCCCTCTGAAGGCCAAACGGTAGAATTTTGAGCTTCACATCTCTGGGTTAAAAGCCTTGACAGTATTATAAAGTCCTTTAACCTGTGCTCCGGACATATAATTTTCCCTCTGTAATTCACAAAAACAAGCCAGCAGGAACATCGCTCAACAATGAAGATCAGGATGGAATGAAAAATTGATTGGGCTTGCTTAACGCATAGTCACAAAGGAAAAGGCAATATGTCTGTCGAAATTCCACTGGTGTAGTACATTTGTTTTCTACAGAAGGGTATCCTAGATTGATGATTTATACCACATGATCATCTGATAGTCAGTAAGAAAAAGGAAAAAGATAAGGTAAAAGAACCAGCTAGGATATTCCACTGACCTGCGTGTTCGACATCACTTGGAGGATAGTTGTAGCAAAAGTAGGCATAGGCTTTGGATGAGGCCATCAGTGTTAGAAAGAGGATAATCGCCAAATTGGTGAATCTCATGATTGGGAGGAACAAAGTATGACTGTTGGATTTTGGGAGGGGAATGGTGTGAATTGACGAAATAAGAACATAGGCTTTGAAAAACTCAAGATGGATAATAACTTTAGACTATGTAGCTTCACTGAACAACAGCAAAGAGAAGACCCATCCCTGGGGGAGCCGATAATAGCTGACGGTGCTTTCATAACCTTATCAATAGTTTGACTGTGGAAAGTCACAGGTCTTGATACTCAGCCATTCATCTCATTTATAGCATTTATCCAACGTGATCAGCGCTTGCACCAGCTCGAGGTCGGCGTGGGTGTAGGTACCTCACACAACTCCAAAGGGAAATCAAAGTGGACCTCGAACTTTTGAGGATGAAGTTACTCGGTGCTACCTAGTAGTAGTGCCAGTCTGCAGAAAATTCAAAGTCACCAGTAACCCGCTCAAAATTCTTTCAACTTTGCATCTTACGTGTAATGTGTCCGCTTTTCTCTCATTTTAAAATCCTAAATCTTCTCAAATTCTTATTGTATTGTATGTTCCAATAAAAAAAGAAAACCGGATACTAAACAAAAAAATCCCACTTCTCAACTAAATTCCAAAAAAAACATGCATAAAAAATAGAGAAACGAAAACAAAAGGGAAAAAAAGAGAACTTGAATTGTGCCATCATCATCATATTATAAAATCTTGAGAAAAAAAAGCTTCATAAAATGTAGAGAAAAAGTAAAATTAAATCTGATACAGAAAGAAAAGAAAAAAACTAGTAAAGAGAAAAATCGAATGAAAAAGAAAAAGAAAAATCAAATGTAAATTTTCCTCAATAACAATAACAAGTAACAAAAACAAAAACAGATCTCAGACTCAACAAAAAGACAGAAAGAACAAAAACAAAAACAAATTCAAATTCAAATGTAAGATAGAAAGAAAGAAAAAGAAAGATTAAAACTATCTATTAATGGTTCTCAGATCTTCCTTTTTCTTTTTGATCCTTTTCTTGTTCTTTTTCTTTTGCTTGTTCATGATCTCTATCTTTACAAGCTCTATGAACCAAAGACTTCAGAACACTTCTAGCATCTGTACAAACCATCCCCCAAACAAAAGCGAAAATCTCAGTCAAGTTTCCCCCTGCAAATAAAACAAGCAAAAAATTGAAACTTACACTCTAACTTAGATAAAACAAATGCAATTTTATCACGATGAGCAATCCATTCCTCACTCTTCCCAACATCTTCATCATCTCTTTCCCTTTCTCTTTCCTCTTCTTCATCCTCATCACCTAGTTCTTTCTTTTTGTTTTTCTTATTCTTAGCTTTAAATAAACCTAATTCGAAAGCTTCTTTAAATAATTCACCAATGTAATAGCTCTTTAAGTTTAAATCAGGTTCAATCAATGTAATCTTTCGTCCTTCATCTGTTAATAACAATTTTTGATGATCCCAAAAATTAATCTATCACAAAAAAACACTCAAATAAAGTCAGAAAAAACGCATTTTGTTTCTTGAAATAGAATTAAAGAGAAACTAAAACTAACCTGAATTAAATCATTACTCATCTTAAAAACAATCGCACTATTCATTCTATAATACTTGACCACAAAATCTAAATGTTTGGTTCTACTTAAATCTCGATATGCCCATTTCACATTCCTTTTAAGTGTACGAAACATATAATCTTCAAAATATTCTAATAAATATGTTTTTCTAGATAATTCAATTGGATAATTTTTAGGTTTCAATGTATAATTCTTCCTTTGATAAATCATACCTGTTCTATTAAAAATATAATCAAAATGACTGAGGAAAAAATCAAACATAACAAAACAAAACAATCAATTATTTTCACTTATTATTCTTTTTAGAAAAAAACAATCCTATAATAAAGATTTCTTTTGTTTACTCACTTTCGATCTGGTGCCATAACCATAGTAGTACCATCGTTAAAATATAATCCAGAAGATCCATCAGTCAGAGCATAAGCCGTACCATACTTATGAGTATAATCTACCCAAGATTGAATAAAGACACCAGGTGGTTGATCATTCTCTTGGCTTTCACGTTCTTCTCTGCCTCCTGTACCATTATAAAACGGTAATTTCATTAAGGCTTCTGGTGAGGTAGCTCCTAAAGCTGATAATAAAGTTTGATAACATGCTTCGTAAAGTGCAATGGTGGGATTGAATGATGCTGCTGTTCTTGTTTTACTCATTCCTAGTGGGAAAGTTTCGGTTGCTGGATTAGACGATGAGGAAGCAACTGGTGCATGTTGTGAAGAGCGACCTGAGAGGATCAATCAAAATCAAAATCAAAACACAATCAAACTTTTAAAGCTCTTTTGGGTGTCTCTGGAACACATCACTTAAAAAGAAAACAAGACTTACTTTGCTGAGATGTGGATTTAGATAGAGGTTTAGAAGAAGGAGCTTGTAGTTGTCTATGTGCAGGATGAGAAACCAAATCCACCTCTTCAGCTCCTCCTTCTTCAACTTCATCTCCAATCTGTTCATCTCCAATCTCTTCTTCTTCATTAGAAGTATATCTATGTCTTCTATGAGGTTGATTGCCGTTTCCAAAATCTAACATCCCACTCGCGATCCTTGCTTTCTGTTTACCTAAATCATTTTCATCTTTGATTCGATTAGGTAAGGTCGTTCGTTTCGCTTTACGTTCTGCTCTTGTACTTTGTCCAAGTCCTTCTGCATTAGATGGTACGTTTTCATCTACTTGATTGAAATCTTGTTGGGTTGTTGTAGATGTAGTTGAACTAGGTAGGATTTGTCTTTCTTGATCTTGTTTACTGTTATTATATCCATTCTGTTTTGCATTGATAAGTTGTTGAAATAATTGGGTTCCTCCTTCAGCAACTCCATTGTTTGAAAACGTATTCGGTTGATTATGACGTGGTGACACGTAGAGCGGTTTACGAGCACTCTTGAGTAATTCAGAGATTGGACTACCAGGATTGAGTGCGCTTTGTGCTTCACGTTCGACTCGTCTTCTTTCTTTCGAAGCTTTAACCGGATCAGACAGTGTAACACTCACAGCAGTTGACGAAACAACTCTCTTCTGTTGATGAGGTCGATCACTCCTTGAGGCTGATGCTGCAAGTGCTCTCTTAGATTTAGTAGGTTGTGTTGGATCAACAGGAATCTCCGAAGTTAATTTAGCCTTTGACATCTTCTTCGATACAGCTTTCATCTCTTCATCTTCTTCCTCTTCTACAATTCCATCTAATCTGCGATCTTCAATTTGGTTCTCTTCCTCTTCTGGTTCTTCTTCAACACTACCCACTAATGTACGCTGACTGCGTGATAAGTTGGCATTTGCAGCTGCTTCATCTTGTAAAACTGAATCTAAATCTAATTTACGTATATAATCATTTCTAAATCGACGTGATTGAAGTTCCGTTAAATTAGAAAAATCCGGACAAAACTCTAATGCGCTCATCGGAATCATAAATGGAAATGGTCCGTCTGAGAACCAAGGATGAAAGACAACTGCGTGTAAGGAAGGTCGTTCGTTTGGGTTTTGATTCAAGATTTGAGAAATGAGCGCTGTCGCGGAAGCAGAGATGGGAGATGGACTTGGGAAGGCGTATGCATTAGCTTTGATATTTCGATAAATTTGATTGACGTCCTTTGTGTAAAAAGGCGGTTTGCCGATCAATAATGCATACCTATAGAAGTACAAAGATGGTTCAGTTATGATTCAAGCGAGTACTTTTCTTTATAAAGTAGTTATCATCTACTCACAAGATTACACCGACACTCCAAATATCTACCTCAAAAGAATGACCATTAGTCTGATCAAAGAGAATCTCAGGCGCGATATAATTAGGTGTTCCACAGATAGTTTTCCTTCGATCTCCTTTAAATTTGACCAATGCAGCCAAACCAAAATCACCAACTTTGACTGCTAAGCCTTGTTCATGATCAGGTTCATCGTGACCATCTTGACCGTAGAGAGACGAATTTTCGGATGCAAAGAACAAGTTTCCAGGCTTCAGATCACGATGAATTACAGAGGAGGCGTGCATGTAAACACAGGCTGAGATGAGTTGAAACATGAGTAATCGCGCTTCAGGTTCACTGTATGATTTTCGAAGCCTGAGTAAGTCAAGCAGTGACTAGATGTTTTTGATTGGTTCGAAGAACGCGGTGATGATGAAAGTATCGGATTTTAAATTGAAATTTTAATATCAAAGATAAAAAGAAAAAGGAATCAGCTTCAAATTCCAAATTTCAATTGTCTGATGGATACGAAAAGAAAGTATGTACTTACACCGTGTTCACATAATTCCATTTGAAGATAAACGTTTTGTTGATCCTCAAAACAAGAATGAAATTTAACGATATGAGGATGATTCATTGCTCGATGTAATTTAATCTCAGCATAAAGTTTTGATTTATTCTTTGAACTCTTCAATTGATTTTTACTGACAACCTTCAATGCACCTAATTGTTTTGTTGTTTCATCTCTCATTGCATAAACTCTTGCAAATCCACCTTCACCTAATAAACAACCACGTGTAAGATAAATAAATTTTCCAGCTTGATCTGTTAAGATTTGACTTGGATCTATTGTTTCTTCTGTTTCTCCTTCATAGATTGGTTTTCGGATCTTTCTAGGTGGTGATTTATGTTGTTGTGAAAGTTTTCCTGGATTGGCTTTTGGTTTTGCTGTCGTTGTTGCAGCAGTAGCAGTAGATGATGTTGTTTTCTTGCTTGTTGGCGGTAGTGTTTCATTATTGATTTGAGGCATGATGGATGGATGATCAGATTGGAATGGAAATGAAGTGAGAATGTGGGCTGAGGATTGAGGAACTATTGAGAATGAGGGTAAGGTCAAGAGGAAAATAGTCAACAAGGATTAAGTAAGCCAGCTAATTGGATATTTTCATTAAAACCCCATTCAAAACTACATTCATGATCTGTCACTATCACTTTCACCCAACCTGTCAACTATATACATATCACTCCAATCACACAATCTCAAGTCATAGCACGCGGTACCTTTTACTCCGTCATATCTCGGATCCATCCACTATCAATTATCCGATCGCACCTGATCTCCGTGCTGAATTCTCAATCAAAGCTCACAGTCAAAGTTTCAAATCGTCTCCAGACCACTTGACGAGAATGTTTTAACCTCTGTGCACATAAAGTCAAGGCATAGGGGAAAATGGTCAAGACGATCTGTGGATGAAATACATCAAGGCTACAAAATATGTTGAACAAAGAGGAAAAGAATGGTTAGAATAAGACAGTGGACAGTGGACAACAGTCTTGCTTTTGCCCTAACTAATAACTAACTCTAAGTTGGTGTTGAAACTTGAAAAGAGCAAAGATGACATAGTAGCAAGCTTGTCCAAAGCCCCACGCTCTACTTTGACCAAAGTCAAAGGGAGACTACATACATGAAAGACTCCAGAAATAGATGCGGCAGGAAAATGTATTGAATCTCTACTGGTAAAGTCAAGGTATAGGAGAACTGCAAATGATCTTTGCATGCATTACACTCAGGTCACAGAAGAACTGTATAAAAATTGAAAAAGAATGATAAGAATGACACAATCTGCTACAAAATTACTTGAGAAAGACAATATCTGCCCAAGAGCAACACGAAAAAATGAAAGAGCAAGAGAGAGTGATTTTTGTTTGTAAAAATATTAAAGCATTTGATCAGATTCTAATTTGTTGGATAATTTACTTGTAACAACCTTGAAGTTTTCATCAGGATATAATGAAACCTTTTCATTAACTTGATCATCAACATAAAATAATTTCTTTCTACTTCTTTTGTCTTTTATAATTTCTGTTTCAATTTTTATGATTTGATTTGATTCTAATCTACGTCTAAGAGCTTCACCTAAAGCCGTAACTTTTTAAAAAAAATAACAAAATTCAAAGGATTTTTCTTGCATTAGTTTTTCTCAACAAAAATGACAAGTCAATTATATGGAAAAAATAAACAAACCTGGAGTCAGTACACCTCCGAATTTAGCTAATGGTGGTAAATCATCAAAAGATTTGATCACAGTTATTGCACATTCTGCAATACAAACGGAAGTAAAACCGTATCCCTATAATGTAAACCCCCAAAAAAGCTTCAGACTCTCTTTGACTAAGCTATTTCAAGCCGGATGAGAAAATTCCAGATCAAACACTAGTAAAGAAACTTACTGGGTCTTTATTTCCTTTCATAGTGACTCGAACGTGTACATCATCATTCACAGAATGAGCGGTAGTAATCATTTTAAACCAACCAGATTCACGTTCTCTAATCCCATCAACCAAGATAAACCAAAAAAATTCAAAACCAATTCCGATTCATCTCAAGCGAAAAAACTCTGTCAAGCGAAAAAAAACTTACTTTTCTGAAGGACCTCCACCACTCTTAGGTCCTAAAATTTTAATTAATTGTCTAATTTGAGGAATAAATAATAAAATGATTAAAACTTTTAAAGTCAAAGTTAATATAAATGCTAAGATTGTTGTAGGTGTGATCATAAATTCATCGTAAGTGAATTCAGGTCCATATTTCAATTCTTGTGGGATGATTTGATTATTTGATTCTAGTAATCCCCAGCTATAACGTACTATGGCTCCATTGTGTGGTGCCTGTATGTCAAGAGAAAAGACAACTTAGATGTGGGTTTTTTAATTTTTGAATTGGTGGTTGGATTTCAAGTTACTTACCATTACGAATAGTCCTCCAACGATAGAAGGTTCCCTAATAATCCAATCTCCTGTATCTTTTTGGATACCTTTAACTAATTTTACGATCATACATGATAATGATAAATAAATCAATTATCAGTGCGTCATGAGAAATGAAACCGAATGGGAAGAATCATACTTGGACTCAAAACATAAGATTCCATAGCTTTACTAAAAGCCTTAAACCCATCATCAAAGGTCCCTAAAAGACTAAGAAGTGTACCACCACTAACCCCACCACGAGCATCAACACCTGAAGTCACTCTACCCACACCAACATCCTTGCCCACGAGTTTTTTCAAAGTTTGAGAAGCAATCATCGTATTCAAATCGCTTGGAACTGAATCAAATCCACAACTTGGAACTATGATTGATTTAGATAGTTTTGATTTTATGTTCAAGTTTGTGATTTGGTTTGATACCCATAATGTTTCTCCTGTCAAATCAAAATAATGAGTTCCTTTTTCAGCGCATGCTTTGATTAATCCATCACCAAATTTTGCGTAAGGTCCAACCTATATCACGAATCAAGAAAGATAAATCAGTTCTTCTTTTTACTGAGACGCGCACTGAGACGCATCAGATTAGTTCAAAGGCTTACCAAGGTGATCACAGCTTTAGTGACTTTACACATATTTTCTAATCCGTTCACATCAAATGAATCAACCACAAAGATAGGTAAATCAATAGGTAAACCTAATTCATCTTTAACTTTTTCTAATTTTTCTTTTGATCTACCACCCATTCCAATCTTAATTGATTCTTTTGATGTTACATCATATTTGTTTAAATAATTATTTTTCAAATGTTCACAAACTAGTTTTCCTACGTAAGATGTTGCACCGTAAACTGAAATGAAATGAGATTGGGTGGGGTTAGTTAATACGGATTTCTAAGTTGATTGTAGGTTTCAGAAGAACGTACCGATTATATCAAGCTCTCTATCAGTGTTGAATGACATCTTCACTTATAATAAACAGGAAATGAACTATAGTCTACAGGTTGATACAAAGATGAAATACTTGCAATCAAATTATTACCTTCAAAAGAAAATTGATAGCAATTAAAAGTATCAGATATGGAGTGATGAAGTTGAAAAAAATAGGAAGTGATGTTACCTTTTCTTGAAAATGTGTTCAAAAAAGGCAATTAACAGCAGTTCAACGATCAGAAGGTAAACTAATCAGTTACCAAAATAGGAAGATAACATTTCCTCTTAATCTTGAAAATTTCAAAAACTGATGAAGTCAGTACTGATTTCTAATACCCAAGGGAAACTCATCTCGCGTAATTTTTTTCGATGATTTGTAATGCCATGTGCCTATAGTGGGCGCAATGCACGATCCACATCGATTTACATCACACAAAGACACTTTTGCCGTTGATATTGTGCAGTATCTATTTGCGTGTTTCCTCGTGTAGCTTGTGTTCCAATTAACTGTCGATTGCAGAACAAAATCATTCTTCTCCGAGCCCTGATGATTGCAGATTCCCGATCAAAAGAATCCTATTCCGACACTCATCTGTTCTTTTCTGTCTTTCTCAACTTCTCAATCCATGCACGCAGAAATTTCCAACCAAATCCCACTTCTAGTTTCAGTTCAAGTCGTTTTATTTTTCTTTCCACCCACCCTCACCAGAAAAATCATAACTCTGAAAAAAAACTTTTATCTTTCTCCAAGTTCACAGCCATTAATCTGAGCAGCTCTGAGCACTCAAACAATTCTTAAGGTTCACGTTAGTGTTTGATATTTGTTAATATAATTCATTTTCTACCCACTTACATTATAATCAAGGAATAGTTTTTGGCACGTGGGACTTGGGTACGACTCAAGATTTGATAATACTGTTGAATGATCTTAAATGACGCAAGAAGGCCCCAGAGGGTCTGACCCAAAATTGCTGCAACCAAAAGTCCGGTCACTTAGAGATGATAAAAGTTATGTACAGTCAAACCGGAAAAGCTTGACCGATTTTGCCCGCAAAACTCGAGCAAATTAGCGGGGAATCGGTGGCAAGCTTTTCCGGTTTGACTGTACAGCCATTCCGATATTGCTTGTCGCTCCGGTTTGAAAAAGAAAAAGTGAAACCTAAGTTTTTACCTGTTTTTACTCAATAAAACTTCAAACTTGGCTGTAATTCAAGGCAATACAGCCAAATTCCAGGTTTTAGCCGGTTAAAACTTAGGTTTCAAGCTCACAAACTTTTTCTTTTTCAAACAGGTGCGACAAGCAATATCGGAATGGCTGTATGTACATACAGAAAGAGAGAAGATGACAACACTAGAATAGTTTTCAACAAAAGGTAAAGAACTACCCGTGAGAGACTGCTGTACTGAATACCGTGTGTTACCAAGTTCACTTTCCAAAAACTTGGGAGACGTGATTATCACAACTTAGATCATCTGACCAAAGTCAATTTGCCCACTTCCTTTTTCTGTAGGTGAAAACGCGTGCCACCATGATGTTTCCTCCAAGATTTTTTGAAGAAAGGAGAGAAAAATTCCATTTTGATGTTTATATATCGATGTAATTGCAATCTATTGTAATCCCATACCTATGCTAATACTCAATTATGCTACTAGTTAGATGTGGGACTCAGGGGTTATACTTTCTGGGGTAGACAACTATTGACTTGTCTCATGAGCGTATTGAGCTGCTCTTGCATTGTGCGTCTTAAAGCTGCATCTTTTTTCAACTGACCATGAGTTGTTCTTTGTGCAGCTGCTTCTTCAGACGGTGAAGTTGGATTATTAGATTGTGAGTTTTTCTAAGGGGCTTGTTCTTCCAGCGCAGATTTGCCTGTGATTAAGCCAAGAAGTTGTCTGATATTCTGTTGAGCAATAGTTGACAGTCTTGCATCTGGTACAACATTGAAGTGGGCCGCCTTTGTTGGGGCTTTTTGGGTCAAACCTTGTAATTTTGGGGTTAAGATTAGAAGTGGTGTTTGAAACCATGTTACGGACATCCAAATGAGTGCATAAAAATGGTCTGTTGGTGAATATCAGGTGAAAGTCAAACAAAGTGCCCAATTTGAGTTCCTCACTTTGTGGATTGCATGGCTGGCTATACTTGACAATGACACTCTGAGATTTGGGACTGTTGTTAGTCACATTTTCATTGGCATTGGTAGGATTTGAGTGCTCAGCTTGAGTAGCAAGGGTGGTAGGTTGATCTTCTTGGCCTTGAGGATTGCTTGGCTGACCGCGCCAGCACAGTAGGACTGTCACTTTTTGGGTTGGATGCCTGTCCTGACTCAGCATTCTGTGGTAGCCTGGCAGTGACATTTCTACTGTTTAGTCTGTCAGGTTTCAGGTGCGCACATTGAGAATTGTTGTCAATTGCCTCATCAATGTAGAGGAACACCCCAAGAGAGCGCAACTGATCAAAAAGTGAAAGCTGATGGTGCAGAAAGGTTACGGAAGACTCGCGTAGCATAGCTCCAAGAACAGTCTGACTTCCAGTCTCATTGTTCACATCCCCAATATAGCTGATAAACCCCTTTTTAGTGTACATTTCAAATATGACCAGCAATTTGTGTTCCAACCTGTTGACCGCCATGAATATTTGACACTGCTCTGAGACTTTGCTGATGTGCAGGACTTTCACATTATAAGGAGGATCCAAGGCAAATTTGATGACATTGCTAACAACCATGTTAAGGATATAATCTAGGTGCATATACAGCTGTTTCAACAAAGATTGATTATTTTGGAAAATCTTATCACAGTGCAAAACCTGGGTCTCTCAATTGTTTTTGCATCTCTGCTAATCTGTAGAAGACAGAAAAAATAAACCCTACAAACAAGACTTTTGTCTTGTTTTGTTTGCTATGGCAACAACTTTCTCAAAAAAAAAGTGGCCAGTCTTTCTTGAAATGGCTATATGTTCCAAGCCTCCATTTGAGTCCAAGATCCTTTTGAAAAATCAACAGCTAAGGCACATGATGACAGTCCCACCTTGCTTGGTGTATGATGTGAATCTCCTGATAACTATATCATACTCCTTCTCACATATCTCATGTTGGCCCTGAGTACTAAGCCATGGTACCAAGGGATGACACATAATAACAAGAAAACCCTCAAAAACAATAATTACAACTCAGACTCAGTTTCAAGAGTCAAATTACATATGAATTAACATGTGTAACATGTGTACAACTTATGTAAAAGACTGTGTACCTACACAAACTTAATCAAGTCCCCCCCTGACCTGTATGGCCAGTACAGGTCAGGGGTGGACTTAGTTAAGTTTGGTACCTACACAGCCTTTATAGTCCCAAGATTACATACATTTCACAGCTGTAAAATGTATGTAACAAAGTAGAAATGTTTATAACTTACATGTAATAAAATCTAACCTTGACACCACAAAATGTGTGCATAGGAATTTCAAACTTCAGACTATAAGAACTCTGAATATGCAAACCTTGTAATCATCATCACATTACAATTTAATACTTTTTATTCACTCAAAAAATCCTTATTACCAACTAGATCATATGCTTCCAGTAAAGTGATCTTTACTGTCTTATTTGTGATTCAGTTATCTTGTTCTCATGGTTTCCATTTCACTCTAATATTGGTGTTGTTCTTGAACAGAATATTTTCATAGTTATTGATTACCATTTGTGGAATCAACTTATTTAGGAAATAGTCCTTACGTGCTGATTGATCTGATTAGTATTTGGTCAGATCAAGAAGCTTCAAACCTGTGTAGTACCTGTATTAGTCAGAGTTTAAAGTACTAAACACTATGCAAGAGTTTGTTGTTCTTCATCAACCAATTTCTAGCTAGAAAGATAATTGATTAAGGGAAGTCACTGAAGAATCAGTGCATAATCCTTACTAAAATACTAGTTCCCCCAAAAAGCTTTTCTTCAACGGTTCTTTAATTGTAGTATGCACAGTCAAGTGCAAAAAGAATGAAATCTCGATCGCAAATTTCAGGCTAGATGGACCGTGCCCGTGGCGTGAGCAGGCGGATATGAACCGCCACATATTCGCCTCATCTCTCAGAAATTTGCGTCTCCATAGACACAAATTTCTCATACAGGCAAATACTGGACTGTCGAAATGACCCCAAAAAAAATCCACAATGCTCATCGTTTCTGATCGTTCCCCCAATCCCCATCGGAAACCCCATTCCCTTCCTCCGACGTCGATTGCAACATCCTCAATCCTTGCTACTGATATGGGCTTTCAGTCCTACTCGAAGGACATGAAACTCTTAGCTGTCCAAATGGCTATGGAAGGCGCCGATCTCGACACCATCAACACCACCCTACGAACCTCCATATCACCAAGTACACTTTGGCGATGGAAATCCCTCTACGTTTGAACCAACAATGTCATTGTTGATCCTGCTCAATACCAGACCCGCGGCCGGCCACACATTTTGTCGGACCTGCATCTTGCCCTGCTCCACAAGCTTGTTTCCGGAAACCCTTCTGTTTACATTGACGAAATCCAACGCCAACTCTTTCAACTCACCGGAGTTGCCGTATCGCAATCTACCATTGGTCGCGAGTTGCACCAGCAATTGGGACTCTCCCACCTGGTCGCTCGAGGGGTTCATTCTGCGCAATCCATCCAGGCTTGAACCGAGTTTATGATGAGGATTGGTCGTATTCCTCCTGAATACCTGGTTTGGATTGGTAAGTCATGTTGAGGTTCAATCAACACAAGCATACAAGTCTAGATTATGCTTATAGCAGAATCACCCCAATCTTCTTACATATATATACAACAACCTTCATCAGTCTTCTTTTCCTCATCTATGAAAAGAAGACTGTAAGTGAACTTATTTCTTTATTCTTTTTTCTCGATCTTTGTGACCTCTTCTGATTTATGCTATCTTATTCTAGTCCCAGTCATTATCTTTGTTAGACCCAAGATTAGGCTCTGAACCTGTTTGTTTCCCCCAACTTAGGTACTTACTTTCCTTATCTATGAAAAGAAGACTTCCCAGTCATTATCTTTGTTAGACCCAAGATTAGGCTCTGAACCTGTTTGTTTCCCCCAACTTAGACTGTGTTCTAAGACTTTCTCAAGTCATTTCCCATCTTACTCTCTAGGTCATGTGATTGTTTCCCATCGACTCACTGGCTTTCCCTATTGTGTAGATGAGTCCGGTGTGAGAGGGCGCGACTGCGTTTGAAAGAAGGGTTGGGCACCAAAAGGCACCCGAAGCGTCCAACATAAGACCCACACCGAGGTCAACCATTGGACTATACTTCCTGCCGTCTGTGAACAGGGTATGATTGCTGGGGTGGTCATCGAAGGCCCGGTTGAGAGGACACATGTGGAATTGTTTTTGGAAAGGGACTTGGTAAGCAGCGTCCCCGCCGCTATGAGTCTATCTGCAAACATTAATCAGAATGTTTTGTTCTTTAGCTACCCGTCATGAACAGATACCCTGCTGTCAATTCCGTCCTTGTTTTGGACAACGCACGTATACACCATGGTGGCCAGATTGAAAAACTATGCTCGGACGCTGGGGTGTTATTAGTGTATTTGCCGCCATACTCTCCAGTTCTTAACCCCAATAGAGAATTCTTTCCACTCCATGAAATCCCAATTGCGTCGGGAACAGATGTGGTTTGAGGTCGACGACCGTGGTGATTATCTTCTGTTGGTGGCTGCAAAGGTGATGACTCGTCCCCTGTTACAACCCCTGATTTCTTTCAGTGGCTACGCCACATCGGAGTATTGGGAACAATTCAACGCTAACTTTGACGATTGAAGTTGAACATAGAAAATCATCAACTTGTTTTGACCTAGGATTGGTTTTCATCGGGATTTTCTTTGGTTGTTGTCCTCAGGTTCACCATCATACTCCTTTTGGTTGAAATCCATACTATAGTTTACAAATATTGTGATTTCCTCTATTTTGCAACGCTTGTTTGTCTCAAGACTCTCATCTGTTAAGGAGCTGAGTTTGTCATATGGTGGTTTGCAAAGCTTCGGTTTTTGACCAACTCCAAGCCCAACAGTGAGATTGAAGTGAGATTGACTTTATCGCTCAAATTTGAGAAGTTCCGCGATAAAGACCTTGATAAAGAGATCCCTCTAGAGGTTAACACACTACAGGCCCTTTGGTGTGATAACGCCAAGAAGGCTCTCACGTGAATGGATCTTTGGCTCACGCAAAGAACGCTCTCACGTAAAAAAAAAAATCACTCAAAGGGGCGAGCGTCAGAGGTTGGATTGGATGAAGTGGGGGCAAAGTTCATCTAGTGCAATCTCATGGGGACCAATACTCAAAAGCAGTGTCAAAAATGATGTCGCTTACGGATTATTTCTAAGCGACGTTGAGTGAGGAACAGGAAAACATCAGGTGATCATTCGAGAACATATTTCTAGACAAAAACATCAAGTCGTCATGAGAGAACAATACAAATTATCATAAGTCTTCAATCTAAAACATCATGTGTGGTCTTATAAGCGACGTTAGGTGGGCATGACATGAAATTGAACAAAGAGAGCTCGATCCAAATGATAAGTCCCCATCAACATCATAACTCTTGATTGATCGCCTTGCCTTTTCCTTTTGAAGGGATGTCATCAGCCAATTGGGCTTCTTGATAAAAACGACGAGGGTGAGTCATGAGTTCCATGGCATTACCCCATGAAATCCCCCAAGTCGCAATGATCTCGGCATTCAACACCGCGGGGAAGAGGAACTGGTGAAAACTAGTGATTCCATTGGCCAACAAGATCTTGGTGATTTCCGCGATGGTAGCGTGTCCGAAATCACAAAAGTTCAGGTAGTCAAACAAAGTCATTTGGGGATAGATTCTTCGGATGAAATCGTAGTCGACATTGATGTTGGTCCCTTGCATTTCAGCATAGCTGCCCAGGGGGAAAGCGGGTGCCTTCTCCTCGACCTTGGCTCGTTTAACATCCGGAACGGGTGAGGCGAGGGGGGGAGGTCGTTCCATGTCTTTCCAGACAAAGTCAGGGTGAACCGGCGGTTTCTTCAACGTGACACCTGGGGTCCCCGCAGCCTGTGCGATAGCATGAGGTCATTAAACAATGAGCTTGATCGTGCTGGTTGCAGGTGACGCTTACCAATTCTCTGGACCATTCGATCAGGTTCTTGAAAGTCAACTCCATTTTTTGACTGAGATCGTCCGGGTTGAAAACCCTCCAGCCCTCGTTGTTGTGGTTCTTGAACAATCCCAGGTGAAGCTGTAAAGCCTGGAGCCACTCTTTGTGCGGTTCGATCGGAGTCAAGCGAGCGAGCGCAGTCGAGGTGGTGGCCACATTGTCAATGCTGTTCTGAGCTCGAAGTTGGCCTTGTTTTTTGGTAAGACTCTGCATCAATCCAAATAGAGAAAACAAAAAAATTCAGGGGCGGAATCGACACAAAGGTCAAGCACAAGATACTGGAACAAAACTTACGTTGGCTGCCTCTTGGGCTGCTTTGGCTGGATTCTCCATAACAATGGTGAATCCAGCATCAGCACCAGGAGACCCTTTGACCGCGGCATAGAACCTGCCAACATCGTGATCCGAGCTCAAAGCCCTCTTGAGGCCTTTTCCGTAAGTGTCATGTTTCACGATGAAAGCGGTAATTACCACTTTATTACACGCATCGGCGGCTTTCAGGATCGCGGCATTCCCCTTGGCGTCGTCGTCACTCTTGTTGATCTCGCTGGATAACATGAACAGTTGCATCTTCAATGCGGTGAACTTGTCGGATGACATGTCAAATAAGACCTTGGTCGTAGGGAGGGGGATGGAACTGTAAACCGGTTTTTTCTTCGAACTAGTTCCCTTGGTGATTTCAGTGCCTTTGAGTAGGTAGAAAGTGTATGATACACTGAGCAACCGCATGAGACCTTCCTTGTGAGAGCCTAGATTGCAACCACAAGGTGTGAGTGGGAAGGGAAAACAATGAGGATGCCGACTTGAAGACATGATGGGTTAATTGAGAATGGCGACGTACCTGGGGTTTTGGAAGGACTTTCCTCGACATACTCATACGTATCGTCTTGCTTGCTCATGCACAAGTTGATCACAATCGCCTTACCACTGGAGGGCAAGTTGACCTCCGGTTCCTTCATCGGGGTTGCACTTGATTCGAGCTTCGGTTCGGTGTCAAGCAGGCCGAGGTTAGGGTCGGGCAGTGAGCCATCGGACTGATCTCCATACGGAAGGTTGTAAGGGACAGTAAGCCCTTGGCTAAACCAGGAAAACATTGCATTGGTTAGCCAGGATAACATAGAGTGAAGAATGTGAAAGAACTCACAATTGAAGGGGTTGAAACAAAGACTCGAGGCCAGGTTGGACTTTAGGGGAGGCACTGTGATTCATGATGATAACGGGGCTGGTTGTGTCGGCGAAGGAGTAGGCGTGGACGTTTGACAAGGAGCAGTCAAAAGAACAGGTTTCGAAAAGTGATGAAGCAAGTGCTTTGGTGGTGTGACGGAATTCAGACCCCCGTCCGATCGAACCGAATGGGATTTCTATGAAATCCATCATGAAATCCATCAGTGGTTCACTTGTGGTTGGAATGTTGATGAAGTCCAGGAAGAAACGACGGATGGAGCCGGAAAAAAAAATTCTAGTCTTCGTAACGTGACCCAGGATACAGGGCATACTGGGATGATGTGGCTGTCCAGATGCGCCTACATACGCCGCGCGCACGGACCACCAACCCAAATGTTTGTCATTCAGATTTCATTCTTTTTGCACTTGACTGTACTTGTCTGTTGCAAGTACAGTCTTGAAATCTTGTTTTCCCATACCTAAACTTGGTAGATTATAATCTCTACAAGTTTATTCCTTTTTTAGTGACTTGCTAGCCAATTTTGTTTCCTTGGAATCCTTCATCCTTTTCATTTTTTTTTGGTAAAGATCTGAAATTCAATGAACTCACACATCTGATGGAAAATTCACAAATGGGATAGAATAAAAGTTTCTCTTGCTTTTACTTGAATAATCTAGTCCAAGTTGGAATGATATCCATAGCTACAGTCTGTGTTAGCCACAAGCAATAAAATTGGGCATGACATGTATTCTAGATCACCTATTTTGTTTAATTACATTGATGTGATGATAAAGATATCTGTACAAATTAAGCTCAAAGCATTTGAAAAGATAATTGAATGTACAAAATGTCTAATTTATCTTTTTCTTTTCATTCTTGATAACTTGAGTTTCAAGTTCAATGATTTTTCCCGACAGAAGTCGACGAAGAAGTGCATCACCCATTCCAGTAGCTTTGATAAAAAGAATTCCACCAAAAAAGGTTTCAGTCAATATGAATTGCAAAATTTTTCAATTTGATTTGTTCCATGAACATACCAGGTGTTAGAATCCCTCCAGATTTAGCAAGAGGTGGTAGTTGGTCATAAGATTTGATGACTGTTACTGCACATTCTGCAATACACATTGATGTCCAACCATATCCCTGTTCAAACCAAACATACCACATCATCAACATCTGAAGACTAGACTGAAATATAAAAAAAGATGGATGATAGTAACTTGAATGAACTTACTGGGTCTTTATTTCCACTCATTTTCACTCTAACTTGTACATCATCATCTGGTGAATGAGCAATGGTGATCAACTTAAACCAACCAGCTTCTCTTTCTCTAATCACATTAATCACATCCAATAACCAAAAAAAATCAGATCAAACAAACCTCAAAAAACAAGTTTCAATCAAGACTTACTTTTCTGAAGGACCTTCACCACTCTGATGACCAACTCTTTTGACTAAATATCTTATTTGAGGAAGAAGAAAAATGATTACAAGAATTCTACAAACTAAAGTTAATAGAAAAGCTGTAATTATTCCTGGTGTGATTAAATATTCTTCGTAAGTAAATTGAGGTCCATATTTTGTATGATTTGGTACGTATTCTTCTGCGGATTCTAGTAGACCCCATGTTCTGCGTATAATCGCTCCATTATGCGGAGCCTATGATTAAAAAATCTCATGAGTTTTCGAGTCTTTGGAATTATAATTTTTTAGGTGAAAGATCTGTTCTACTGACCATGACGAAGAATCCACCCACAAGGGAATCTTCACGAGTAATCCAATCTCCAGTTCCCTTTTGAATACCCTCAACTACAATAATTCAAAAACGAATCAGACTTAGTCAAGAAGGACCGCCAAACACGATTCTTTCAACAAAAAGAACGCATACATACTTGGACTCAAAAGATAACAATCCATAACCTTTCTCAATGCAGGAATTCCACCATCAAACATACCCAATAAACTAGCCGTAGTACCAAAACTAGCCGAACCAGATTTAAGTTCAACACCAGAAGTAACTCTACCAACACTCATCTCTTGTCCAATGATCTCTTTTAATTCTTTGGATGCAATCATTGTATTCAAATCACTTGGAACTGAATCCCAACCACAACTTGGAATTATGATCGATTGTGTTTGTCGAGCTTTTTTGTTTAGAATTGAGATTTGGTTTGATACCCATAATGGTTCACCTGTCAAATCAAAGTAATGTGTTCCAGTTTCTGCACATGCTGAAATTAGTGCATCACCGTATAATGCATATGGTCCAACCTAAGTCAAGAATTCAATATTAGGTCGGTAATCAAGATATATGACAATCAGGAAAGAATATCTCAAGACTCACCAATGTAATAACGGCTTTGGTTTGTTTACACATATTAACTAAACCATCAGCATCGAATGAATCGACCACAAAGGTCGGTAAAGAAGAAGGTAAATCTAATTCAGATTTCACTTTCTCAAGTTTTTCCTTCGATCGACCACCTATACCGATTTTGAGCGTCTCATCTGAAGAACCATTGTGATCTAAATATTGGGTTTTGAAGTAAGTGCAAACCAGTTTGCCAGTATAACCGGTTGCACCATACACTAGTAAAAATTGATCACGTATTTAAGTAACTGCAACCCTCAAGGAAACATATAGAGAAGCCAGAGGAACTAACCAATGATGTCAATTGTTTGATCAGCGTGAGGCATCTTTGCTGTTATTGATCGAGTTAGCAAACCAAAATGTGAACTTGCAAATGATAAGGAAGTTGTTGCGGGGTAAACAGTTTGACTGGACCTTGACACCAGTTTGATCGCCTTCAAATATTCTACTCAGAGAAGATCTGCAGTCATTCCGTTTGATATCATAATCATCTTGATCATCATCCGATGGGAAATTAATCGTCATCCTCACTTCTACTAAAATCTGACCTCAGAGGCCAATCCATTTTCTGAGGTGATTGGACATAATCACATGGCGTGATTGCTTCAGAGGTAGAGATCTTGCGTAGATGCGCTCACAGCCGTTTCTCAATTTTTTACAGACCCCAAAGACTTCGAAAGTCACCTTGAATAAAAATAGTCTCACGCCTGATCCCATCTTTACCAAATGATGGGTTGGTCATCAAGATCTCAACCTTTTTCCTGTGTTTTGGGTCATTTATATGTTATCATATGCAATGTCTTTGTTCATATCCAAACTCTCTATTTATTCAAATGCTTACAAAGACTCAAACACGCGTGTACAAGGTGATAAGTTTTGCCGCTTTACAATCATAAGGTGACAAAACGGATTCCGATCACGAGACGTCGATGTTTTTTGTCTGTCCAATCAACATCAGGTCTTGGTGGTCGGTTAATCGAGGTGAGGAGTGATGTTTCAAATTCCAATGTCTTGAATCTTCACAAAGGTTAACATCACGATTCACACAGGAAAAAAGATGTGATTTTCCGGTGGGAAACCCCATTGTATTTAACACGGACTCAGTCGATGAGCTAAAATGTAATATTTTGGCCTTATTTCTGCATGATCACTGTGTTTTGGTTCAGAAACTGCTTTAAATGTAGTTAGTCTTCCCACAGGAAAATGTCTCTTTGTTTCCCGTGTCAAGATTGCCCCAATGGGCAAACCAGAGTCTCTGCACATCCAGGGGTTTTTACAACCCTTGGCTTGACATTATATCTTCCAGGGATCAGGATTGTGTTTCCATCCGAATCCAAGATTCCATCCAAATTGACATGCTCCTGGAATTCAGTAAATATCAAAAACAAGTCAACAGGCACCTTGTTCAGTCATGGATATCAGGAGGGAATTAATATATGATACTTAAAATGGTGGTACAACAGAACCGCCAGTTTGAGAGCGAATACTTAATCTGCCCGTGAACAGTGAGGGAAGAGGTACAGTGACACGGTAGTTTGTTTCAAACGAAAGTTGAATAGTTTTTTGTTTTTTAAGAGAGATCTGCTAAAACGCTAGACGACCCCGGAGGGCCTGAGCGAATTGCAGTGAGAGATAAAAAAGCTCCGAGACCCGAGGGGCGGTCTATCACTACAATAAGAATAACCACGCTACAACAATGGGCGGGATGGTGGGAAACAAAAAACTAGCTGAGAAATACGACGGTAAGACTAATAGTGTTTGGCGGATAATAGTATGATGAATACAAACGGATGTAAAATCAGATGGTAAAAGGGAAGAGAACACGAATAGCTGAAAACCAGATTTGAGAACTATAAAGATCAAGGTTTCTTGAAAACCGTTACAATGTGCTCTTTACCAATACGTCATAGTAACAATGTAAAGTGAAAGAAACTAATAAGCCAATTTCTGGATTACACAAACGAAACCTATCCCATCACCTATTCCCCTATGTTACAGCGCTTCAAGAATCCTTCGGTTTTTTTTAACGCATGAAAACGAAATAAATGTCCAAAACCCTCGCTAAAACCCTCGGTGAAACTGATTTTGTACTAGAATCTGTCAAATTTGAACTGTCCAAATGAGCTTTTTCCGAGTTTTGTCCAAAACTTTGAAAAAAAGACCACCAAATAAACCGAAGGATTCTTGAAGCGCTGTAAAACGCGTTCCAACTTCAATTTATGTTGTGGGTGCGTGCTTTTACAAAGGGGCGCACCCAGGCACAAAAAAGCTTAAGGGCGCATGCACCACTGGGGCGCTTCAGGCGCGCCCTTTTCCAATAACAAGTAGAATAAAAAGCAAAATAATCTTCTACACCAGCAGTATCAGAGTGCCAACAGATACATAGTTACCAACAAAAAATTCTAGTCTATGATTAACTTAACAAAGTCCCTCGTGCGGAGGTTTAACATAACAAGTGATGCCCAAGGCACACATCTTTTATAAAAGATTCTTTGAAGTGACAGCAGCTTGGAGCAAGGAATACTGTTGGACAAATATCTCCATATTACCATTAGGGGATACAAAGTTAAAACTGGGATTTTTTTTCCAGTTTCCCAGTTTTTGTTTTTGGCTGTGTTTGGAACTTTCCCACGTTCTCCCAGTTTCCCAGTTTGTGTTTTTGGCTGTATTTGGGAAACTGGGAAACTGGGAAAAAACTCCCAGTTTTAACTTTGTATCCCCTAAATGATCTGATTCCCAGGCACAACTTTTTTGCACTTTTTTGTGCCACACCCACAACATGACAGTGATTATCTCCATGGGCCGGCCATAATCTATTGTTGGTACTCTTAGATCTGTGATGCCTAATCATGATAATCTGGTAATCATCAAAAAGAAGGAAGGAGGGGACAGAGAAGAAGCATCATTACATATCACTGACACATCTGCATGCCATTCCTAGGTGGCAAGTCATTCAACCAGAAAAAACAGACACAAAAGTTTGATGAGGCTATTGGTGTTGAAAAAAGCACAATGACCAGAGTCAAATCCGCAAATTTCATGACTCATAGTGGTTGATGTATCATTTTTAACTGGTCCATGCCATGTAGCTGCCCACACGTGACCTCATCACTCTGACTGGCCAAATCCCAGTTCAGTACTCTCTGTACACATACACCACAAAGACACTTGGATACATTTAGGATGTCCTCTTGCATAGGGCAAGATATCCTGACACAGTCTCCTGCAAGGCGTCCAACAGATATCCCCCTCAGAGACCATCACAGAGTGTTCCAAGATGTGCTTGGACTGACAACACCGCCATGGCATCCAAAGGCTGAAGTGAGGATGTCCAACCTCTGGGTCATCTCAATGATGTCCCAACTTGGGATGCCAGCCTAATGTATCAATGTAGGACGGTCAGGACATCATCCTGCAAAAGAGTGTCTTCATGAATCTGATACAAGACTGGATACCCTACACAATATGCAAAGTGCTGACCCAGTGGATGTGGGGTTGCAGTCATGCCACACAAAACACAAGGGGGGTTTGCACCTTGCAAGAGCGGGGGTTGTTGTGGGGTCAGCGCAACCCCACACCCGCAGCATCACCTCTTTGCATGTAGTGAGCTAGTGGTCAAGGCAGCACTCTAGCATGTGTCTCAGCTAATACTGAGGTCCCAGGTTTGAATCATGATGTAGTTGCTTTCTGTTCTGACTTGTAACTTGAACAATAGTGATAAGACCAAAGTGAAAATAGATTGAAAATCAGGGTAAGGCAGTGTTCGTCTTGAAAGACAATTTGAAACCCTGAATGTGGATTTAAACATCCTTCACTGTCTAGACCTTATAAATCTGTATGGAATTGGACCTTAGGAGGCATCTGCCAGCAGCAATTCCAAAGACCTGTGGCAGCCAATTAGCAGCTAACAACTCATTTAAGACAAGTCCCAAATTCTTGCAGGGGTTTTCTAAGCTTTGCAACCATAGTGAACTGGAGAGGGACTTGTGACTTATCAACTGGTTGTGCTGTGTGAGCTTGAAATCAACTGGCCCTGATCCTCTACAGTCTTAAGACTAAGGGCCCATTTGGCTGGTTTTCCAAAAATTTGTTACACAAAAACAATTTTTCAATCTGCCCCTTTTTCAAGGGGCAGATTGAAAAACTTGAGATTTGGCTTTTTTGTTTACCAAACAGTCGACCAAATAGGTCAACAAAAGATTGAAATGGAGGGGCAAATGAGGGCAAAAACTCTTTTTGGTCTCACAAACAGCCTCAGGGCTGTTTTTCAAAATTGAAGACTTTTTGGATCAAAAACAGTTTTTGGTGTTGATCAAAAACCATTGCCAAATGCTGGTCTTTGTGGCTTTGGTGGAGTATTTGGCCAAAAACTGCATTTGGTTCCAGCCAAACATGGCCTAAACAAGTAAATCTAGCATGATACACAAGAAATGTTGAATTAGGCCATGGTTTCATTGAGTTGACAATACAAGAAGTTGGGTGAGTGGTCAATCCAATCTAGATGCTAGGAGAGTCCCTGGTCCAGGAATACAGTACAAGATTCACATTTCCCAAGTCGGCAACCTACCCTATCACTGGAATATACCCCGGCAAAAGTACCACAAGGCTGTGTTTCAGGTACATAACAGTACCACAACCACAACCCAACAAGGAGAAACCCCCAAGGAGAAACCCACCAGGCACTCTTTTACTCAGGTACAATGCCTTGTGTTGCTCCATATCCCTATTACTTGACATTGACTTACAATACATGCTTGTAGAAACACACTGGCTCAACACTGTGTTGGAGATATATACATTTATTCATATTTCTTTATTTCATAATGACTGTTATAATTACACATGTCTTGTTACGTCTTACTTAAGTATTATCTCCTTTTTCATACACACAAGATTTAACCTAACCATAACTTGTAACACTGCTTTATATTCTATGATCAGATTGTTCAGAAAGCTTTTCTTTATTCATTAAGCTTTATTCATACAAAACCAAATACCTCATCACTATCCTATCACTTCAGCATCCGCCTATTGATATCCTTTAGACTGAGTATTTGTTTTGTTTGTTTTCTGATCAGGTATGATAGTATTCAGATCTTTGTTTTCATTCTTGCTTCATATGTTTAACATGATTAGCAATTCATTAAGCTTTATTCATACAAAACCAAATACCTCATCACTATCCTATCACTTCAGCGTCCGCCTATTGATATCCTTTAGACTGAGTATTTGTTTGTTTGTTTTCTGATCAGGGATTTGATCCCTTACACTGTTACAAGTTTTTCATTCTTTTATCCCCATTGAAGCAAAGGCACAACTTACAACATGTTTCTGTGCTGGTCAATACACCAGGTTGTTTTTCTTCAAAGACACACCCATCCACCTCACCTCAAAGAGAAGCACATTGATCACAAGAAGATTGATTAATTAACATAATTTGAAATGAACTGGTAAGGTCCACACTTAACTTCCTGGACCGCAGTGTGCATGATGGATTCTCATTCATCTTTGATCACAAGATCTTTGGGACTTAACTCAAGTTCCACAAAGCTTACTGGTAATAAAGCTTTCTATTCAGACAATCTGCATGACTTATGCAGGGTATGTCAAGCAATTCCAAGAATGGAGGGTGGAGTACCCATATGCAAGACTCAAATATCCAAAGATCAGAAGCTCTTCTTGACCCTAATGATCATGAACTAGACGAAAATTTACATATACAATTGTCATGACTGATTTCATTTTGAAGACATAGAAAGTCATAATGTTGTGGATGAGCCCCAAGCTCAAGAAAAGCCATGTGACCTTTAAAGCATTTGTTGAACAAATTTTTGTCACATTGTTCTTTCAAAAATATGATCATCTTTACTTGAAATATCTTTTCAAAGTCCCAGTTAGGTCCAAGGTTCTATCACAGCCTTGATTGCCGCGCGCCTCACATAAAGGATTTTGTAAGCGGACACAACTCTTTGTCAACCTTGCGCCCACCATCTGACTTTCCATGCAAGAATGAATAATTAAAAAGTCCATGAATCTGCTTTCCCTCTTCTGATTCCTGTCTCATACACATTTTTTTGTTTCAAACCTTTCAAGACTTCTTTCTGGAATACACAAAATCAATTTCTCACCATAAACCCTCTCAAACATGATCATCCCCATCAAATCACAATCACATTTAACAAACATTTTAAAAACTGCAGATTGACCTTTAAACTAAATTTAGAGTTTTTGTGATAAAACAATATACCAAAAAAAAGAAAAGAAAAGGAAAGAAGAAGCAAAGAAAAAAACAGAAAAAAATATATATGGAAATGAATAAGAAAACACCCTGGTATCTATACAAACAAACAGAGGAAGAAACAAAAAAAATTCTTCAGAAAAGTCGATTGAAAAAAAAATCTCTTATTCTTCTCTTTATATCTCTCTTAAAACCTTATATCCCTTGAGTCGAGATCAACTCATAATTTGAATGTAGCTAAGAAAAAAAGGCAAAGTGTGAAATAAGTTTTCAAAAAGATTCACACAAAATGATTATGAAAGAAGAAGACTAAACTGTTCCAAACTACTCTTCCATCTTGATAATCCTTTGCAGTTTCTTCCAACATAATCTCATTTCGTTTATGTACATAAACCTATTATCAACCCACCAGAAAGCAAAAAGATCATTCAATCAATACTGAGTCTGATGGAAAATAAGTGTGAGATGGGGAGCTTCTTACCGTCTTATCTGTGACTTTTTGTCTCAAGGCTGCAATCGTAGCAGGTTCAATAGGTTCTTCCAACAACCCAGATAATTCCTCAACAGCTTGTTCAAGATCACTACAAAAACCAAAGAGCCCATCGAATCAAAAAACCGCATATCTCTTCAATCCCAAGTAAATCAAAAAAAGAAAAACTCGGAAAAGAAATTACCGTTGATTATCTTCAAAAAGAGCAGTAAAATTATTTTTCTCAAGATAAAATGCCATAGCATAAGTCCATTTAAGAGTAGTTCTACAAACCGATAAAGTTTCAACTGCTCTTTCTAAGAATTGTACTTCAATCCAACTTAAATTTGAAAAATCTTGAATCTCTTCCATCTTTCTTTCTGTTTTCGCATGTAATTCTTTATCTAATTTTAATGATTGTTCATGATTCGCAAATCGATTATAATACTACGATAAAAAGGTATATCATTAGGAATTTGGTTCAGTAAAAAGGTTTGGATAGATGAAAAAAAGACTTACATGGTAAATATCGTTCTAAAGATGCTCTTGATTTCGATTGTTGATCTTTTCCTGCATCTGCTCTTTCTTCATATCGATTACAACTATACCAAGCCGTACCATGATCCGACCACACTCCTTGACAAACCCTACAAAACTCATATTTACACTTCTTACAAGTCATATGCTACACATCAACACCAAACGAAAACGCACAAGTCAGTCTTTAATCTTCTGAAAATCAGACAACTTAGAAAACCAAACTTACATTACAACCACCATTCTTTTCGATTGTTGAATGACATTTCGCACATTCTTTCGTATGAGCTGAGATCCAATTAGCTGTCTCACTATCATCCGCACATTTCTTATGCCACATCTTAACCACTGGACAAATACACGGTTGATGATCTGGTAAACTACAACCAAAACAAAACCTACTCAAAAAAAAGCATCAGAAAACCCGAAATGAAAGATCTACCGAGTCTGAATCAAGAAAACTGCTCACCTATATCCACAATCACAAGTGACACTCGGAACTACGGCATCCAAACTTTTCTTTGAAACATGACATTCAATCGCATACACACAATTCGGAGCAGGACAAAACTTTAATGAAGCACTATCTTCCACAAATGTCCGATTCAATAAAGTTTGAAACCTTTCTAATAGAGAAGTATACTCATAATGATCTTGACCTATAGATTTGAGTAGGTTGATAATCGTATTCTCATCTACAATTTGTTTACAACCTGTTTCCATACACTCAATCGTTCTAGCTTCTCCTTCTCGGATTTTACCAATCACGTAATGTGCATAACAGTCTTCGCAAAACTCGTGACGAACTGAAGTTGGTTTAGAGCTAGAGGTTGTAGAGGATGATTGGAGTGGTGGACATGTTGGTAAATAGACTGTAGCTTGATCTGGTGAATCATTGTAACATATCTGGCAAACAAAAGCTGGGGTCGAACGAGTGGTCCTTCGTTTGGTGGATTTAGATGATGAATCTGGTGAGTTCTGTAAATGAGGTTGATAAATTCCGGCATCGGTGAAAACCTTCTCAGGCGAATCCTATTAAAGAAAGAAGTTGCATAATCTTCAGCTGACAGTCGAACTTATAGAACCAAAGCAATGAAATAACTGACCATATATTTGTCCATGAGTAAATCTTTGTTCCAACCAAAGTAACGAAGTACCAAAGCAGCATCTTTAGGTTCGATACCAATGATACCAGCAACGTGTTTGATTTCTTCGTGTTGACGAAAGGTCAATTCATCTTCATCTAATACTTTGAAATCTACTTCATATAACTTCTTATTGGATTGAGGGTTTGAAGACACTAAATTGAAATCTGAACCTTCTTCTTCTTCGTTTGAGGAAAGGTTATTAGAATCTAGATCGATGACTATTGTAAAGTATGATTGAAGGTTAGTGAAAGCGTGATTTGGAAGAAGGTATAAGCGAGATCAGTTACCATCGTCATCATCATCGTAACCTCCCGTGCTATCGTACTCCATATCAATATCGCTGTTATCGTCAGACATGATGTTAGATTGTGAAGAGGTAAGATATACTTTCGGTAAACTGATATGATAGAGAAGATGAGATGAATGGTTTAGATAAAGAAGAGAGAAGTAAGAAGTTCTTGAGTAGGTTCGGTAATCAAGGTAAACTGGTAAAGAGGATATGGAAATCAAAAAGACCAGAGTCAGGAATCCGAATCAGGAGATAAGAATGTGAGATTGAGTTAATGAACTTTAAGAAACCAAGAAGACTACAAGGAAGCCAATCGTCATTTACCTTAAGTCTTCGATGATATCCAGCTTATATATCAGCAAAACCACATTATTCATAACTACACTTTCTCCAAACTGCACTTCAACAATACTGCATTCATCATCTCATTCAAATTCATCTCTCGCAGCACGAGCAGCTCATGAGTCATGAATCATGATCCAAGTGCAGATTCAAATTCATATTCCGTTGTCTAGTCTTATCAACATAGGATCATACATGGTAGACCAGATCATAACTCAAGCTAACACTTCATCTCACAACCGTTTCCGTCTTCCGAGACCTATATTCTCAAAGCTTAGTTTCAACGGTTTTCTTTTGTCTAAGCATCACAAGCATTTTACAAAAGGCGCACTTCAGACATTATCAGGAAAAAAATGCTTCTTTTCTCTTCTGTCTCTATTTTCTTTCTTTCATCTCTTTGGTTGATTTTGATTTGTTTTATAGGTTTGTCTCGAATTTCAAAATATCAAGAAAAAAATGCATAGTATTATAAAAAAACAGACAATTTATATGATGCTTTAAGTTTACATCCTATAAACAAAACCTAAGCATTTTAATACAAGAGATTCGATTATCCAGCTCTGCTTATGTACAGAATGCAAAAGTATTTTTTACAAAATGAAAGTGTTGTTTATTTTTTTGTTTATTTTTGAGACTTAAAATTCAATAAAAGATTGATGAATGAATTTTTCGGGTACAGTACTTGGTATTGATCTTCTTTCTTTTGAAGTTAAATTCGAATTAGAAAAATGATCATAAATTATAATAACTTTTTGACCAAATTCTTCATTGATTGATTTACTGGCCATGAATTCGAAAATAATACTACAAGAAAAAAGAAAACCAAAATCAAAAAAATTAGCCTAAGTCTTGGAGGTTTTTTGGGGGGATTCTTTATTGAAGAAAAATGAGAAATTGCTTACCTTGAAGATGAAAAGATTGAAAATGTCCAAATGCATATCAAGAATGATTTTACACACCAAAGTGTAATATAAAGAAATGGATTCGAAATCACAGGTTGATGAGATTGTAAATCATAATAATTATCAATGGTTGTACTATTACTATTACTAGGAAGATCAAAAAATAGATTGGTGTGAATGGTTGTTGGACCTTTAGTAAAGCTTAAGATTGAATAACCTATATTTGATCCTAAAGAAAAGATTATAAACACTACTGAAAACACAAGATTTAATGAATGAACTCTTTTGAATGGAAAAAATATTAAATAAATCGAATTGATAATCTAAAACAGAATAAAATAAAAAATCAATGTAAGTATGATACCAGAAAGAAAAGAAAGATGGAGAAGGAGTTTGACTTACGGTGATTATTGAAGTTAAAGTTGTGATTACAACTAAAGCTAATGAAATACTAATCAAATCATCAAAACTATAATCTTCTGTTACGTCTTGTGCTCCTGCTCCTTGTGATCCTACTGGTAATGAATTCGAATGCTTTGTTTTATTTAAATTTTGTAATGTTAAAATTGTAAAAATATTCAAAATGAAAACTGATATAGAAACAAGAATGATGGATAAGTTCAAGAAAATCCTTGTTCTAACAAAGCACAAAGATTTATTCGATTTGGTTAGCGTTTTTATTGAGGATCCTTTCAGTTAAGGTTCTTGACTTACTTGAATTTCATTGGTCTTTTAATTCCTTCGCCCATTATTATGATCAATTGGTTATTTTGTAGACAAGTGAGATCGGGGTTTGGAAAATTTGAGCAATAAAATCTTAAAGGAAACAAGATTAAAGAAAGAAGATGAAGTCCTGTTCTAGCAGGAGAAGTTCAAGAGAGAGAGAAAACCGCCCGGGGTGATCGGAATTAAAAATGCCAAAGAAGTGTATGTATGATAAGATTAACTTTGAAGTGAGATTCAAAAAGGAAGAACCAAGATCGATATGTATCCAGTTTTGTTGGTTTTGATTTGGTTTGAAGAATATATAGCTGTAGGTGAGTTGATTTGATATGATATGATATGATTTCTAAGTCTAAATATCTTTTGAGATCTCCTTTCCCTTTCGTTTCTGAAGATCTTTCATTTTCGTCAATAAATGTGAGAAATAAAATTTGTATGTAGATATTCACAATGTCTCCATTCGTTAAACAAAATCTCACGAGAAATTTGTATTTACTTGTTAGTCCCATCTCCAACAAAACATATCACACTAAAATGAAGTCATGGCAACATCATAGCAATCTCACAAGATACCATTTAAAAGGAGTTGACTTAAAACAGCGTCAAAACTAATTGAGGTTAAAGTAAAGCATATATACATATTTACAGCCAAACTTCACCTTAGTTACAACATAGTACGTTCGATTTCCTTCGCAACTTCTGTCTAAGAAGACTCATTGGCAGATTCTTTCTTTTCGATCTTCTTGAATATTTCGCTTTTTCGGGCGTGCCGTTAAAAGACCAACACTTATTGCACAAACTATATACGCTAAATCAGGTGCGGTAAATGCCGAACGTGCGAATAACCAACCTGGAGAATTGATCATTAAGCTCGGAATTACACTCGGGGACCCGAGCCCGCGGAGATGAGGGCTACAAAAGCTCCGGCCAAGTGGGCCCCGACTGGGAGATGTGTCAGGCAGGCCTGTGCCAGGGCCGGGTCACAGCCCTGACTTCACTCAAGCATAAGCATATGGCTCTAAACAGGCTCTTTACTTTGCCACCATCGCTGTTTTGGCCGGCAACACCTCAACAAGTTTCAACTTCGAACCTTTACAGTCAATTCGACCAAACTTGCTGATTTATACTCACTTTAAATTTCGAATCAAACGGAAAGCCCAATATAAATCAATCACTCAATTGAAAGCATCAAGAAATGTCATATTTTCTACCTCATTTACCTTCTGGTTGGCATGTAGATCAAGCGATTTTAGCAGAAGAAAATCGAGTAGTGATCATTCGATTTGGTCATGATTGGGTAAGCTCTTTATGTTCAATTTCTGATATTTTTAAAGGAAATCAATTTGATTTCGTTCGGTTTGTAATAAGAATAGGATTCAGAATGTATGAGGATGGATGAAACTCTTTATGGTATATCAGAAAAAGTTAAAAACTTTGCTATGATTTATTTAGTTGATATTACCAAAGTACCTGATTTTACAAAAGTCAGTCTCTTCGATTTCCCTGCTTAGAAATTCTGTTTATAGTCAAAGTTACTGAAATAAGTCTCTCGATTGTAGATGTATGAATTGTATGATCCTTGTACTGTTATGGTAAGTGACTCTCGGGTTTTTGGATTGTGAAGATTCCAACATCATTCATCAACATACTTATTCATGTTTTTTTTGAATCAAAGTTTTTCTACAGAAATAAGCATATTATGATCGATTTAGGTACAGGAAACAACAACAAGGTATGAAAGGCCCAAGATTCTGGTATGGGAAAGAACGGTCATCAAAGTACTCATCATCAAACTTATTTTTTCATCATAGATAAATTGGGCTATGGACGACAAGCAAGAGGCAAGTTCAAATTATCAAAAATTCAAGATCTCGTATCTATTTCTCCGAAGCTGATCTACAAAATTTCATTTTTTAGCTTATAGATATAGTTGAGACAATTTATCGTGGTGCAAGTAAAGGAAGAGGTCTGGTAGTCAGCCCTAAAGGTTCGTCCTTTATAAACTTCTCATACTTATCCACTCGCTTCATTTCGCATCCTGATGTCCGACCTGCTTTCTTGCACTCTTGATCATAGATTACTCAACCCGTTACAAGTATTGTAAGTCTAGTCAGACTTCCCATCTTTCTTCGTCTTGTTTATAATTTCCTTTCGCTATCAGACTCCATACTGACCATGATCATTTCTCACAATGAACATCGAACATGTTATCTTTTACAGAGCCGCCTCCTTTCAAGATCAATTTGGTGTCTCTTACATTCATCCTGTTATACTTTTCCTTGTACGCAAACCCAAATCAATATACCCTCATTGTAAAACTACTTTTGCTAGGAGTTTCATTCATATTCATCTTTATTCCCATTGAGCTTTTTCAGGTGAGATTTTGGTCCATGGATTATGCTAAATGTCCGATGAGTTTCAACATCTCATAAGCACTTGAGGCAGTCATCTCGTGTTTTCGATATAAGGAGCAGCTTTTGCAATGCTTATAAAGTCTTTTGGTAACGATGTATACACTTCGTAGTGAAAATGTGAGCCAGATCGAGCTATGCCTTCGCTCCCTCGTGCTGCTTATGTGTATGAAGACCTAGGCTAACACGCAGATATCAACTTAGTGCTAAAATTAACCCTTCCTATCTTTTGATCACAATAAAGTTTTGCTTCTGGATTTTTGGGGGCTCAAACCTCTGTAGCTTTCTCTGCTCCTGGCTATGTTTGGGATCCATTAACTTATACTAAAGTTGCCGGCATGACACAATAATTGGGTTTTCCGCACTGACACAAAGCAGAAAAGACACCTTGAGCCCCCCTTGCACTACTGCACAGACAAAGTGAGCAAAACTGGCTGTTTGATGTGATCACCAACTTTAAATCCTGATGAGTTTTTTTAGAAACACCGGTAAAAATCTTCATCTTTCAATGCACCTGTGTTTTAATGCTACACTTATAAATTCTTCAGTGGAACAGTTGATGAGGACCACCTGGCATTGAACTTGGGCTGTATTAAGGACATCTTATCAAAGATGCCACTTGAATTAATCAAGATGTAGTGAGGTTTTGTAAGAAAAACCATGTGTTTGATATGATCATCTATCAGATTGAACAGACAACTCCTTGTGGCCATCTGCAGTCTACTATTGATGCAGGTAAGCTCTATATAGGCAGGATATTGTTATTTCATTTTCATAGGCTTTGCAGCCACATTTTTGGTCAATATGCGCAAGCCCCTGCAAAAACAAATTTCAAATTAATTGTCCAATTGACCCTTGTGTGCTTACGTCCCAAGTTGTCTGTATCAGAACTAGTCAGCTAAAATATCATTACCTCTTGGCACAATGATTTTGTATATTGGAGCATTGATTATCATGTCACAGCCAAAGAGTCTGTTGATCATTGACAGTACACCTGAAGAATCTGAGTGCGAGATCAGTCTGATCGAAGAAGTGGATTTCGCATGAAACGTTGAAAAGGTCACTATGGCACCTACGAACTGGAGACATAGACTTCAAGAATGATGATAGATACCATCTTGAGCTTCGATCGTCCAGTAAAAAACTTACAACCCATGTCGAGGCCATAGACTCGTCGTACTCGGTCGCTAACAATCAGAATCAGGATTCCGCTTCGCTTGGGTTTACTTTGAATACCAGTTGTAGAGCCACAAAGGGTTCGTCACTTACTTGGGTCTTGGATCTCCTTATCTATTCTCGTGGCCGAATCGCGTGGACCTTGCGGCTCTCCTAAGCTCCAGTGTAACGTTTCTTCGAAGAAGTCATTACCTCAGTTACATGGTTCAATTGATGATGTAAGTTACTATTGATTTCTCTTATTTGTCTTCTCTGAAACCATCATACTTCACCTCTAATCTGTTCTGTGAATAATCCTTGCCGCCAAAAACGTCGCTGGTCGAATTATTTGGAATTTTGATTCCATTTTTTGTCTTTCAAATATAAAGGCCAACCATTAAGATATGCTTACGATCCAATTTATAGTTCCATGCTTTTACTGCTTTATACTCATTTGCAACATTCGTGCCACACCTCTTCCTAACCATGTATCTGGAGATCAACAGGACAGTCCATTCATAGTGTCCCAATTGTCTGGTGAGTTAAATTTTATATCCTCTGTAAACAAAGCTTAAATAACTCTTGATCAAATTGAGTAAAACTTACTAAAACTTCTGATTAATTTTATAGAAGAACATGAAACGACGGTTCTTGAAAAACGAGAAGAAAGTGTTCAAACTGTAGGACCGTTCCCGATGTTGGGTGGTCCTGAGAAAGCAGGAAAAGTCTTTACTGTGACAGGATTGCGAGAAACACAAAGCGATAATGTTCTTGTGCACCCCAATAGGCTTTCTTTGTCATTCATTGATGCACAGCCCAAACTGAAACGAAGAACAGAGAGAATAGATACGGATGAAATTGACGGCGGACGACAAGGTATGTATGAGCTTCAGTCTTCATATCACTTACAATTGAAATCAGAGATTGATAAGTGGCTACACCTTTATTTAAATAGGGGTCAGAAGCAATGCTTCGCCTCAACGAGTTTTAAACCTCTTGCCAACCTCTTCAGAATCGACCAGCGTAAATTCAGTTGAAATTGACAAGAAGTTGGTATCATCCACAAAGACTAAAGACATGCTCTCAAACCTAATTACCAATGAATCAAACACTCATTCTACCAGAGATTCTAGTGAGTACTTTTTGTCTTGATCATTTCGCGTAAATCATCTAATCTGATTTTGTGCGTTTTTGGTGATCAATAAGCTGAAGCTTACCAAGAATCCATCATGTACAGATCCAGAATAATTATATCTCGCTAGAAAAACTAATTCTGATATCATCTATCTTGTCAAATAGTTGGACGCAATCCAAATTGATTTTATTTTGCTCTGACAGTCACAAGCGGAGGATTAAGTGACTTTGTCTTTTTTGTTGTGTATATAATATATTCATGGAGTGGATTTTTCTCTGGGCAGTCGTTTCAAAATTCAATATCAAGTCAAAAAGGCCATAATATTTGTGTAAATAATCAATAAGCCCTTTTTGAAATTGAGCTCATTCATTTTGGTATTAGGTGTCTCCAGATGATTGTGTACCTCGAAATCGATCTTTCCCCTTGGTTTCTGGAGAAAAATGGTTAGAAGTTGAGATTGATCTTGATTTCTTCATTGCCTAAACTTGTGAATCACCAGGCCTTGTCAAGATCACTCTCCATGAATCAATTCAAGCAAGATAATCAAATGAACATCTCTGGCACAAGATAATCTTGATACACTTCACCACTCCATCTTTATCTATACTACTGGTTGTAGTGAAGATGGAATGGATTTGTTTGTGGATGTTCTGGTTGAGGTGGTAGGCTCAAGGGGAGTCTGATTGGGTCTGATAACCATTCAAATAGCGTCCCAGAGATGCATCCCGTGGTTCTGATAAACAACCACAAGAAGAGAATGTGACACCGGTGGAAAAAAACACACCAAACACCTACTCTTAGTCATAGTGAAGAAAGATACAAAATCAGAACAGCAAAACTTAACTCCTCTTTCAGAATAAGAATTGATCCAATCTGAATTTCCACACCATTTTTATGAGGTCAAAAACATTAGATACGATGAATCAGATAAGTATACTCAATATATCACTACAAGTCGTAATCTCATGTTAAATTAGTCCTCAAATTAAATAAAACTTTTGATTAGGTTTGTTGCCAGTCCCTTCATCCTCTGTCTTGGTGAAACTTGATCGAGATAGTTAAGTAGCCGGTGCAGTAGATTGACTTCTGTTAACTTGAGGATCTATTGGCTGGCTAGACTGAGCATTTTGAGCGCCAAGTTTTCTCCTCTCGCGTCTTTTGTTGACATGCGAAGACTTCGTTTGTGTGGGTTGTGTAGCCGAAATAGTAAGTTGACTCATTCTACCCTGTAGGCTAGTTGATTGACCTGCTTGATCATCTTGTGATTCAATCTCGGCTTTTATCGGCACCTTCTTAGCTTTGCCTTTGCTATGTTTCGGGTGCGTGCGTGGAATATTGATGTTGATTGCCTTATCTGCGCAGACGAAAGATCCAAGAGGTTGCCGTTGATAAAATTTCAAAATTGAATGGTGGGAAATGGTAGTGGAACACTCACCTAGCATAGCTAACAGAACAGTTTGACTTCCAGTCTGATTGTTCACATCTCCAATGTAGCCAATGAATCCTGTATCGGTGTACCTTTCAAATATGACCGATGATTCATGTTTGACCGCTCCAGTCACAGTATATATCTGACAATGCTCGGAGACTTTGGTGATGTTTAAAGCTTTTACGTTATAATTGGTGTCCAAGGGAATCTTGAAAACGTTTTTGAAAATCTTGTTGATCTTGAAATCTTGTCTCGTGTAGGCTCCAAGCTCCCATGTAAGACCAAGATGTTTTTGAAAGATCCATTTGGTTGTCGGGAATGGTAAGAAACTCGCAAAGTTGAAACACATGATCACAGTTCCACCTTGTTTGGCGAATGTCGAGACTTTCTTGATCACCATAGAATGCTCCTTGTCACAAATCTCGCCATGGACTAGAAGGACCACTTTAGGCTTAGGATGCGCATCGAGGGATGCAAGAGATTCGTCTATGGTCTTTGCTTCTTGAACCTCGTACAGAGACTCGATCTGATCATGGAAATCTTGATACATATCATGGTGAAAGGAATACCAATCTGTTGGATGAATCATCAAGATATCCGTCATGGTTGAACTGTGATGAGGGGTATAATTGCCGTTGAAAATGAGTATCAAGGAAAACAGAGGTCGTTATCTGATTTGAGGCTCAGTTCGATCAACTATGAATCGAAGCTGAGACTATCGAAGAGCAGGCAATCTACCTAGAAAGATTAAAGATGATATATGTAAACGGTTTAGGATTTGGTAAGGAAAAGTAAAAAGTGGTTACGTTCGTAAAGAAAGGAACTCGACTATAAATAGTGAATTTAGACTCAAGCAAGATTACTTAATCATGAAGTGGTAAAGAACCAAGACGCGTATAAAAAATCAAATGATGTCATTTGATGTCCATATGTAAGCCATCACGGGCAACATCTTGAGGACTCTAAATAAGGTTAACCCCAAGGCATCAAATATGCAAATCCTTGGACCAAGTCAAAGGTTTCCCTCCGAGCCTCGAGGTATCAGTATGCAAGGGTATGCACCAAGATATTCACTCGGATCAAAACCTGGCAAGGATCTCTGTCCAACTTGCAAGGTCTGATTCTTCAATCCGAGATCTTGGCAGACGCATTGCATATTATCAGACCAAACTAAATTCAACATCTCACACAGAAATTGGACAAACTGTTTGCTCTTTGCAGGGGAAGTATAAATTCATTAGTAGGGTGGAATCAAAGATCCAAGGCTTTCTGAATTAATAGATACCAGACCCGGCTGAGCTGCATTGTTAAATATGAATAGACGACATGTTACACGCATTGAGCAACACCAGAGTCAATGTTTTGATGAAGGATGTTTATCAGCAATGTTATTGAACATGGACCTCAGTTTGTTGCCATTCATGTCTATTCTTTCTCCTCATTTCTTTCTTAGATTCAAGTTTGTCTCCCTCTTGCCTGGACAACGTGATACCTTTGATCATAAACATAATCATAAACCTGAAGTACTAACAGTGTACCAAAAAATCAAATATACTGTCAATTTTAGTGTGGGGTGGTCAATTAAAAAAGGAAGACAGTGTACCATTGAGAGAAGATGAGATAGGTTTGAGTTAGTGTCAAGGGATGTCATGCATACTGCAGTCTTCAGTTCTCTCCTCACTCATTATTTGATGGAAAATGCCACATTTCAACCTGCCTTACCCTGACCGTGATCGAGAAAGGAAGGTGTGTACTTTGGTAAACCTAATCACAATCCTGTGATTGGTGTCCAAGTTTTCAAATGATGGTTGCAAGAGAAGCAATGAACACATTTCATAAACTCCCTAGGATAACAACCAAAGATATGGGACTGGGGTTGTCAAAGTACACACATTCTTTGTCACAATCACACTCAGTCTGCAGGCATCTAAACTTAAACCCGGTTGGATTTCTGAACTTCGGATAGAAGAGGTCAGCAGACTTGAGGATGTTCAATTTTGAAAACAAAAAAACCCACATCTTGGCTTGATGTGATAACTTTGGTATCCGGATGTGGTAGGTTGGGAGCTGGGCAGAGGGGATCTCATCAGAGGTGGAGTTACCGTTCCCTCAGAGTCAAAGTTCAAGCTTGAAACTCTTTGATCACTCTTTAGAAAATCAGACAAAACCCCGCCCGGTTCGTCCGCCCAGCTTTCGTGTTCTTCCAAGAAATTCTAAGGGCGCAACAAACAATGAAGTGGTTGTGGCGGTTGTCCGGCTTGTGTCTTGGCAAAAATTGTTACCCACTCCACTCTGGGGGTGAAGGAGTGGCTTGTCTTCTTTGCTTATCAAAGCACAGAATTGCGAACAGACAAAAAGGACTGTGAACCACGAGAGTCGCAAGTGAATTGCAACTGAACCCATACCGGTGGCAACCTACCGAATGGATACATACTTGCATCCCTTGATGGCTTTGCCAATTTTATGATCCTGAAGTGGCGGATACGCACCCTGAAATACAGAACAGATACTTTTTACCTTGGCAAAGAAGATGAAAGCTTCAAGCGACAGTTGTCTTAAACCTTCACTTCTCCTGCGTGTCTATCTCATTTCCTGCGTTTCCTAAATCGTACGTATATATATCCTTGCACACCCTCTGTACTTTGTCGCTTTTCCCACATTTGCTTATTTTGTTTACATAGACCGACAGATCCATCTCATCATAGTTTTCTGCTGGCTTTTACCTTACAACACATCTGTTCATAACTCGAATCGCCATGCACTCCAACACCTTTCTTTCTCTGATCGCGATTTGTGTTTACCAATTCCTCACAGGTACGTTGAGCAATCTCAACACTTTGATCTGACATTCTATTCAAATCCTATCTTTATGTTTTCCAAATACTTATGCCTACTCTCGATTGAAACCACCAGGTGTCAGTTCAGCAAGTACGCCAAACCACCAATTACCAGTCGTCAACATGAGCCCTTTGAAGATCAATCTATTAGATGGACACGTGAAATGTTATAAACCAGGTATGTTTCATCCTTTGGTGCTTTCATGGAATTCAAACCACTGAACATTTAGTCCTTCTCCATAATCTTTCATAGGCAAACATCATCATGCTATGTCAGTAGTGAGTACAAGTTTGAGATCTTTCAAGTCATTCTGATGTTTTGAAATATTGATGAGCTTTGATTTCTCAGGACGACTGTCTGGGATTGACAAATAGTGCCAAGGTTGAAGAATTCAAGCCTCTACCCAGTATGTTAATCCCAACACAATCAAAATGATTTTTTTCCATAGCTGACGGATTATGATACCACTTCTTACATTGATCTCTTATCTTAGAATGGACTGTGGAGTGGGGTTACAGAGACTGCGCTCTTACCTTGTATGTCATCTTATTCACTCCTGGTTTAAGATATGCCAATACTGACTTCAACTGAACTCTTAGTGCAAACTCGGCTAAAGCAATCAGTATACCTAGGGTATGTTTCTCGTATCAAGGTCTCATTGATTAATTGATTGGTACTAATATCGGATCTTGAACAACCAGTTCACTACAAATGATGTAGTTACTCTTTTGGATATCATAAGTAGGGTGTGTCCTCTAGACGATCGCAACCTTCAATACGGAGGTCAATATACTATCACAAGTATTGCTGGAAAGAAAATATTTCCTGTGAGTTGTTTGCATTATAATGCATTAATCATGATTGCCTTTAACTGATCTTCATAACACCCATTTCGCTTTTCCTATCTGGCTTGTGTTTTTTTAGATTCAAATCAGTTTACAAAACTCTAAAGATCCACAATGTTACAGAGATGAAAGGACCACTGAATGCGATACTGTGAACAACGGTCTTTGATACTTGTGATTTCCTGTCTTCTTATTGATACTCATCAGATCAAATTATTAGGATATTCATCTTTTATATCTACTTGGGATTTATCTTCTCCTTGAATCTTCGGGCTTTTCTTTCTTCTCTTATAACGGACTTGCTTTGAGCTGCTTTTTTTGGATAGTATCTTTGTAAGACAGAACATTCTGATTTGCATTCAGAAATTCATTCGATCTTTCTTAAACAGTACTTTTTGCACACTTGAGCATGTGGTTCTACATTTTGCAGTCTCAAATGTGAGATGTTGACTTGACAATTATGGTATACAAATATCGTTCTGGAGACTTCCAGAAGGTTTTTGCCAGAACGCCAGAACCCTTCTGGTGTTCTGCAAAACTATATTTCTGTGAATAAGGTTCCACTTTGTGTCGCAGTCATGTACTCAGGATTCTGGTATTCTGGACTGCTGGGGCATTCAAACTTCCAGAACACCAGAATGCCAGATACCATTATAATTTTTCTTTCTGATGTTCTGGAAAAATCTTCTGGAAATTTCCAGAACAATATTTGTATACCATAAATGTCTCTAAATCACCTATATCGCCGAGAAATAATTTGGTACATGGACTGCCATTGTGAACCAATCTATCTTTCATAGATTGTGAATCAACCTATCTTTTGCTTATGTGATGACCAAGTTCTCTTTACGCCAACTATGACTTATTCCTCATATTACCACTCTTTTCAGGCGAGAGCATTATGGAGAAGTTGATCAGAGACGTACTCAAATCTACAGGAATGCTTTGATTTTATCCTCGAAAATCGTGCAAGTCTAGCAAAAAGACATGAACTGAAGCACAAACATAGATCGCAAATTGAACCTTTGATGAATTCAGAAATTTAAAGTGAGGATAGAGAAATACTACATGAGGTTAAATGAACCATAAATGCCGACTGTGCTTAAAGGTACATACAAATTATTTTGCTAAACTCATATCGATACTGAATACATTGTCATAAATTATACAAACACAGCCTACGAGGAATTCACCCCGCTAACAACGAACCAATCTTACCGCTTAGACAAGCGAATTTGATGCTTTGCAAATTGGCTTGTAACCATTCACTATCTTTTTGACCCTTCAACACTAACATCTGTTCCTGATCCATACCATTTGATCTTTCTCCAGACCAATAAACCATTGGATATCCAATCCTTATGACACCTAATTCCGCTCCAAGTATGAAATATCGAATTAACCATAAAATTGGATAAATGAGTGTGATGGATAATAAGAATTTTGGAAACCAACTGAGTGAGAAGACTTTTGAGAAAATATTGACAGGTCGGATTGTGATAGAAGAAGAAGTTGAATGAAAATCACAAGTAATATGGGTTGACCGTAGATTAGGAAGAGCACGAATAGTCGAATAAAGCTCTGAGTTCATTTTTGGGAGAAAAAACATTCAGGATAAGTGACGTATTGGATAGGTGAGAAAGCTTGAAACGTACCACGTCGAATAGCCTCAAGGTTCCAACCAAAACACCGCTTCTCAACCCGAAACTGTTTCAGGCGCTTAGTACTTTGACAATAAATGTCACACCATTTTCGAAGCTCTTGTTCCATCACAATCTGGTCTTGAGGATGAGGGTTATGGTGGTAATGATTCTGGTGTATGAATGTGTCAATAACACGCTGGCAGCTCGATTCAACATCAGGGCCTGTGAACTCAGGGGGTGGCCGAGGTGGAGCTCTTGAAAACGTTCCATCTGGAAACATCCAAGGAGCTACAAATACATTATGAGTACTTGTATCAAATCACGATATATGGGTTGATGACATACGAATAAAAGGTGGTAAACCACGCATTTTGATCTCTTTTGAAACTTGATCTGCCGCCCTTCTTTCTTTCCAGGATACTCCAACGGCCCGAGAACCGGCTGAGGAGTCGCACCAGCGAGTACCACCGGCTGCACGGTTGAACAGCAGTAAATCCTTTCCTTTCCAGTCTGCACGCTGGCGCCAGCAAGCACCACGAGACACTACTTCTCCGTCGTTGACGACATGAATCACGCGCACAGCTGATTCAAGATCAGACTGGGAGACTAGTGGAACAGTGAAGGAGAAATCCGTAACGGTGTCGCGACGTTCACGGGTTTTGTAAACTGTGCGACCTATTTAACGATTATGTTAGAATTGTGTTCTACATGGCAAGCCTAGAGTAAATGACTCGGAGGCTAGAGATAACACTTGCTCACCATCTTCAGTCTCAGTGAAGGTCTCAATCCTCACTTCCTCATGGGTTCCGGTCAATTTCACGAATAGTTCAGGTGGGGTAGTAGAGTGAAGCAATATAAATCGACAAAGTGCTTCACCGTCAGAGTTCAAATGTGGATCGTGACTGACAAGTTCGAAAGAGATCGATGATGAGTGACAAGCAGCAAAATCTGGTTGAGCAGGTCACTGACCTGGTGATGTTTCCAAGCGAATCGGTGCTATAAGACGCTCGATACATGGAGAATTCTGGTGGTTGGCCATCGGGTAAGGAGTCTTGGAAACCTGATTCAAGATCATCAGACGCAGTCGAATTGAGGGCATATTTCGGATGTTTTGAAGCTAGCTCGGACGTATTGGAGGCCAAGAGGTTCGATGAGCTATCAGCAAAACCGTTAGAGTCATCCAAAGCACTGTATTGTGGTGGTGCTTGGGTAAGTTGAGGTAAAAGCTTTGAAGATGTCGAAGTATGTGGTGTGTCCATGTCAAAGAGTTGAGGATGACAACATTTTCTACAAACTTGTCAAAAACTGAATGCACTGCCTGGCCCTGAACCGTGAAGCCTGTGTCCGAACTGTCGGGGCATCTCCAATACATCACCCGAGGGGCCAAAACTCTGCTTAAATCCGTGGTCCGGGAAAAATAATCATGAGAAGATTTGATCAGGAAAAACTTTCACAAATCCTCAACTTTTCGGACTTCACCCAGCCTTTTGATTTAGATGACCATGAAAAATTATCAGAGAGATAGTCCAAGTACACCCATGTGACCGGCTCCAAATTTGAACGCTGGCTAAATATGCTACCCTCCACGCTGGGTTGAACAAAGAAAAACTTCATGACAAAGTTGCAAGCCCCAGCATAAGACCCAGCGCAGTTTGAATCTGGTGCATAGAATTATGCCAAAAATGATATGATCCCACCTAGAGGCTGTCACTGAGTACCCATATGCTGTCTTCCGCTTGTTGAGGTAGTGTCTGAAGTTTGCAGACGAAGAATTCGATGATCACGGTACAAATAAAGTAGGATTGACGACTTCTGGGTTCTCGTCATGAAGCGCGATTCAGCAAATACGCCGCAAGAATTGAGAGCAGATTGCGTCAGGAAGAAGATGGCTCGATCCATGCTCATTGGGATGTGAGTCAGTTTGCTCACCCAAGCTATTCGAACATAACGGTTCTTACTGATAAAGCCAAGCGTGCACCTCAAGATGATCAAGATTCAGCACCGCGATTCGGTTGCTTTTGAACTTTTTTCAGATGTGTTGACTGACTTTCGTCATTTTTAATCATTGCGCGAAGGTGCTCTGACGATATCAAGAATGAAGTGATGTAGAAATCAAATACTCTGGTACAAATCAAAGTCAGACGAAGACCTAACAAGGTGTGGGTGAAGGAAAAAGGGACGTGGTCGACCACCTTCATGAAGTTCAGCATCCAACCGTAGTTGCCGAACGGTCATCTACCCCACCGAGGCCGCGGTGCGGTGGTGTGGCTGATGGTGAACAGAGACTGAGTGCGGCTCGACGGTGATCATTTTAGCAGATGAAGGGATCCGCAGCTCAACCTGGGCGGATGCGATCATTCATCGTCATGACCGTTATCACAATCGACGAATGGACCTTAAGGAATGGCAGACCTTAAAACTTAGAGTGATATTGGAATTCAGTTCAGGACATCATGACGGACGGAAGAGGCTTGACTGCCAAAATTGGCATCCTGTAGATGAAGTTGGCTTTCTCTTTACAACACTCGCATATCAGGCTGAGACTCCTCTTCCCCTGTTCTCAACATCGTCCGCCGCGGACACTGATCCTAAGCCCATAACGGAAGACACTCACCGGTTTATGTAAATCCTTGTAACGAAGAACACTATCCCCAAGCCATCTTGGGATCATCGATCGAGAGGTCTGGAATTCCAGGTTCAACGTTCGTGTGGAGCAGTGCCGGATTCAATGATGAAATTCCTCATTCCTGCGATCAACCCTGCTTAGTATGCCAATCAATATGCCGAAGATAAAGATGAAGCTTTAAGCCTCGCTCGCTGAAAGAGAACATCAATATATGATCCGACGTGCTAAACTTCACATATCTTGTCAGGTTTTCTTCGTCGTGCATTGCCGCTATTCCACTTATTTGATTTTTGATCACGCTCACTTAAAAGCGCCCGCTTGTGGGTATAATCTGCTTGACGAGAGCATCCTATCTCAATATTGTTTTACCCGAACCAATGGCATCAGATTCCAACGCTGATACTGCCCCAACTGATATCTCGGGTCCGCTGCTGATTGGCATTTTGTTATCCACCTTACGTAAGTTTTTCTGTACGCGTCCAGCAGCCGTTCGAGATATGTGCATAGTTTGGTTATGTCGTCTGACGAGTATCTTTGATCGTGTCATCGGTAGTATTTGGTATTGTTCTTGGTCTTTCGTTCCAATACCTTTCAGCGGTGTCCCGAAGCAGCAAGTTGGCACCCGAGTCATGTTTAGCTAGGAAGAGCTCGCGCTCTCGATTGGTTGCAATCCTAAACGCGAGGCTGAAAAGACAAGTGCCGAGTTTTTTTTTCGGTGAACATGCTTTCCGCACTTTTACAGTACGTCGGGGTTGAACAGTGCTTTGCCAACAAATCATCAATCTTCACTAGTCGAATTGAATGTGGCCTGATTTACCTTCATGCTTTTGGCTTCATAGGTTCTTGCTCTTCACCTAGCAGGTTTATCTCAAACAATCATTCGATTTTACTTACTCTGGCAACTCGCTATTGTTCAAAGTCATCTAGACCTTTCTTTGAATCCATTCGTGATACCATTTGGTAAGGTTTTGTTTCCAAACACACTCTCAACCTACGGATGTCCAGCGTTCTTAAAAATCGGTTCTGTTCGCACAGGTGTGGCGATATCATCGAACCTGTTGACATTGATGATACAGACAATCGTCCAAATATCACTACTGAAACGGGCCCAGAAGTTAGACAGGATCGCGACTTATTCAGCGGCATTAGCCACGGAACGTGATCAAAACCATGCGATCTCGCTCTCTTCAGACACTCACTCCATCAGAATTGAACCGGGCGAGGAAGAAGACAACGAATGGCTGTTCGCTCTTCGTCATCGTCGGCTCATTACCCACTCGCTGTACTTGCAACAAGGTTCCTCTGCCTGGCGATGGAAATCAATTCAACTCCTGATTGGAATATGTGCAGCCACTGGGGTTGCTTCCGCGGTTCTGAATACTGTTAGTCAATCGTATGATTTGTTGATTTTTTAAACAGCAAAACGGCCATGCTGAAACAAATACATATTGCAGATAGGACCGTTCGAGAGACATCAAGGGATTGCCCTCAGTAACACTTCCAGCTTAGTAAACCAAAAAGCAGGAAGTGTGACACTAATCACACCCATTTGGTACATGCTTTCGGCGATCGTTGACGTCTTGATCAGCGCAAGTACGATCCGTGATCTAGGAAAAATCCGAAATCAAGTGTTGAATATTTGTAACAACAGAAACGAGTAAGTATTCAAGTGGGCACCTGAATTCTTTCGGCATTTCACATGCTCCGAAGACCTCCATCAACTAACTAAACTTTTTGTGGAAATAAGCTATGTATCATCTTTACGTTCCTTAGCCGTAGTAATGTTAACATCGGGGGTATTTCTGAGTGGTGTGCAAATTGTTTCCACCATTCTGTACTTCTCTCTACGCGAGAAGGGGTGGCAGTACGTGCCAATCAGCATTTTACCACGATTCTATGAAGTAATTCATTTCCCTTCAGATCTCATCATCGAGCTTGTAATCTGATATTGACAATTGTGTATCGCAGATAACCCTCATCACCGTTCTTACAACTTCTCTCAGGAGTCAAGAATCCCGAAACTGCAAACCTCCCGATGCCTACCCACTCAAATCTTCTTCCACCAAAAGACTACAAAAATCTTCCATAACTAATCCAGGAAGCGAGGGACGTAGCAGTACAAGACCCCCAAGATCAATGCCCGCTGCGATGATTCGTGAAAATACGAACCTATCACTTACATATGACTCATCTGACACTCATCTGGATTGCGAAAATGTGCTGTCCATTCACTATAGTAGAACTTCTCACGATGCTCCCCCACAGCTACGCGTATCATCACAATCACCGGAAACGAGCCTGACTTCATGGTGTACATGGGGAGAAAGAGGTCCCGATCCAGATAGACTGTCACCCAATAGTTCAGTATCTCGTTTATCTGCTTCGACTATCAATTCCAAACCAGAATATCCACTCCATTCTAGATTTTCAGATTGGGGTTCGGCTACCCCTGAAACTGCAACTTTTCGGTCTACATCAACAATGTCTTGAAGGAGTATCAATACTTATTGATCACGAAGAAAAGAAATGTTTATAAGTATAAATTGACAAATATTTAGACTTTGGGTTACTTTCATAAGTCTCTCATAAAAATTCCGGTTATGTAATTCAATTGATTGCTGAAAAGGAGAAGGGGTGTATGTAAAGCAGCTCTTTAGTTTGGACTATAGTGTTTTTTATTCTCTCACTCTAGATGTATCGATTCTCTCTTTTTTATCAGATTTTGTTGTTTTTTAGTTGTGCATTCTAGATTTGTTTCAATAGAAGAGTCTTTGAGCTCTTGTAATCCAATATTTGTATCAGTTGTTCTTTGAACTGTGATAATACACCTATGATTGCCAAGTACACAGGTAGATTTTTTCTGATGATATGACATTTTAGCATTTGAGCTGAAACTTGAAAGGTCCTCTGAAAGTCCACAAATCATGGTCACCACCATCAATTTGGGAGTGAATCTAACTTCTAAGTCATCAACTAAACAGAGCTTGAATTAGATATGTTTACTAGTCACATCAAAGTATCAACATATATTTTATAGATGATTATATCTGGAGAAGTGCCACTTGCAAGTGTGTTTGCTGATATTATCCAGATTTATGTATTTCATCTAGTTAATCTAGATGATCATTTTTGATATCTATTCAATTACGACATTGTTTTTGTCAATTAGATTTTTTTTGCGAGTTGAACCACTGATCCTCAGTCGCCTCTTGCGGTGATTTCCAAAATCTACATGAATTTAGTCACCAAAACTTCCTTTACCTGCGCAAGATATTCAGATGTCGCTCCTGCTTACACAAGAGCATAAGATCAGATTGGCCAGTTCCTCAACGAGCTACACCTAGTGCTAGCCGCGCCCGATGCGCCTCGTATTGCGCGTCTGCTGGCGGACCAGACACACCATGCCCATCATTTCATCTGCCAGGCAATCCATAGCATGCACCCTGCGTTTTCTGGAGCCATGCATAAATGCCAATCCATATGCTGAATACTTGTTGTGCACTGCAATAGCTGCGCCGTAGGTACAACTGATGCACACACAGGAATTTGAAATGCAAATTCTGCATGCATGTCATGACCTCTACTTGCTCAGCGCACGAGATATTTCAGGGAAAGATGAACAAAGGGAGTGTCCCTTCTCATGTGGTGGGCGCGAGAGTGAGAACAAGGACGCGGCCTTATTTTGGCTGGGGACGCAAGAGGGCACAAGACGCGCAAAAAAATAGACAAAGGTGGGTCCACTTTTGAATAATATCTCATCACCCACATCTTCTGCATTCCAGGAAAAATCACTGGTCTCACATGAATCCCCTCTGTACAACTTTATCAGCAGTATGTAGGACAGCAAAAATCAACCAGATCAACATTAGTAGTAATGAAGATGTGTTGCTATCATTGGATTCCAAGATTTTGTTACTGTAGTACCTTTTAATCCAGACTATAAATGCTCCCATGATTGAAGAAGATGGTGTGGGGTGGTACAAATAACACATGTGGATGCAGCTGAGATAAGTTGAAGCCTGAAGGTGAGAGAGAGCTGAAACCTGCTGACTATATGCACCCTGCATGCACCCTGCATGCGCCCACGACTGGGGCGTCAGAGTTGTGCCGCGCCCACCACTTGAGTCCCTTGTCGATCAATTTCTTTGTGTCTTTTCCTGCAGACAGAGACAATTCGATACAGGCCTTGCGTGTCGTCATGCGTTTCAACTCGTGGCAACTTGATCACCCAGCATTACCAACTCCAATTTCAGTCCAGGATCCCATGCGACACGAAAGAGTCTAGACTCCGTAGAATTACATCCTGTAGTTGAAGCCGGCAACCGGTTTTCGCTTTGTAGCGCTGGCAGGTCAGGTCGATGTCCAGTCTCCCCCTGTTCTGAACACCACAGAGAATGGGTCTGGGCCCACAACGGGACACACTCGCCGGCTCACTTTAATCCTTGCAAAGCTGAACCGATTCACACATCCATCCTGAGATCGAGAGTCTAGAACCCCAGGCTCAACGTTTGTATGGATCAGTGTCGGATTCATTGATGTACTGCCTTACTCTGGCGAACTTCGATCCATATATATACTACGCGCCGAATTTGAGACATCTTGCCTCTCCATCGTTCACTGCGGCTATTACTATTCCAGTTATCTTATAACTATCTTTGTGGAGGTTGACTCTTGTTAATAACCTCGACTCTCAAGCAGCCGATTTCGGTTGTAACCTTCCCAACAAACGCAAACTATATCATCGTTTGTTTACCTGACCCAATGACGCCACATCTAAACGCTAGCAGCTCCTCAAGTGAGGTTTTGGGTCCGCTGCTGATTGGTATTTTGCTGTCCACCCTATGTAAGTTTTTCTTGACGCGTCCAATTGTCTAGAGTATGGATCTAGAGTATGGATTTATGGTCTGACGTGTATCTTTGATCTTGCCATTGGTAGTATTTGGTCTTTTTCTTGGCCTGTCGCTTCAATACCTCTCAGCAATGTCCCGCATCGGCAAGTTGACGACCGAACCCTCTCCGGATATGAAAAGAACATATCCTCAATGTATCCCAGTTCTCACCGCGAGGTTAAAAATAAAAGCTCCGAGTTTCTTTTCTGGAGAATACGCATTCCGCAATTTTACAGTAAGTCGAGCTTCAAAATTGCTTTACAGACAAGATCATCAATTTTCACTCTAGCTTAACTTGTCGTTATGGTTTCTGCTTCATAGGTTTTTGCCACTCACATGGCAGGTTCATCTCAAACAATCATCCGCTTCTATGTTCTCTGGCAGCTAGTGATTGTTCAAAGTCATTTGAACCTTTCGTTGGACCCGTATGTGATACCCTATGGTAAGAACTCGATTTGCTACAAAATTTAACCTACCATTGTCCAACGTTGCTAAAGATCGGTTCTGGTCGTGCAGGTATGGCGCTGTCATCGAGCCTGGTAACATTGATGATCCAGACGCTAGTCCAAGTATCACTACTTGGACGGGCCCAGAAGTTAGACAGGATCGCCACTTACTCAGCGGCATTAGCCACAGAACGCGATGAAGATGGTGCGGCCTCGCTCTCTTTGGACAGTCACTCCATCGGGATCAGCACGGGTGATGATGACATCAAGGAGTGGGCCGTCGCACTTCGAAATCGTCGGCTCATCACCCACTCGCAGTACTTGCACCAAGGCTCCTCGATTTGGCGATGGAAAGCACTTCAATGCCTGATTGCAGTATGTGCAGCCACCGGGCTCGCTTCCGCTATCGTGAACGCCGTTAGTCTCATTTTACATTGGGATTATCCGAACCTAAAATTCAAAACTGATATAAATATATATTACAGATTGGACCGTTCGAGAATAATAAAAATATTGCTCTCATAGGCACTTCAAGCTCATCAAATGACAAAGCTGCAAGGGTCACAGCAATTACACCCATTTGGTATATGCTTTCAGCGGTTGTTGACGTCCTGATCAGCTCGAGTACCATCTGCGATCTAGGCGGAATCCGAAAACAAGTCACGAATCTTCGTAACAGCAGAAATGAGTAAGTCTTTATACAGGCTTCTGGGAGATTTCTCTTCATTTATCTGATATGGAAACCTCGATGAGCTAACTAGAATTGTTATGGAAACAAGCTATGTATCATCCTTGCGTTCATTAGCACTAGTCATGGTGACATCTGGAGTGTTTCTCAGCAGTGTACAGATTATTTCCATCATTCTCTATTTCACTCTGCACGAGAAGGGATGGCAGTACGTGCCGATTAGCATTTTACCACGATTCTACGAAGTAAATGAGTTTCCTCCAGACCTAAATATCGAGATGGTGGTCTGATGCTGACATTCACCTGGCCTAGATTACACTGATCGCCGTTCTTTCAACTTCCCTCAAGAGCCAAGAGGCCCGAAGCTCTATTCGTCTATCTACTGGTCCCTACCACCTCATGGCGTCTTCCGAGAAAAGAGGGAAAAATCCTTCAATAATTGATGCGGTGACCAAGAAGCATTGTAGCGATGCGGAGCCACCAAAATCATTGCCTACTGCGATGATTCGTGATAATCCAAACTTATCACTCATATATGACTCATTTGACAGTCGTTCGCAATCAACTGAATCTAGCTCAATTTCACAGAGTACGTTAGATCACAGAGGACAAGCCACAAGTAGAACTTCACCTATCAGTCAACCTCATCGGGAATCTACTTCGACCGTCTCTTCCAATTCAGCATACCCGTTCCAATCCAGATTTTCCGATTGGGGTACAGCTACCCCTGACAACTCAACTCTGGCAACCCGGTCTACGAAGTCTTGAAGTGTTGTTCTTGCTTGCTAGAAATGGAAAGTAGACATATATATGTTGAAAACTGTTTTGGTCTAGTGTTTCTTAGTCGCGCTTCTCTCAAAAAGACCTGAGTTGAGATAAATCACCATCTTCAATGGTAGAATGGGTTTTTATCTCAGCTGCTTCTTTTTTGTATCATAACGTTGTTGTAGTTTTTGCTGTGGATGTAGTAAGCCTTTCTTTTGATTGAATTGTAGTGTTTTTGAGTAGTGCTTTCTAGTTTTGTTTCAATACAAGCCCTTAAGCTGTCAAAATTCAGATTTACCAGAGCCTTGATCGTCTGAAGGGCAATCACATCATCACACTGGTCTACACAGCTTTCGTCGCTTAACTTATGCATATATTGGTAAATGGTTATCTGAGTGCGACAATTCTATTAGCTCAATGAACTCGAAAAGCAGAAAATCTTCCTGATTCACATTCACATCCCTGGGACAGCATCGTGATAATCAATTGATTGGCATCAGAAAATCTCCATGTCGCAATGAATAACACATTTTGAAGATTGTTAGGTGCCTTTGCAAAATAAATCAAATGGTAATCTCTCAAGACGGATTTTATATGAACTTCCTTTTCCAGATTCTTCAAGAGTAGAGGGTGACATGGGAAACCTTTCTGCGATGTGCTTCTCAGTGGGAAGATGTCAGGATAGATCTTTTGAGCAGCTGTTTCGGTGAAATTTGTGGTGCTCCATAATATTTGGGAAACATTGAAACTTTTGACTGTTGATGGTTGGCTGGATTCTTAATCTCGCCCAACCTGCCGAGTTCACTGTTCAAGCCTGAACCCTTCCTAAAATCCGACATCCGAGTCCCGATCACCGGGTAATTTCGATTTGGCCCCGCATGATCGAGTCATGACTCATAGGCGAAGCTCTTCGATTTCGCTGCTCATATTTCGCAAGTTCCCTTTCCTCCCTTATCTCACAATCCCTCCTACATCGGTTACCAACATATCATAAGCGAATCTTGCTCATCGTTAAACCTGATGGCTTGGAGGTGTCACGGTTCAACAAATGCCGAAGTTAGTCACATCCATTTAATGTATTGAACAATCCGATTAGATGAGTGGTCCATTAGACATTCACTCCGTGGTCATAAAGATTCATTTCGAAAGAATGGGACGGCCTACATATCGCTTCCCAAAATCTTGAACGTGGGAAGTGGCAGTAGCTGGCAGTACCCTTTGGATCCTCAAAGTGGACATGTCTGTGGCCCTTGGATCCTTGAAATGGAGGTGTGACTTACTACCACTGACTCAAAGTCATGAAGGAAATGCGAAAATTGATCGTGATGCCGTAAGATCACCAATGAAACTCGCGGTTTTCAAAACTCCTACACCCAGTCTCGCTCATTTCTTCTTGCTGTATTCTATTCCCAAAGGGATGATGAACCAACCGTCGAGCTTTTGAGAAATACTTGTATGTCGCTTAGTTTCGGCTTCACTGATACCGTATTGGTCTACATCGTGCAGCTCATCTCGAAATTACACTCGGCTGGTCTTATCCAGAGCTCGAGGCAAGCATTATATTCAGCTCTAGGACACATAATAGTGGTACAATCTGACCTTCATCCGATTGAATTTATGATGCACAATCAAGAGTTCTTGAGGCAATGAATAAGGTTGATCGAGCAAAATACGTTTTGAGAAATTCTTTGAGTGAGGCATATCAAGATAGACCGCAGTAAGTGTAAAGTCTGATTAGCAACTGTCAAAGGCACCTGAAAGAAAATTGATCATCACGATCATTCAACTCAGACCTATTGGGCACGGTGCTACTATATCTGCTCCTCACATGGTCAGTAGTCATTACATTTAATTGCAACTTGACACATCAAAAGATCAATCACGTATCCTTCTAGCACGCTAGCGCTTTGGAAAACCTACTTCCATTTTTAAATCCCGGAGCCCGTGTCTTAGGTAGGCTGTCATAACCTACGAAAGGCATATGGTATATTCTTATCGGTTGATACTACTTGCTTACTTTTGGTGAGACGTGGGTAGTGGAAGCGGATATATTCTTGCTTGTTTGTATCACTTGGTGTCAAGTCCAGTTGCGATCAAAGCTAGCCATAATCAACAACAAGCTGGACTGGCTATTGGTAAGCTACAAGAATACTCATAAACACAATTCAAATTTATCAAAATCGTCTTCCAAATTCCACTGCATAGGAATTGAACATATCCCCGAATTGGCAAAAGAATCCATTGAAAACTTGAAAAATGATGGACTTGATGAACCTCTTGCTAAAGGATTTATCAAGGTGGTTGCAGGTGATGCTCGAGACCCAAGCACTGAGTTTGGGGGAATTTGGGATGCTATACATGTCGGCGCTGCAGCCCCTACCGTGAGAAGTTTTCATTTCAAATGCTGCAAGACATGCATGAGTGTGTGTACTGATATTGGTCTACCTGCCTTGTTCTTTCAGATGCCATCAACACTTGTTAATCAGCTAGCTTCTCCAGGTAGGATGTTCATACCAGTAGGTAGTTTTCTTTACCCAAACTCTCCCTGATGACCATCTTATCAAATGTATCTCTATGTTTGTTAGGTTGGAACCGATTCCCAAGCAGTATTTCAAGTGGATAAAGATGAGAAGGGAGAAGTAACCATCAAGGAACTCTATAACGTTAGATATGTGCCTTTGACTAGCCGGGAGGCTCAATTATCTGGTGTCTGAATCTTTGACATGAGCTAGGATTTCATCTCTGTGATCAAGATAAGCATCATGCGACTTGCAATCAACTCATCAGGGTCCTAGATGTGTTACATGAATGGTTGTGATTTGAAAATGTACCCTGCATTCGATATTTGAATACATTTTGAAATGAAGTGTGTCATCTGTGGCTCTGCAATAAACTCAGGAATGTTCAAAGACAAATTTGGAGCTTTTTTGATTGAAGTTTGCTACAAAACCACCAAACTTTTAGCTGACTTTGTGAAAATTGTATTTGATTTCTAACCGTGATGTAAGTCTTCCTATCACTGGCACAGAGTGACAAGCTTCATAAATAGGGACTCACATAAAAATATGATTATTTGAGTATTTTGTAATTTCAACCAAAAATCTAAACTTATCAGTCTTCCTGTTGCAACTGTAAAAAAAACAAGAAAATGGTCCACCAAGGATAATTTTGAACAGCCCTTCATGAGAAGGCCCCAAAATTGTTTTGTATTTTGGATGAGTTTTGCAACTTTGGAAGTCTTATGTTGAAAAAAATTCCATAAGTGGTTCTTGCCACAAAACCATGTGCTGATTTTTTTATCATCAGCAAGTTGTAAAGAGTTTATTACCATCTTCCTTGTCATATCCCAAATTTGTCTGACTTGATATTAGAGTCCTTATGGATGGATTTTGATCAAGAGAGTTGGAAGTTGTGAGACATTGTGGTTTTAAAAATCAAAAGGAAATTTCTTTAGTCTGAGCTCAAGCATACTTGCTTATCAAAACATACCTTGCTAAACACCCTTTCTGGTCATCCACTTCTTCAGTCAGATATCTGGCTTGGTTAAATTGTAAAGTGTGAATGAGGAAACAAACTGATGATGAAGCCACTTTATCTGCTCTGTTCCTCAATTTGGAAAGGATAGTATGAAAATCTTGAAATACATCATTACAGTCAAACCCGCGCAAACGCATAATTTGGGTGGAAGACTTTTGCTATGCATTTTGACGGGTTATGCATTTCTGTTGTCAAATTTGGCAGTAAAAAGCGTCAAGATTCTAGATTTTTTCTATGCATTATCAAGGGTTATGCACCTGCGCGGGTATGCATTTGCGCGGGTTTGACTGTACAATATCACTCTTAAACAGATGATCAAGATACACTGTCTACATATGTCAAAGAAATCCAGCTGGCACCTATACAACCAGCAAGTTATTCTCATATTGAAATTCCTTATGTCAATAATTAGTTATGGTTTTCCATTGGGGAGCTTCATCTTGTAGTAACTCAGAAAAGTCCTCCTCTCTTGATTGTCCTTCATTCAAGATTCCATGAATGATTTTTGTTGGCTTGATAAACCACTTGTGACCCTGTGTTTTGAAGAATATCTGGTGATTCAAATTCCTATTGCTTGGTATGCTTTCAACAGCTTTATTGCCCAAATGACCCATAACAGTCATCATTTTGTATATGCCTCAAGACCAGGATACCAGATTGATCTTGCTTTTTTCTTTGATCCCGTTCTGCAGCTTTGTGATTTTTTTAGAGGAACAACAATTATGTAGGTGGCTCTTGCTGCTTAACAGTATACATAATTGATATCTCTGGTACATACAGAGATATTTGATGCTTATCACTCTGGGACACAGATCTTTGAAAACCAACAAAATATGAAACCATCTGTTACATTCATCTCTTTCCTTTTGAAAAAGTAGCATCAAAATCCTTCAGAGACATCATCACATTCCTTTCAAACATATGGTGTACATATACCAAGATAAACTTGCATAAGTCTGTGAAACCAGCAGCACATCTTAATTTGTTTCACATCAATGATCAATCATAATTCACACATGAGCAGATCTGTCTGCTAAAATCCCTCAAAAGATACCTCTGCTAGCTGCAAACAATACCGTCTATTTCCACAACACAGGGTTGGGTATTGGACTATGGGTGAAAGCGGGAAACATCCATAACAAGAGGGAAGAATTCCCCAATGTGTACAAGAAGTTTGAGAAGGTCATAGGAAAATTCCTTTCCTTACCTCTTTTCCTTCACCCAAAAAATTCACCTTTTAAATTCATCCTATCACATCTTTCTCTTTCATTTCAAGCTTCCTGCTTGATGATTTATCTTTCTTTGAACCTACCCACCTCCCAAAAAATCAGTAGTTTAAGGGTAAAGATTTCTCACCAAAGCTTAAAGAAATAATTATTAATATATACCACTGAAATCCTCAAACTTACCAAAGTCCCTCACAGCTGGTATAACCTTCATAGGAACTTCCAAATATGACCTTCCTGGTATAAGAAGATGTGGGGTTTAGTTTGGCGGGGGGATGGAAATGGACCCAGAGTTTTCCAAAAACTGCATTGGGGAAACCAAAGTCCTGCTAGTGCTTCCAAGTAAGAGATTTTCACTCAATTCCAACATATTTTTGATCTGTTTTCAAGTTTCTATGGAAGGCCAAAAAATCAGATTCTTGATTATCAAAAAACCAAAGCAACATAATACACATATGACACAATTGTATGGTAAGAATTGAAAAGAAAGGATTTCAATGACAATGAAAACTTGAGAATGATTCAAGATATGTAGGATCTAAATCTAGTGATAAGGTCTTCTTTGGGTCCATTTTCCTCTACTAAATCTCACAACCTCTCACACCAGGAAGGTCACATCCAGCACAAGTCCCTACACACGCTTTGGGTGTTACCGTGGGTTTTACTGCCTGCAAGGGACTTTGTCAAGTTTATGAAATTCTACAACTGTTGACCACTTTCCAGATTCAACAATCTCACAACTTCACAAATTTCTTACCGTAAGTACACCTCTCTTCTTCTTCTCTCAAATTCAAATTCACTTCCTCAACGAAAAAAACACACAAGACATACATTACTGATGCTTACCTCTTCTTCATAAGCTCTTTACTCCTACACAAATCATGATTGAATGATCAAAGAACAACAACAACAAAAACAACAACAATAAGAACAACAAACATAAAAATCCAAAGGTGATGAGCAAAAAAAAGTTGAAATGAAAAAAAAAATTAAAAAGAGGGATGGGGTGATACATGTGATAACCAGAAAGCTAAAGATAAATCAAAATCAAAGTCAAAAAAAATCAAGTAAACCTTCTTTTCTTCTCTCTTCTCTCTTCTCCTTTCACTTCAATCAAACTTTAAGATCTCCTTGGACCTCTACCATTCCTTGCACCATTACTACCCTTAGACTTCTGTGCACCTTTAACTTTCCCACCACCAAGTCCACTTCCACTTCCACTCCCACTACCACTACCAGTACCATCAGACGTTGAAGAATCAGTAGTCCTAGTAGTATTTGTATCAGTGATCGAAAAAGCTTCAGTAGAACTACTAGCCCCACCACCACCTCCTCCAGCATTCTTCTCCACCTCAACTTGAACTTGAACTTGGACAGGAATCGGTTGTTTACCAAACTCTTCTTCATCAATAGCCCAAGCATCCCACCCAATCTTTTCTTCTTCTTCTTCAACATCTAAATCAGATATAGGTGAAACCTCATCCTCATCCTCATCTTCATCTTCTTCTGAACTATCAACTTTAATCACTCCATCATCAAACGAGATGGAAATCTTTTCTTCTTTAGCTTTTGAAGAACCATTAGTAGAATTAGAAGAGATCCGTTTAGTTGCATTCTGTAAACTTAATCTACTTAAAACTTTAAATTGATGATGTCCTCCTCTCTTGCCTGGTTGTCCATTCGGAAAACCAGGTGAAGGGTTCATCAAAAAGTTTCGTGTCAATGTTGGATGATAAGCTGATGTATCTAAAATCGTTTCTACCGCTGACTTAATAGGTTCTTCATATCGAATCGCATTCATTTGGTTTCTTTCTTGAAACCCTAGGTTAATAAACTCGCCTGGCACTTCATTCGGATTGCCTCCAGGTTCGATAATCACTTCTTGTCTAACAATCAATTTCTTTAATCTTCGTTGACTACTTGATGATAATGAAGAAGATGATAAAGATAAATCTTTCATTAAATCTTCAATTTGTTCATATGTTTCTTTGAAATGATAAAAATCAAATTGATGATAAGTATAAATCGATTTAGGTAAAATGTTGATCGAATGACTAAACGTATCCAATTCAACAAACGATGTCCATCTTTCTCCTTTAAGTTTTTTAACTTGATGAATACCACCAACCAAACCGTTGCTGTCTTCTGTTTCATATAATCTAGTTTGTTCCATTTGTGGTTGATTAGGAAGAAGTGACCAGATTACTGTTGCTGTACAATTCACCGAATGTGATTGATGATGATGATGTGGTTCATTAAGATCAGCTTGTTGTTGCATTAATTGAGATAAACCAGAAGGAGCTGATTTCTTCCTTGGTTTAGAATGATGTTCACTAATCATAGCAGCTTTAGTTGGAGACGAAACTGTTCGATGACTACTACTCAATGACATCAATTTCTTCTTAACATCTAAATTATAAAGTACAACACTTTGGGTAAGATGATCAAATAATAATCCACTGGGTAATCTCTTATGTAAAGGATTCAAGACTTTTTCAAATTCTTCTCTTCTGCTCGATCTTTCTTCATTCATTTGTTCATCATTAGGTTGAAGAAAGATAAAACTAGTTTGAGAATGATGATGAAGATGATGATGATCGGTTTCAGATTCATGAGTTTCATTTGATTCGATTTGATCTTTGGATATCATAGGAATAATCATCCCATTGGTAGAGCTTGATTGGTTTTGATTTCTTAGGATATGTTTAGGTTTGATGGTCGTAAAACTAGAGATGGTAATTGAAAGTGGTTGAAAAACGAGTGGATTGGATGTTGCCAATGTCAAAATGGATGGTAAATCAGGTGTACCAACAGATGAATACTGTGGATTATCATTAGTAGGATGATTGTGACCTCCAGCTGGATGGATCGCAAATAAATCTAAATTTCATAGAACAAAAATTCAGAGTCAATTCATGGAAAGCAAATACTGATATCCTTCTTCATCTCAACCAAACTCACGATGGGTGCCACGATCAGTTACTACAGTCACAATCTTCGAGTCCCAAGCCCAAACTACGTCCCTCACATCAGCCGATGTATAACCACGGACAAGTTTGTATCGATGCCAGACTGTAGCCTCACGATGTGATCCAGTCGATCTTCTTCCACTGATACAAGACTTACCTACGCGTGAATACGGTCGAAGTTCGAATATATGAAAGGAGTGAGCATCAATTGATGAGGTTAAAAGCATAGTAGATGAAGGATTGAAGGATAGGAATAGTAACGGATCTGTAGAGATCTTGAAATGCGAAATCGGTTGATAGTGGCGGTTTTGTGGCTTGGAATCAGATGATGGTAGTAAATCCACCACCTTGACGTTACCACAATTCACGGGGTTTTCAGCATGTAAGGTGGATCCACTAGTCTGAAGTTCGTGAGGAGTTAGACGTTCACTTTCGGGATGAGCGCCGAGTCGACTTGAAGATGAATGAATTGAGTCATCTGTCGAATTAGGAGAGAAAGCCATCTCACGACCAAAATTATGAGAATGATCGAGATCATGAGGATTCATCATGTAAGGTAAAGGTGCACTCTTTGAAAAGTTGGATTGACTGTCTCGTCGATTGGCATGAATCTTGGTCTTGTCTGGTGAGCGACCATTTGTATTACCATTCATCAAGACATGTTGACCCCATGACGTAAGAAGCTTTGCTCCAGAGAGTAAACCCCCACCTACTTTCCGAGCGGTTTCGTCAATCGTATCAAGATTATGACTAACAGAATGCTTCCAGCTAGTTCCATTGGCATTGTGTCGATTGATACTACTAGTCGAGAGATCGCCAGTTCCCACACTAGAACCCATACTACCAAAAGAGTCCGTCTTCGAGGGTGAACGGGCTTCTTGATGAGTGGTGGCGAAGCTGAATCCTTGTCCAGTAGCGATAGGCGGCTCCCGCTCGTGAGGAGCCTTGTTGGAAGCATAGGCTAAGAGTCGATTGAGGCCCAAGCAAAAGATTGGTTCACCCGTCTTGGGCTTAGGGGTAAGATCAAGAATAGGAGAATAGGGTAGTTCTTTGAGTGAGAGCCTAGATTGACCAGTCGGTGTGATGCCCTCACGATGAGAGTGGAGCGTAAAGATATGGAGCGCCAAAGGTGATTTAGTAGCCACAACAACTAGCTGGCGATTGAGTTTGATTTGTACTCCAATGCCGGGTATGTCCATGTAGGTGACCAACTCAGCTGTCTTAGTCGAGTAAATTTCAAGCCTCGATAAGCGTTGAGAAGCTGAAGCAAAGAGTACAGCCACATAGATATCACCACGAGAAGTATGATGAGATGGAATAATTGAAGCTGAGACTGGATCGAATTGATTGAGATGAGTTTGATTCCAAGCAGATGATGGGACTGGAAGAGGTTGACCGGCGAGATGATGAAGTTTTGGAGTGTGGGAAGAGGAAAAGTCGGTTGGCCGGTGAATTTGATCCCATCGTACGTAAAAGAGTTCCACCAAACCTTCGAGGTCATGTGTATCCCAGAGCTTGAGACCAAGTTTGGTAAGGATGAGAAGTAAGGATTTGTGTTGATAGGTGTGCCAATGAGATGAGACCACATGATCGAGCTGAGATGATGAGTTGGATGTAGAAGAGAGAAGAGAAGGAGGATAAGATCGAAGAGAGTGTGTTTGATTGTGTTGTGGTTGTGGTTGTGGTGGTTGTAGATGAAGATGAGCTGGAAGTGAATGCCTGAATTGAGAAGAAAAGGCTGATAAAGAGAATGAATGAAGAGTGTTTGTGATTGATTCGAATGCGGTTGGTTCTCTATGTGAGTGATGATGTGAGAGTGTTAGTGATTGAAAAGAATTGAAGATAAAGAGAGAAGTAGTGACCTGATTAAGGTAGGTAAACTGATGATAGGTTGAATTGAAGGGTGTTGTTGTTTTTGATATTTTTGAATTGAAGTTTGAATTGAGATCTGATCATCTTTAGTTTGGTTTGAATGCATAAGATATTGACTTGAATCAGATGATAAGATTCTGATCCAGTCAGATTGAAATTAGTGAAGAATAGAAATGCTTGGTTGATTGATTGATGAGAATGAGAAATGTGATTGAGGAGAGTTGAATTGCTTTCTGATGATGATGATGGTGATGAAGGTGATAGTGTTGATAGTTCTGGTTGATAGTGTTGGTTGAAGTGTTGGTGTTGGTGTTGAAAGTGAAGTGGTGTTCTCCTTTGGTTGATGAATGGATGGATTTAGTCAAACTAAGTCTAATTAGTGCTAAGTATTTAATCACTTTGTAAAACCCCTTAAGTCTCAGCTTTATTGGCTTTAGTCCAATATAAGCTGAGCTTAAAAGCCTTAAGTGGTACACTAAGTACACTACTATGGTAAACTATAACTATAAGATTACGTAATGAATCAATTCAAGTCCCAATCCGATTCGATCTGATTCTGTTCTGTTCATCGATCTCCACTCAACCTCGATCATCATCATCTGATCAAACTCAATCCACTCTCACTCGAAGCAGAATAATATAGGAGCACTCGGTCAAAAACAACCAGTGAACACAACTTATGTAACCCATTGAGGTGCTCAGAACAAAGATACAAAGGACATCGATACTTGTCGAATAAACGTTCATTTGATTTTGACAAGGGCAAAAGATTGAAAAGCACAGAAAAGAACAACAATAGTCTCTTTGAAGATGATCTGCTCTCAAGACAAGATCTTGCTTACCAGGCGCCGCAGCCAAATCACAACCAATCCTTTAGCTATAAAAGCCATCCTCAATCATTTGATCTTCAAACCAATCGGAACTTCTTTAAAGCTTTTGGTAATGATATTCTTGTCATACAAATCTAGTTGAAACTTACCACTTCTTTTGAAAGTATGTAGTGGTTCATGGTGGTTTCATGGTCATGCTTGGCACATTACATAGAGCATCAAAAGTGCACTTGGCAGTGTTTGAGCCAAACTTGCAAAACTCCAATTGTGCCTTGGGTTTTTTGGAGGGAGGGTCTCCAAGGTATGATAGACTTGGAGCATCCACTATGGTTGCATTAACAACGTGATCAAAAGTCTACCACTTGATTTATTGTAAACTTTTGGCACATCAAAATGGTCAACAGGCATCTATCCAGCTCTACATCCAAGACCTTCAATTGGCAACTACCCTCTGATCTCAAGATGCCAACATATCAATAGTTGATCTTCCCTCAGAATCTTCCAAATCATGTTGAGCTTGTTTTTCCAACACAATTGAGCTTACACAATTGAATTTACTGGATTCAAGCAAGGCAGTCTTGTTGTTCATGCTCAAAATATGAAACCTGCAGTTGACAGATATCAATCTATCTAGTCACAAGAACAGGCATTGGTGAGGAATGAGTGGGTGAATTGGGTAAGATATAAGATTTTGATTAGTGATTTTGCCACTGTGGAGTTGATTGAAGTACAATGACTTCTTGTTGCTAAATCAGATGGTGTAGTGAGCAAAAGCTCTTATCAAGCAATATATATCCATCTCTACAGCACAGACAATCAAACTTAAGTAGCTTAGAGCATCCACTATGGGTGCGTTAACAATGTGATTTAGCATTACAATAACACTAAAATCCAGACAGGTCCACTATGGACCTGTTTTAGACATGTGGTACGTACGACCGCGTCAAGTCTTGCAGTCCGCTTGTTCAAATCTACAAAAGCCTACGACTTGATTTATTGTAAACTTTTGTCACATCAAAACAGTCAACAGCCATCCATCCAGCTCTACATCCAGTACTTCCACTTGACCACTACCCTCTGATCTCAAGATACCAACATATGAACAGTTGATCTACCCTCTGAACCCTCCAAATCATGTCAAGCTTGTTTTCTCAAAAAAGTGAGCTTGCACAATTGAATTTACTGAAATCAAGCAAGGCAGTCTTGTTGCTCATGCTCAACATGTGAAACCTGCAGTTGACAGGCATCAATCTGTCCGGTCACAAGAATAGTCATTGGTGAGGAATGAGTGGATGAAGTGGGTAAGATATGAGATTTTGATTAGTGATTTTGACACTGGAGTTGATTGAAGTACAATGACTTATTGTTGGTAAATCAGACAGTGTAGTGAGAAGAAGCTCTTGTCAAGCAATAGATTACCATCTCTTCAGCACACATAATCATACTTAGGTAGCTTAGGGTCCATTTGGCTGCACCATCTCATCTGACATCCAACTTGACCTTCTGCCCAGTTGGGGTTGGGCAAAGAGATGGTCATCCCGTTTTTGGTGACAGATGACAGTCAGATGGTCACCAGATGTGCAGCTGAACGGACCCTTAGTACTCTCAGAACTTCTTTTAACACCTGCTAAAATAGCCATGATTTTTTTCATAATCATTGATTCTCCAATCAAGCAAAACAAGGTCATCTACATAATTTCATTTATTCACATTCACAACAAGCTTAGGGCCCGTTTGGCTGCTTTTCCCAAAAATTGACCACAAAAACAGAATTTCAATTACCGACCAGTGGACCAAAATGGGCAACAAAATATCAGAATGATTGTTGTTGACCACTTGATCACCAGACAAGTGTTTGGTAAAGATGAATTGAAAAGAGTATTTCAGTATTTCAATTAAGACTTACAAACCAATCAATACATTTTCAAATCCATCCATCACAGTCATCAACAACCACAATTTATTTAAGATCAAACAGTCACTATGTTTTATTTGAGGGTTTAATAATTTTTATTCAAGATCAGACAGTCACTATATCTTTTGTATATATACAGATGTACTTGATGATATTTTGATGTTCATGTTGAACGTCAATCATAGAGAATGAGAAGATTAATAGAAACAATGAGTCAGTAGGTATTAAATGAATGTTAAGAAAAGAAATTACTTACTTTACTTGTTGAAGATGTATTGGAGCCAATCATCACACTCACAAGCGAGTTTATTGATGTATGTTTCAGCCATCACATGCTTTTCAGCAAATAAATCTAAAGCAGTGTAGCATTGAGTGCATTCATGAGTCAATTTGTAAATGATAGAAACAGTTTGACCATGGGTGGAAGGCTTTTCAACTTGAATCAGTTGGGCTGCAGTGTCAATAGAAGTAGAAGCTTGGACTGGTGGTGTTGCTTTTCCGCTGGAGCTTTGTCCTCTGAACTCAAGTTTCCCTTTGGCTTGGAACCAAGCTCAGGTAAGTTGGATGTGTCAGAAGGAGGTGATTTGAGACAAGTGTTGGGTGAATCAGATGGAGGAGAAGAGAAACTGTGAGGGAGACAAGGAAAAGGCTTGGCTTGGGATTTGAAAGGTGAAGGCATGTCTTGATGTTCGATTTTCTTGACAATGGGGCTATCAAAAGGTGGAGGAATGGCCTGATGTTTATGGACAACAGGACTGCTAGAAGTTGATTGAGTTTCATTGAAAATTGCACCTTTAACATACTTAGCTGCAGGCTTAATTTTCCATCAGGATATCTGAGTGGAGGAGAGTGTGATTGAAATAAATAAAGTCACATTTTCTTCATAATTGAGAGCAATGCAGTGATGAGTGCATATTTTGTCAACACACTTTTCAAAATGTTTCTTGAAAATGAATACAGTTTGTTAATCATTATTCTAACTTCCATAGCTTGATCATGAAATTTTAGCCAGTGTCTACTTTCAAAGTCTTCCACTATTTAAAGGCTTACTTTGAAAGATGGACTTGTGAGAATTTGAATGCAACACAATCTCTTAAGCTCTACAAAGACAATGGTTAAAACCTTTATAAAGATGACAGAGTACTTTTAGCCGTGTTGACAAGACACTTGGCTCACAACAAAATGAATGGACAAGTGCTAAAGTCATGACCAATCTGGATGTAAGATCAAGGATGAAAGTAAAGTAAAGTAAAGCCAATGGAGTATAAGATATAAAAGAGAAAAGTATAACAAAAGAATAAAATGTTTCAGTGAAGTTCTGAATTAATAAAAGAAGAGTCTGACTGAAATGTCACCTTAAAAATCGAATTCCTCAATGGGGAAAAAGATCAAAAAGGGAGAAAGGGAGAGATTGGGTTATAAGAGAAAAAACATTTCACAAAAATTTGAACAGACACACCAAGTCACAACATATTGAATGGAACTACCCCTGATCATCTATCAGAATGAAGAAATTTTCTTCTACCACCCACCTATTCACATAACAAATTGTAGACCTTCATCTCATCTTCAGTATTTCTTCCATCTGGATTGGTCCAGGTTCAATAAGTGGGTGGAGTGTTAACTCACTTGAGTCTTGATGAGTCTTAATGGTTTTGATAACTCACACAAGAATGGAATTTGTCAACAGGACATGTATTGAGGAGTTTTTTGAAATGGTCCACATCATGGTGCAAATCTATCTCAAAGGATGATGTATTGAAATCTGGCTTCAATTAAGGGATACAAAGTAGAATCCGGGCACATGCCCAGCTTTGTGCCTAGATTTTTTTTGGCAGTAAATTTGAATTCTGGGCCTGGACTTTTGCCCAGAAAATCAAATTTTACTGCCAAAATAATTACAGGCACAAAGTCGGGCACGTGCCTGGATTCTACTTTGTATCCCACAAATGAATCCTTTCCAATACATGTTTTCTTTGTCACAATAATTACAGGGACCAAAATTGATGCTTACATACAGGTGAGAATTGTACACTTTTCTGAGGGCTCCAAAGAAAATTGTTTTTCTTTCAGATTCTTTCAATTGACAATTTTGGTAGTGCTCAGGTGATCAGGCTATTTTACTCAAATTTTGCTGGACATTGCTGGAGAATGCTCATTTCTGTCTTGGATGAGCATTCTTGGAGATCAGTATCTCAGATGAGCACTCAGAACAGCTCAGAACCTTGTCCAAAATCCTGAACCAGCAGGCTCCAAGGCATGCCACTGAGGATCAGCTGAGGTGCTGAGATGAAGTGAGGAGATGGGCCTGCCCTCCCTCAGGCTTCTTTGCCCAGGAACGAAGCCTGAGGAAGGCCTAGTTCGTCCTCTCATTTCCTGTTGATCGTGTAATCAGCTGACAAGCAGGAAGAAAACAGGAATAAAAGGGAAGAAATGTGGAAGTAAAATTGAACAAACATTGAAAAAAACAAGAAAATTTCAATGAGCATCCATTTTTGCTTCTGTGAATAGCACTATCTTAAGTTTTTGGTATTATAGCTATTTTGTTTTACGTTGGACATTGATAAAGAATGGAAAAGGTCAAATTTTGGTCTTCAACTGGATCTAAACACAGCAAAGACTGTTTTTTGTTTTGTTTTCAGTGGTAACCTTTGAAGTTTAATCTGCTCTGGTAGTAAAAAACTTCATTTTTTCTTGAAGTCCAACATATATTGAATTGGTATTATCAAGTTTAATCACAATTTTGTATAGTGTGTGGAGGCAATTCATTGACAATTTGAAATCAAGGCCTGAAACAATTGCTAGACCACAAACTTTCTTGTCACAGCCAGCTGATCAAAGTTCTGGAATGCTCTCATTGAGAGCATCCCATGCATATCTTTTCTTGCTGTTTTTTTCAAACAATAAATACATACCAAGATGGCAACTTATTAATTTTTTTTCAAGTTTTGAATTACTCTCATCAAGAGCATTTCTTGCATATCTTTTTACAGAAATACAATGACTTTTATGGTTGTCCTAAGGATTGGTCTTGATCACCAACTTGGCTTCTATCTATGTGTGTTTGCAACCAATTGGACCAAGAGCTCCTTGATTTGGGACAGTAAATCAAACTTGGGTTGATTGGGCAGCAAACAATTGAAAAAGATTGTGATGAAAACAGTAGACTCCAATCTGATCAAAGGGGTTTGAAATTTGACTTAGCGGGGCCAAATGGGCAATTTATTGAGTATTTACTCAATTTCAAATTGACAAAAACTTGGCTCCACACACTATACCTGTTGACTTTGTGGAGCGCTACTTGGGTACTGGTTGCTTTTGCTCAAGGTAAGGGACAGTTATGAGAAATTTTAAAACTGTAATGTGGCCTCCTTTAGTCAGAGATCACACTCACTTGATTGTCAAAACACACTTCATAAAACCCCTTTTTTATCATTCCCTGATTCAGTCAGATATGTGGTTTGGATAGGCATGTGAAGTTTGATTGTTAAAACTAACTCAAAAGAAAATCACCATATGTGTTCTGCTCATTGGTTTTAACAAATTACTCTGTAAATCTAGGAGAGACATCACTACAAGACTCTTCAACAGGTGATCAACAGAAGTTGTGTACATCTAACAATCAGAAGACCACAGAGACCTATGTATACATCAATTTCATGCGAATGTTGTGTTGGCAAACTTCAAGAGTCATCTGTGGTTGCTTCATTGAGCAATGATTCTCCTATTTGAGTGAAGAAATCCCCATGCCTACATTCCTCTTGGGATAATCCATGAAGTATTGTGATTTGTTCAAATTTGATACGATCAAAATATGTGGAAAATCTGAATACTGCCTGATGACTTAACCATTCAACTTTTCCTCCCTTGACTTGATCTGGAACTTCACCCCTCACATGTATTTCAAATGTGTCCGGCTTCTCATCCTCAAGCACTAACACATATATAGCTGATAAATTATTCAAATTTATTGTCAGAGATTTGACCACAGGTTCAAGGAGAATTGACATTGACCATTTTGGCAGAATAAATGATTAAAGCGGACATTATCACATACCATGTGTAAGATGTTGATCCAACCCAGCCATTGGTTTCCTAAAAGGTGGAAGGTAACCTAGATATAGATTGATTCCCCACCAAATTTGTGAAGTGCAATATGTCAAAAATCTATGAGAACCTGTAAAAAGCTTTTCAAAGGATTCTTTTGCAACTTACTATCAATTCTCTCTAGATTGCCACCAGTGTCCCTTCCCATCACTTGAAATCTACCCCTCAACCTGCTGAATGGTCCATTTTTAGAATGGGTCTCAGAATCCCCTAATTTTTCATAGAAGTCTAAAACCTTTGTCCAAGCAGCCTCTGCTTGGCCCCCTGAAACTTAAAGCAAGATGTGGATGAGCCTAGGTTCCAACTGCCCCTTTGAATGAAAAGTATCAGAACTCACTCAAATTATTTGGGACATAATATTCCATCCTAATATTGTGACTTGGACCAAATGTGGCAGTTGATACTGCTGCCCAAATGGATAAACAGCATAATACAATGTGGATGAACTTGTTCAAATTGAGGACAATCATGATGGATGTTAGGTATTCTTGAGAAAATGTGCAAAGGAATTGATCTGGAAATGGTTAAAACAGGCTAATTTATAGGCACCAAGCGCATCAGAAACACACAAGCTTATGGGATGTTTTATACAAAGGTCATAGTTGAGTTGGCAATGATACCAGTGTTTTGTCAGATCTAATGTACTGATGGAAAAATCATTGGAGACAAGTCAATAAATTGTGTGTATTTGTCTATCATAGGATTGCCACATGTTTGAAAGATCTTGCTGAAACATCACATAAAAAAGTTGAGACCAGGCCTGGATGGCCAGAGAAGTATGCTTTTTGCGCTCTCTCTCCTTGATTGTCAATCCGATGATGGATCCTTGCCTTTTAGGTAATAGATCAGCTTTACAAAGATGATCTGGACATTGTTCACACCAAGAACCAACCCCCTGGTAAAACCAGTAAACCATATATTATGGATACTTTCACAAGATGGAGATGTTGTCTTGTGAATGCGCCCAGGTCCACAAGGTCAACAACAAGTTTGAGGTATGTGTTTTGCATTAACTGATCTATTAAATCAATGCATAAATATCTTCATCTGAACCATTTCCATTTATTGATCAAACTTCCCCTCAATCTCCATTCTATCATCCTATTGATTTCCCTCTCTTTATATCAACTGCATCAATCAATTCCTCAATCAATTTGCCATTTCCATTGATCTTTCATTAACTCAGCTGTTCCTCAAGATGACTAGCAATATTGAGGGCAATGAGGACCCCAGTATGATCCTATAAGGGGTAGTGATCTAGAATTGTGACTTTTGAGCTCCTGTGGGGATACAATACATGTGAGCCTACTAGTGTCTTTCAGGCTAGTAGAGTCAATAAAAAGTTTGTAGAAGGTCCAACAACTTCTATTGAAGTTGCATAGATCAACATCTACAGTTATGCATGGGTAGAGACATGGGCCTAAGAGCTTTACATGGAATAAACAAGTAAAGACTCCAGTTATTTGACCATTAAGCAAAGGCTTTAGCCCAAGGAGTTTTGTTTAATTACTGTCTTTACAATGATCAAAAATAAGAGCAACTAACATTCAGCTCTCAATCCTAATTTGATTCACTTCTTATTCAAAGAAAGGTCAAAGAAGGTGGTGTTAAAGTGTAATATAACACCAGGAACTTTACACTCTGACTAAAAGAGATTTCCCCATAGATTTGAAGTTTCTTATACCACATGAATCCCAACTCTGATATAAGCAGTACTCAAGGACTACTTCCTTACAAGTAATTTCACCAAATGGATATTACAAGAATTGTTGATTATGGAGTCTAATCAGAAACAAAGTTGAATGATAACAGAGAATAAGCAACAAGACACAAGGTTTGAGTTTCAAGGTTTTTAGAATCAGGCCTTTAAAGTTGGATAATTGATAATCAAAGTTTAAAGATTGTAGGAAGATGAACTAACTTAACTAAGTCCCATGTGCCTCCACATTTGAAGTTTGTGGCCGAGGCACAAGGGACTTATATCTAATGTGACTTTTCTTGGTGACAAGCACATCAGCCTTTTGGTGGGAGAATTGTATCCCATTGTAACTTTTTTTGTGTGATTACAAAATTGTCTGTTGTTCAACTATGTTGAATCCCAGCTTGTTCCACATCTCCTTCCTTGTGCGTCTTTTTCTTCATAATCACAAAAAAAAGTTTTCAATGAGCTCAAAAGAGTGTCTTTTGAAATTTCAGAACCCAACTGCCACTAAACTTGTTACACAAGTGTCTTTTTACAGTCAATTTGGCCTCCAAATTTCAGAAACTTGATTTTTCAGCTATTATGAAACGTTTGACTCAAATGGAAAGAGGAGAAGCCAATAAGATGGTTGACAGCGCAAGATGCTGAAGTTTAACATACCTTAATTTCAAGAAATTTCATAATCATACAAAAAAAGTTACAATGGGATACAATTCTCCCACCAAAAGGCTGATGTGCTTGTCACCAAGCAAAGTCACATTAGATATAAGTCCCTCGTGCCTTGGCCACAAACTTCAAATGTAGAGGCACATGGGACTTAGTTAAGTTAGGAATATGAATAAAAGCAAAGTTGTGAGTTGTTGAATGATAATGTGATAATGTGATTCTTCTCAATTTGGTTGGGTTTTCATGGTTTATGTATCAGTCTGAACCTTGAAAATCTTTGGACACAAGTGCGCACAAATTGTGGTCCTATGGTTAGGTTAATTACAGTAAGACTATTGGGTTATTATAAGTATATTTCACTTGTTACATATGTGTTACGACTGTGAAATATGTGTGGCTTTGGTTTGCATCAAAGTTACACCACAGGAACTAATTAGCTCAAAACCCAACTGAACCAAATTTTGGTGTCCGGGTTTGAAATTTCCTCAAATTCTGAAGTTCATTCACAACTTGCTTGAAATATCTTTGCCAATCTCCCTTGTGTGGTACTCTGTTGGCCCCACGTATGTATGTACGAATTCATCATACAACAACAACCCCAATTCCAACCATTCAACCATCTTTCCTTTGTCATGCATTGTCAGTCTTGATCCTCTGTACAATTGGTGATTCTGTGGTGACTAATGTTGCAAGGTGTTGTGGTTGTATGATGTAGCTGTACATACATGTAGCAAGCAGAGTACTGCTCAAGGGAAATTGGCAAACATATTGCAAACAAGTTGTGAACAAAATTCACAATTTGAGGAAACTTTGAACCCGGACACCAAAATTTGGTTCAATCAGGTTTTGAACTAATTGATTCCTATGGTGTTATGTATGTTCACACCCTTTGATGTAAGTTCTGCACATGTTACATATGCTAAATCATATGTAGCTTGGCTCTTGAAGCTGAGCCTTGAGTTGTAATTGCTATTTTTGGGGTTTTTATTACAGTATGTTCCCCATTGGTACTTTGGTTTAGTACTCAGGGCTGATAACACATGGGATTATACATTGCTTGTATGATTTCTGCCGGTTTCTGCCCATTTCAGAGTTGCTAATAGTTTTATACAGCTGATTGAAAAGATCAAACCTGTCTTAGAGCTATGGGTACAGCCAGGGACAAGTTTCCATGGCATCTCAAGGGTCAGATTTCTAGATCACTACCCTTTATAGGGGCATACTGGGGTTCTGGGAAATGGTCCTACTGGGTGCATGGTCATCTAAAAGTATGTGGAACTTTGAAATACTCTTGATAGAATAATCCAGCATCCATCATGATGTATCCCATGCTTGACAAGATGAGAGAGAAGACCAAAGAGTACCTCAACAAAGATCTATTGTGTCAGACTTGGTTCATGGCAACATATTGAATCTGTTCTTCTGGATTGAATTCTTCAAGAGGTAGTTTGGCAGTACTTCAAGCCTTACCATCAATGCCAAAGCCAATCTACAAATGCTCTATTGGAAATACAGGCAAGCTGCCTCTCTCAAGACACAAACTTTGTTCTGTACATCTCAAAACTCAGCCAATACCAAGGCTTCTTCCCCAAAGATTGAACTTGTGATCTTTGACCTGGGCAGTGGTGGAAAGGTGGATACTGAGTCTGAGACACCAACCTTGACAATTACTTATAACATGGGACATAAGATGAAACTTTATGAGTACAATATCATGGTTCCACATTCAACTTTACGATGGTGACAGGTAAGTAAAATTTCTATTGTCTCAATATACCCAACTCACCTGAGAAGCTGACATCTGGTCTATCGGTAGGTGAACAAAAAGAAATATAGAATTCTTGCCATTATGGCATGGGATTATCTGGCTTGGACTGTGTCCTCATGGGCTGCTGAAAGTATCTTTTCTTGTGCAAAAGACATATGCACATCTTGTCCAGGTAGTTTGCTCCCTTGAACCATTGAAGCCTTGCTTTGGATCTGGTTCAGGGAAGGCATGGACTTGGGTGAAAAATACACAGAATTGGTGGTTGCTTTTCAGAAGCTTGGTATTTGAATGAATTAAAATACCAGCTCATTGTTTTTTGCTCCAAAATCCCTGCTTTGTTTATTTCTTTTCTTTTTAATTCTATCTTTCTTCCTAGTCACTCAATACTCTTTTTTTATGTGATCTTTGTTTCTAATACTAATTTCTCTCACATATTTCTTTCTGATACTATGACACTTGTTGTTTTAGGCCGCTTTAAGTGTGTGACATTGCAGTAGCTTGTGTTGCATTGTGTGAGGGGTGTTACATCAAGGGCTTTCAAATTTGTTTTTTTATGTATTTATGTTTTGGAAACTTGTCCATTGTTGTGAAAGATGCATTTTTTGAAAAGTGGGACAACTAAAAAGGTGTGGCAGATTAAAAATACATTTGTTGTACAAAAAAATCATAAACATCTTGTCTGAATTTGTAAAAAAATATGCAAACCAAACTTGAAACCCCCATTAGGGGGTTTCAAGTTTGGATTTTTTTTGCATATTTTTTAAAAATTCAGGCAAGTTTTTTGAAAAAAAAATGTGCGTAAAACCAGCGTATTTTTAAATCGGGACACCTAAAAAGGTGTCCTGCTTTAAAATTTTACGCATATTTTACAACAACGGGCAAGTTGTTGTAGCGTAAAAATGTGTAAAAATATTCAACTTGAAACCCCCTATTACAAGGAATCCATACTTCACTTTGTTTGGAATGCTACGCTCCCTGAAAGTAACAACAGAGCAATTGAAATTTAGTTGCACACTATTAAAATAGCCTGCTGGCATTGCACAGCTCAAAATAGCTGACCCAGGGTTGACTGTAGAATGATTCAATAAGGGGTGTCAAGTTTGAATTTTTACAACAAAAAAACTATGAGAAGGGAAAATTTTTATGTTTTAACTGTAGAAAAACTTTCCCGAGTGTTTATCATCACTTGGAAACCACAATCAAGGCTTTTTTACTTTTTCGCCTTGATCTTCCACACGGTAATGAGACAACTGCTGGTAAGAGGATGCAAGGTTGTCTTTGCATCCACTATCAAGCACGCCTCTTTCCAAGAGTGAAAAGGTCAAATTTAAGTCTTCAAAGCTATGTTGTAAACTTATCTGTTTACGTTTATGCCAGAACGGGATAGATAAAACTTTCCCGTTTTCGTAAATTTTGCGTAAATTTATGCTGGGACGGGAAAGTTTTTTACAGTTTTTACCGTAAAAAAATTGAACTTGACACCCCCTAATGTCATTTTCTCTTCCTACAACAAAATCAAACCCAAAATGCAGAGATAAAGATAGCAAATAACAAAATCATAGTTATACATATCAAACACCTACTTCTTTTCCCTCATAGAAGAGGAACTTGAAATCATTCCAAGCATCTCAAAAAAATTCACTACTGACCTATCTAAAAAAGGCTTTCCTCTGGTCCATTCTTGGAATTTGTCCTACGCGCTCAAGTAGCATTCTCAACAGTATTAATTCCATTTGCCAACATTTCTTCCTAAAAATTGTATTTACATTACACACATGAATTAGTGAAGGAAGCTTGACCATACGTGAAATGACCACAATAGAACTTACTTTAGTCATAAACCGACCTTTAGCTCCTCTAGGACGGCTTATTGCATGTTTATGACGAGATTCATGAAGATAAGGCTAATGAAAACATTAATGTACAGAGTCAGATATACTAGAAAAGAATGCCTTGGCAATCAGATCACAAAAGAAACGATCGAACCTTTCTTTCTCTTGATAACCTTCCTAATTCTTCTAATCTGGCTCTAGCAGCTCGTCTTTGGATGATCCGATCATATTGTTTAGCATTCACCAAGACAGGTTGATCAAATTCATTGAAGCTTTTGATTGCTCTACCGGCCACACCAGGTTTATCTTTTGGAATATCAAGAAACTCATCATCATTTGAATCATCAATGATCTCTTCTTCTTTTTCGGATGGTAAATTCATCATGGCTAATCTAACTGCTTCTTTATGTTGTTGATCATCATCTGATGAAATCATATCTACCTGGGTGGGTTGATCGTCTTCGTCTTGGATTTCATCTTCAGCTAAAAATATATCATCAAAACACAACCGGTTCTTGTCTTCTTCTTCAAATTCCGAATGATCAGTTTGAAATTCTCTCTCAACACCTTCGAATCCTTCTTGGAGTATATCTTGAAGATGTGATTCTTCCTGATTTTGATCTCGATCATCTCTTTGATTCTCGGGATTTATGTGAAAATCAGTTTGATTTAAATTTGAAGAATTTGCGGTACACGTCCTGAGATTCGAATTTGGATTGGTTTTTGAAATCGAAATCGGATTGAAATTTAAATCTTGATTAGAATAATTCAATAAACTTTGGTCGATCTGATATGACGATGATGATGATGAGGAAGTAGGTTGTTGGAATGTTAATAAAAATCTTGAAAAATCATTTTGTGGAACGATTTCATTATCTTTTTCTGTTCGAATTGAAAATGCTGAATTTGAGTTTTCCAAGTCAAGTTCATGGTAATCGGGTCCAAGCTAGGTTCGTTTTTAAGGAGAATTCAAAGTCGATTGATTTATCTAACATTAGTTTTCTTTTCTGGGTTTTGATGTTTCTGTTTTGTTGACGATTACCTGATCAATCAAAGCTTGAAGTGAATGAGCTGGATCGATTGAAATTTCTGGTTTATCTTTTCCTTGATGTTCTCGTTCCATTAGGGCGGTTCAAGACAGATTTTGCGAACAGCTCGCCGGATATTGGCAAACCTAAATTTTAGGGGTGTGACACCCTTAAAATTTGCGTTCGCAGAGTGACAGCGTCTGTAAATTTAGGATTTATGACCTTCTCTTTTCAGGTCCAACGTCCGGAAAATTCAGTTAACTCCTCTTTCGTTGTATCAAACGGTCTTTTTTTACAACATGAATGACTTTTTTTTCATATCTCCTGACCTCTTCATCTACCCTCCAACCGGTTATCTCGACCCCTGCTTCCAAACGATCATCCAGTTCACATCTTCAACACCAATCCACTTTTTCACCTCAATCATGCCTCGGGTATCTGACCGAGCAGCTGCGATACGAGATCTCACCATGTTATGCATGTTTGCTCATATGAATGCGGCTACCAACGATCCGGGCGATGGACACCACCCACTTGACCCTAGCGATGGACGAATTGCCTACCCAGAAGATGCATTGATGGCGACATTATTTGATGAACTGTTTGACGAGGAAGAGATGTGGGGAGACATGCTAACCACGGTCATCTCGAACCGATACCTGGAGCCTCGAATGCGTGTCCGACCAGCTAATACTTTCGATCTCCGTGATATGTTGCATTCTCGACGAACCGACTTTCGTCAAGCTATGAGAACAACTCCAGAGGGTTTCGGAGCTCTTTTAGGCATGATTCACTTACATCCAATTTTTGTGTCGAACACCAACAATCCGCAACCTCCAGTGGAACAACAACTTGCCATTACACTCGAGCGCCTCGGCAGCAACGGCAATGGAGCTTCAGTTGGTCGTTTTGCAAGGAACTACAAAGTCGCTCGCGGTTCTGTAGTCAACTGCACTTGGCGCGTAATCGCGGCTATCTTACAAGCGGGGTCTCACTACGTCACGTGGCCAAACTCAGACAGACGCAAGGCCATTTCTAAGGTGCTGGAGCGGGATGGTTTCCCTGGCTGTGTGGGGTTTGTTGACGGAACTACGATTCCCCTCTTCCAGCGACCAGGACGTGATGGTGAAGTCTTTTTCGACAGAAAGCACCGCTATTCGATCAACATACAGATCATCTGTGACTGTGATCGCCGAATTACTTATGCTTATGGTGGATGGCCTGGTTCATGCTGTGACAGCACGGCTTATTCAAAAACCGATGTTGCTAACGCTCAAAACAAATATTTTGATAAAGGTATGTCTTGTTTTCCTTTCATCTTGTTTTCCTTTCACCACCCGTGTGATTCAAAGACTGTACTGACATGTTTCTGGTCAGGCGAATACATAATCGCGGATTCTGCATACATACCTTCTGACTCTGTGGTTCCCTCATACAAAGGCCAGGCAGGTGACGTTCAGCGCAACAGAGAGTTCAACTGGTGTGTGGCGAAGGCTCGTGTGCGCAATGAACATTGCATTGGGATTCTGAAATCGAGATGGGCGTCACTTCAGGGATTACGATTGGCATGAAATGAGAAAGAAGATATGTATCATATTCTACGATGGGTTCGAGTTTGCATCATTCTTCATAATATGCTGGCCCAACTCGGAAACACATGGGAGGACGAGGAACAAGAACTGATCATTGCTGAGCGAGGCGAGGCTGGTCAAGATAGATTTCATGAGTTAGAGTGTAATATTGCTATGGTTGAAAGAGGAAGAGCTCGACGTGAGGCTGTGCGAGACTACGCGGTTGCGTACAACTGGGAAAACGGTGGTCTTCCAATTGTGTAATCTTAATCTTTCTTTTCAGTATCTCGAAATAGTCTTAATCTTTCTTTTCAGTATCTCGAAATAGTCTTAATCTTTCTTTTCAGTATCTCGAAATAGTCTTAATCTTTCTGTTCAGTATCTCGAAGTAGAGTCTTCAGTACTCTTTGATTGTTCAGTACCTCGAAGTAGAGTCTTCAGGACTCTTTGATTGTAACTTGGCCCTTTTGATTTGATTGATGTCTGTCGATTTTGGCTAGCTTGATTAAAGGTGTCGCATAAATCGATGTGGTTATTTTGTTCTTGTCATGTATTTCTGCAATCAAACATGGCCTTTCTGTACTCAAGTGTATTCTTGGATAGCGCATTTTATAGCAGAGTAAAGTGAGGAGTTGACACTCGACTTCATTTCAAAATGATATCGTTTAGTAGTTTGTGAGCTTTTAAAAAGTTTAATGTGACTTTTCTTTTTGACATCACTTTTTGGTTTTGATGAAACTTTTCTTTTTCAACTTTTGAGAACATTGAGCTTTTAAAAAGTTCAATGTGACTTTTCTTTTTAACATCACTTTTCTGTTTTGATGAAACTTTTCTTTTTCAACTTTTGAGAACATTTGGAACTGGATTTCATTTCAAAAACTTATTGATAACATTTCATTTCTAAATCTAAATCACATAACAAGAGGAGAAAATTTCTCAAAATTTGAAATTCGAGAACCAAATACATTCACATAACAAAAAGAGAAAAGTTATCTCTCCCAAATTCAATTGAGAGTACAAATACTTCAGTTCGGTCTTGATACAGACAGAGGTCACAGGCCCGAGGGGAAACAAACAGATGTCATAGTCACGCTGAGGTGCTCGCGCTATCACATCAAGAACAAGGAGCAAAGATAAGCACCCAATCTAAAACTTTGGCCACTAGATGAGAGATTGCTTACATGGGCCCCACCTCGGGGTATACCAGGCGAAGATAGGCCTCAAGTTCTTGAGGAGTCTTGCCCTCAAGTACCAGCTTTTCGCAAAAGGCTTTGCGCTCGTTGCGGGTAATGATAGCCATGCGATTGCGTTCCTCTTCGCGTGCGAGAGCCATTCGATTACGTTCTTCCTCTCTTTCCAAGTAAAACTTCTCCTTGGCCCAACTGAGATCGGACTGTCGAGCTTCAGCCTCGGCCAGTTGTTTGGCGGCCTCAAATTCTTGGCGCCACTCGTTGGCAGACCGTAACATGTCAATCTTGGCCGCATTGCCAACTTGCATTGCTGTGGCCACAGGGTGTTTATAGTCTTTACCTCGTACAGTTGACGGGTCAATCGAAGGCAGGGGATCGAGAGCGCGTCGAGCCAGAGTGGGACGTGCTGAACCACGACGTTGAGTTGCAGTGGTCATGGGTGCTGCGTTACCAGGGGTGTTCTCGTCTCCTGATGAGGAATCCATCACACGCTCTTCCGCGGTCAAGGTGTCTTTCTTCGAATATTTACGTTTGCTGACCTTGCACGCAGGCGGTTTTGGGGGAGCCGCCGTCTCAGTCGAATCTATGTTTGCAGCTCTCTTCAATGACTTGCTTGCCGACTGAGTGCATTTCGGGGTTGGTGGTGGTGAATCAACGTCGTTCTCAATGAAATTGCGATAGTGAGCATTTAGGTCATCTTCCGGGGTCGGGATTGGGTGATCTTGAGCCATTTGGGACTCGAATAGGTCTTGATACGCTTCCAACTCTTCAGCATCAGGGCTTGAGAAACGATTGGGGGCATTTGGCGGTGGTAGACTATCTTTAGGGCGCGGAGTGATGACTTCGGAGGCATTCACATGGATTAGTTGGAGCAGTTATGATTTCTTCTTAGATGAGCAATGAACGTACAAGTGGTTTTGTTACCACGGGTGTTGTCTAGTACCATCGAGTGATCATGCCCATTGGTTGTACTTCCTCCGTCGCTATTGGCGTCAGGCAAGTGGTTAACATCGTTGGAGTTGGTGTTTCTGACTCCAATGTTGACTTCATTGTCGTCGTCGTCATCGGCGAAAAGCGCAACTGGGTCGATTCCAGTGTCGAGAATCCCAAAAGGGTTGACATTACCCTTGTCTCGAAACAAAGCGTCCATCTCGCTAAAACATGGGCACATGGACTCCAAAAGCTGGTCCATTGTGCAAATCCCGTCTGCCACGTTTTTGGCAGACAAACCACTACCCGTATTCTTACTGAAAGCCTTGGTACTATGATATTTCGACTTATAGCGTTTCAAACGTTGCTGTAAAACTCTTCCGTTCAGACGCATGTCGGTAGAGTTGTGTCTTATGTGGTAGTTGTTGTTCAACTTGATCGCGAGTGAGTTCAAAATGGTGGAGCCTATGCAGCGACCCGGACCTTACCCGGGAATTTGAAAACGGCCCGGGACCCAAATAATTTTTGGCCGGGTCGACCCGGTCCGGTAGCCCCAATTTTTCCAAAATCAGAAAAATTGGGGAAATACAGAAGAACCAAAAAAAAACAGTCATCCCCGCTCTCCCAGGACAACTGCACCGTTCATCAGAGGCAAGGATCGACAATGCCTGCTCTTACTAAGCAGCCAAAACGCCCTCGGCGCTCATCGCCTACCATATCAGCCATTGTACTGGACTCAGATAACGAATCGACTGCTCCACACTCCCAGCGCACGAAATCAACGGATTTAAGCACGTCATCCGTCAAAGTTACGAAGAACCAAACCTCGTGGGTTTGGAAGTATTTCAAGACCCAAACAGTACGTGGGACGGCCAAGTATATCTGTCAAGCTGCAAAACCCGCTGGAACCAATCAAATCTGTGGAGCTGCTATGACTCCTGATCAAACTCAGAGCACCAAGTCATTAGCTCGACATCTTCAGCGTCAACACAAGATTACACCGGATTCCGAGCCTCAACAAGGGGTGATCAAGTCTTATTTCCAAACTGGCAAAATGGAATCGGTAAGTCGAAGCGTTTTCGTTTTTGACAAAAGTCATCGTTTTCAATTCTTCTTTCATTCTTCATCTTTTTTTGAATCTTTTTCCCTTTTTTCCTTGTTTCATTCTTTTCATGTTCGATTCTTTTCATCCTTTCTCAATAATCAGATTCCAAAACTTTCTCGCGATTGTCTTAAATTTCAACTCGTCAAGCTCATTGTTAACGCTGAGATGCCAACTACGATTATTGATCGCCCCGAGTTCAAAGAACTTCTTAAGCTTTGTAATCGAGAAATCACGCCCCTCCTTGTTGGTTCTGATTGCGTGATGGAGGCTGTCAAGACTCAGTTCCGTGTCTGTCGTACTCTTCTCAAGGAAGTATTGGATAATACTCTAGCTGTCAACATCACGTGTGATGAATGGTCTTCACCCAACGATCTTCCCATCCTAGGAATCACGGCTCACTGGATCGATGATCAATACGAGATGCGAGAAGTCATTCTAGCTATGCAAGAGATAGATGGACCAAAGACGGGAGCCAACCTTGCAGTTTACTTCATGGATTGTCTCAAGAAATTCAACATTGATCAGAAGATTTATTGCATTACTGCTGATAATGCATCAACAAACGGAGCTATGGCACGGGAAGTCGCAGGTGAGATCAAATCTTTTCAAAAGGATCAAAACCTACTAGGATGTGTAGCGCATGTAATCAACTTAGTTGCTCGGGCTGGTTTGGCGGTTTTTTCCAAAAAACTTGGCGAGGCTTCTTCAGTCAACCTAGCTGATATTCTTGAAGATGATACGTTTGATCAAATCAATACTCCTGGAGCTCTAACTCGTATCATGGCCTTCATCACAGCTGTGATGAAAACTCCTAGCCGTAGGAAATCGTTCGAAAATCTTGTGGAATCTGAACTCGGACGCCGTCTTGGACTTATATGAAACGTCGAAACCCAATGGAACTCAGATCTCAATGCTCTCAAAAGAGCACTCGAACTCAAAGATGTGATTGATCTTAAATGTTCAAGGGACTCATCAATGAGCAAGTTTTCTCTCACCCCTGCTGAGTGGGATATCATCGCCTGCCTCGTTCAATTTCTTGACCCCTTCGAAAAAGCAACCAATATGCTTTCTCAGTCGACTTATACGAGTATCGATGCGGTCTTACCAGTTTATGAGTGGCTTGAAAATCAACTTGACAAGGTAAAGCACTTTCTTTTTTTATTCGACTCTACTTTCTTTTTGCTAATCTTGTGTCTTTTGACAAGGCTTTGACTTCATTTGAAAACCATACCATTTGACTCGCCATTGCTCCAATGAAGACAAAACTGTCCACCTATTTCAATGAAGCAATTTCGAAGCCAGTCTATATCTGTGCCCACCTACTCGACCCTCGAAGCAAGGATAAAGAGCTTTCTCCAGACACTTTTCAAAAAGCTGGTGTTTACAATCAATCAGATTTGCAAGACCTCTTCTTAAAAGAGGCTCACCGATTTAGTTTCCTTTTAGACGATGATGATACATCTGAGCCAATCATTCAGATGGTTGAAGACGGACCTCGATCGTTCATACCAGCCCCCAAAAAACGCTCATTGGCCGATGAACTTGTATCTTATCTAGCTGAACCTCGAGAGCCCGGATCTCGTAATCCGTTGGATTATTGGTGCCGTAGTGAAGGAGCTTATCCTTCTCTTGCAAAATTAGCCCGAATATTTCTTTCAGTCCCAGCAAGTAGTACTCCTTCGGAACGGGCCTTTTCACTTGGTGGCCGCGTTTTAAGTAAACATCGCCATAGTCTCAAACCAGACACTTTTGAAGCTCTTGTATGCCTCAAGACTTGGAACAAGGTATTATCAATGGTTGCTTTATTCATTTCTTTTTTACAAAGTTTCATATTTTTTATTTAAACTGCCAAGTTTTAACAAAATATACAAGTATGGTAGTATTTTAAACTTAAAAAACACGTATTTTGAAATAAAAAAAAAGTTTCTGCTTCTTAGTCAACTTTTGAGAGCCCAATGTCCCAAACTTCCCCTGTGCCAACATTCTCCGGGTCGGACCGGGTAGATCTAGTTTTACCCTTGCCCCTGGCCGGGATTGGTCTGACCCGGTCCCGATCCCGGGATCGACCCGATTTTTTCGGGCCGGGTCGCTGCATTAGGTGGAGGGATTCATTGGCATGCCAGAGACTCTGGTCTGGCTCCCGCCCCCAAAGATAGAGTTGCAAATGTTGGGTTTACTGAGGTATGCGACAATCGTTTGGTAATCGACAATGTCCAAAGGAGGGCTGTCCCGGTTCGGTTTGGCGGGCGCAGTCATGGAGACACTGCTAGCACGTTTCTGAGCAGCGACTCGAGACCTTTTGATTGCCGCAGGAGTAGCTCGAGAGGTGGAGGATATTCCGGATGCAAGCAGGTCTTCTTTGATTTGAGCGCGAGTGCGACGATTTCTCTAGAGGAACAGAGATTTTGCAAGGTCAGCAACTATCCGTTTCAGTAGACATGGTTGAATAAAAACACAGACCTTGGATGGCGCGGTGGGAGTTGGTGACATGATTTTCAAAGATCACGGAAGGTTGTTCAAGCGAAAACAAGGGTGACGAGGAAAGGGAAGAGTGGAAATTGAAGATGGAGATAAGGAAATCGAAAAATTGTGATGATGGGACACGTATCGAAAGGAGATCGAAGGACCTACCTATGCCGTCTTTGAAAGGCTACCTCCAGTGATCCAAGAAACAGGGCAAATCCAAACCGAACGTTGGGCGGCGAATGCTGAGCTGGCGTGCTCTCGAGAGGGGTGGTGAAAGGGCAAAAGGCCAGGATCCAGCCTGATCCGTGAGGTCGGATTTGGGGTACGAGGCAAAACCGGATAACACCCCACCTCTCAAACCCAAAGAATCGAACAAAACCTTTCAAGAGAGGCGTTTATTAAGGTACACACACTGAAAAAAAAAGAAACCAAAAAAAAAACCAAAAAAAACTGCCACTGTGTACCTTTTTTTTTATAACGAAAAGCTCTAAAATTATAAAGGCTAAATAGGAGATCGCAAGTGCGTGAACCAGCTCTAGAGCTGGTTCACGAAAATTAAAATAATACTTATAATTTTAAGGCACCAAGCAACTCGTAAAACTCTAAGACAGGCTGTAAACGGTCTACTTGAACCGCCCTATTGTGAACTGGTTTGCAATTAGCGATAGTCGTTGAAGAGTCTTCTATAAATCGCTCGTTACTGATAATTTTTGCAAAAACGATGCCGAAGAAAGATGTTATACTCAACAGTTTACATAGCAAGAAACCCTTTGCCCATTTCGGACAGTTTCGTTCGTCTTGTCAACATAGCACGATGTCATGACTCATGAGGGTTTCTTGCAAACCCAACCGATCAAAAGTTAAAACTACCACTGCCGATCCTCTCAAAACCGCATCCAACCTCACAACTGAAGAGATGAAGGCAATTCGGAGTCAATTGACCGAAATAACGATGAGCGTGAATTGAGAACGAAGGCTGAAGAACGCCGTGCGGCTCAGATGCAGCTGATGCAGGTTTTACGATCAGATCCCTTGACTAAAACCAAGACGCCACCTCTCCAATCCCATCCTGAGACTTCGACCGTGCCTAAAGGGCCTAAAGTCTTGACCCCAGATATGTACATTCAACGGGACTGGAGGGACATCTGAAGTTTTGGCGAGCCAAACCCAACTCTACTTGATGGCTCATCCGTATCTGTTCCCTACCGATTGGACTAAGGTGATCTTTGCTCCGTCTTACCTCACCGACCCTGCGACCAGCTAGGCTCAGCCAATGCCAAAAGGATCATTCAATGAATCAACTGCCTATTTAGTCACGTTTGACCGCTTTGTATAGTGGGAACTATCAAGAGCCACTTGATCGGATAATTGAAAACTGTTTTTGCACATATAAAAAGCTCAAAGGTTATTCAAAAGGACTGATAGAAAAATGTCTGACAAGAAGAACCTCAATTTTGGACAAGATCAATGTTTGAATAATGAGGGGTAATCAAAGAGGTAATCTTGTCAGGGATGTGGAATGTGGGGTGCATATAATCAAAGTCCAGAAAGACAGAACATCTTCGGGCCTTCTGGCTTTTTGGAGAATTGCTCTGGAAAATTTGTGAGAAATTTCTGGAACAGCTTTGTATAGTATAATTACTACTTCAGCAGCTAATCCCAATGCCATGGACTTATCAGCTGGATAAACTAGATTATCTGACACTGTACATGCAAATAGATTAATGACTGATTCATTTTTCAAGTGAGGTGTGCAAGGACACAGATGAAATGAGTACCCTGACAAGAAAGTGAACAAATCATTTGAAAGAAATTATCATTATAAAAACAAGATTGCAGAATTAGAGGTCAAATTGACAGCCATGATTGGTAAAGGGAATAAATCAAGTGATAAAGGAGAGGTTAGTAATATAGCTGATATATCAAAGCATGGAGGCACTCAGGACTGAAGGTTGTGCCTATCCTGAGCAAAAGGAGAAGTGGGATTTATTGGAATTAGGTTCTAGTGAATGTGTAATATGCAATAAAAAATCCCAGGTTATTTCTTGAAACTACACTATCCACACCTCACTCTCCCTGTGGCACAACCATTGAGATCCCACATGCCCTGTTCCTCATTGATTCTGGAGCCACCCACAATGCAATAGCAGCCTTGTTTGTGCTGAAGTGAAACAAAGGTGATAGAGTGCTTGTCTAATGTTCTGTATGTGTTTACATTCAATCAAACAAGACATCAAAATATTGAATGAAAATTCTGCATGGATTGCCACCATTGTTTGTATTTTCCTAATCTGTTTCTTGCCTATAAATTAGCTGCCCCTTTCACCCGTTCCCTGGCCAATTTAGTTGCATAATCTTTCCAGAACACCAAGCACCCATCATGGATGTGTTCAAGTTGGAGAGATACATTTTCTTTGCATTATGTGTCTTCTTTCTTTTGGCCTCATTATCAAATGCCACATTTATTGAAAGCAAAGATATCACCAAGTGGTCTACCCTTTCAGATGAAGGTGAGTTACCATTGGTTTTTTTCCAGAATAAATGGCAGTTGGTTCAGAGTCTCATCAACATCTTTTTGTTGTACAAAGAAACAAATTATGCCTGGGAAGAAGTCCTGGAGTTCTATCAATGCCTAGGGAACCCTCACATCCCCAGCAATAGATCCCCATTTCGCCACTTGAACAAGAGTTTTAAAGTGATGCGCAGACTTTCTAGCGGAGGTTTGGAGTTCATTCATCGTAAGAAGCAAAGAAAAATTCCCTTTGAACACAAAAATCTTGACTCATTCACAGGTTCTGACTGAATTTTTCCATACCTTTGACTCCAATATTTTGTTATCAATTTGGTATATTCAGGCAAACTTTCACCTTTCCGAGAGGTGATGAATGACCTAGATCAAGAGATTATACATGGTATGGAAATCTATTCAGTGTAGTCATACATTCAGCCAGCCTTTTCAAAGACAATGCTGTTCAAGCTTGAAAACATAAGAACTGACATAAATTTCCAACAAATGGTTAGCTGATTTTGTCCCTGGTCCCTGGCCTGGCACATTGAAGATAGGGGTAAAGGGGAAAGTTCAGGATCAAGTCATGTACGGGAAGACTGCAGGTTCAAGTCATCAGGCAGTGTTTATATTGGACAATTACCATAATGCTCCCAAAATCCATCAAATCACAATGATTCATGAATTGACACAACTTGAATGTGAGACTGGGGAATTCTGGGGTTATTTGGAATGATCATCTTTCATTTCATGCAATAACATTCAATCACAATGGAAAGTCAAAAATCAGCATATACTGTTTGCATAATCGTCTGAAGTATTCTTCTGGACATAATTACATAGCTTATTCAGTTCCTTACTTTTAGTCTTGTAATGATGTTTATCATGTATTGACACCCTCCTATGTTTGAACAAAGCATACCACATAGTGTGGTTGATTTTTAGGTTCTTGCTCCCATTTAAACTTTACATTCCTACACAAGTTTTACACAAGCCAGATATCATGGCTGAGGCAGGCAATGGTCAGAACAGAGTTAAACAATCATGTTCTGTTGATAATTAATTAAGCAGGCTTAAACTCTTACTAAAAGAGCTCACTTTTTGTTTAAAATTTGGATAAACTCATGTTTTTCTAAACCTTGTCAACCAAAGAACTTTCACCAAAGCAATTTAATCAAAAACCTAAACAGTGATAGCTTTGGAATTCATATTAGGACTCCCTAGACTATTTCCTAGAGTTTCTCAAATCTTTCAATCAAAGAAGTATATTACATACATACAGCAGCTCTAAAAAATGTGTGTCAAAAGTTTTTTTAAACTAGAGGCCCAAGCTTGGTGGTGGAGTGTCTTCAATTGGAAGTGGTGCCAAAGTAGAAAACAAAATTGAGTATGTAAGGTGTGGGAAATTATTCTACCCCAAGCAGTATTCAAAGCCCAAGATTCTGAGTGGGCTCAGCATGATTTGGGTGACCCTTAACTGACCAACTGATTCACCACTGGATTCCTCTTTCTCCAACAACAGAATCTCCCTCATCATGGCTTACCAAAAGTACTACACATCAATCACCATCCAATTGCTCTTCAAAGGACAATCAGATCAAGGCCATCTTCAAAGCTCTCATTTCTTTTGCTGACTCTGGCTATGCATTGGAAGCACTGTTGATTGAATTGGCCCAAAGCTTGGGCCCCTACACCATAGGGGGAGTCTGGGCCCAAAGATGGTTAAAGAGGTTCCAGAATGGTCAGGTCATAAAGTTGCATGGTATCAGCCTGAAATCAGCCTGTACAAAGGTCCTAAGATGGTCTGTGAAAAACATCTGCAAACCACCTGTTCCTTACCCCAAAAATATCTGTGGAAGTCCTACAGGGGGTGATCAAGGAGGACTTACTTTCCCCAAGACCATCTCTGGATCACCTGCAGATGGTCTTCAAAGAAAAAACTGCACTTTGCCTGTTTCCCAGACCAGAACCATCTGCAGGAGTTCTTCTGGAATTCATGCATTGATTCAAAATATCCAGCAAAGAAAAGACCACATCACCCTTGAGAACTCAATATAAGACTAAAGTATCAATATAAGCTTCACATTAGGTGCCTGATTTCTTGAGGACACTTGTACATTTCTCAACATAAACTTGGGTTCCATATTCTTTCCTTCCAGGTTTCAACACTTTCATTGATCCTTTCTTACCTTCTGTATCTTTTCTCAATCACTCTGAGACACAAGAATCTCAACAACTGGTTAGACCAAAGTTTTACACTAATCAATATCAAGATCAACTCCAATCCCTCAACATCTTTACCTACAATTGAAAGATCCAAGGTATTCTTGGATTCTAAACCTCAGAGAGAAGTTTCCCAAAGTCTTGATCCAAGTTAATTCCCAGTACAGAAGAATACCCCAGCTAAAAACCTCAAACAAGGTCTGTTGTTCCAAGAAATAATTGAATAGTTTAGAGTGGTACTTGCAGTAGCATAAACATTTTGAATATTAGAAGTTTATTATGGTTAAGATGGGATGTAAGAAGAGGAAGATTTGTGCAAGTTCTGTGCAAGATATGAATAGACCTTGCACAGATCTTGCATGTTGGTCTTGCACAGTTTTTGGACCAGTTGGAACACAATAACAGGGGTTGTCAAACCATTCAATGTGCAAGATGGCTGCAAGAAATCTTTCACAGATCTTGCACATTAGTCTTGTACAGGTTTGAGGACCATGAACCTTTGACAAGTTTACCAAATGTTTTCCCACAATACAGCTTCATGTCTTTTTACATATCACAATGAGAAACACTACAAAAAATGTTTTTTTCAGGCAAAATATGATTGAGTTTACTGCACAAAATGATTAATCCATAGTGCAGAATTAATGCAGAAAAATGCAGAATTAATGCAGACTGGGTGCATTTTTAATCATCTTGTAAAATGAATATAATCATTTTTCACCTTGGAAAAATACATCATATTCACAGTGAAAACTTCTCACCATAATGTAAAAGTCACAAACGCAGATCAGTGCAAATTTTTTACCCAAGGCGGAAGTATTTACATCAAAAGATTCCATAAAAACTTCCTTCTTTCCCAACAATAATCTCAGCATCATCAGTAAAACAACAACAACAACAACAACCATCATCATCAAAACAACCATCACCAAAAAAAGAAGAGAACAATAACAACAATCAGCAAAAGAAACCAACTTCTTCAAAACAACATATATGCATCATCATCACTCAAACATAGAAAAAAACCAATAACACAAGATGAATCTATTTACAATCAAAACCTTATCTCCGGACAGACACACTGCACACAAACACACCATCAAACTTCTCATTGTATTCAAATAATGGAAGAAAGAAAGTGAAATTGAAAAAAAAGTATATCAAATAATAAAAGCACAATTGAGAAGATAACAAAGTGGGAAAGGCAGAAAGACACGCAGAGAGAGAGAGAATATGTATAAAAGAAATTGGAAAAATGGAAACGATCAATCAAATTGAAAAGAATCGATAGATTAATATCACCAAGTCAAAAAAAACGATATTTGAGACAAACCTCAGTAAGAAGTCATCATGATGAAAAAAAATGAAAGACGAAAAAGAAAAAAAGAAAAATTCAAAGAGCAAAGAGAAAAAGAAGTTTTTTTTTTCGACGGACGAAAGGTTTAATTCATCACTTCATTAAAGATCAATTGTTTTAATTGTTCTCTAGTTAATTGTTCTTTACCATTATCAAAATGAAAGAAAGAAGGATCGAGTGGAGGCGAATCAGGTTCATCATCTGGATCATGATAAGCCGCTAGATAAGGATGTTTTAATGCTTCTTCACATGTGATTCGTTTCTTGGGATTAAATGTTAAACATTTCTCTAAAAGATCGACGGCTAGATTCGATGCATTCGGATAAAGTTGAGAGAATGGTTTCTTTTTCTTAAATGGTAAAGCTCGGATATAATCTCTCGATCGATGCGAGCTGATCGCACTGTTCAAACCCAAGGAACAGTTAACATGCATTGATCGTTATAGACGTCTTGATGATTGTCTACATAAGCGGAACTTACTAGAAATCATCTAGTGAGGGTGTTCCTAAGACATCCAAGATCAACGTAAGTTGATGATGATAATCACGTCCTGGGAAAAGTGGTTTGCCATTCAACATTTCCGCCAAGATACAGCCCACACTCCAAACATCAATAGCTTTGGTGTATTCCTTGAAGCTGTTATACATCAATAACTTCAGTTTACCATCTTCAAGAAAACCTCCTCCTGATAAAGATCGTTCGAATCCAAGATACTCACGTTAACATGATCTCTGGAGCTCGATACCAACGAGTAGCTACATATTCTGTCATGAAACCGGTAGCCTCCTGTTCACCCATGAAAGCTGATCTAGCCAATCCAAAATCACAGATCTGATGAATCAAAACAAACCAGATCAGATCAGATTCCGTATTTTCGCGATCTTCACTCATGCTCACCTTGAGATCACAGTTTGAGTTAAGGAGTAAATTCGAAGGCTTCAAGTCCCGGTGTAGTACGCTGATCGTAATGGAATAAGGATGGTAAGATTACGCGATTAGAAAGAGCTTTGAGTCGTCTTGGAAGAGGTCAGGGTGAAGACACATACGCAGCTGAATGGAGTGCCTTGAGACCTCGTAAGGTTTGATAAATAAAGTACTGAGAATGATCATCAGAAAGATCTTGGGTTCTACGACGATCGATCGATGAAGAAGAAAAACATAAGTTAAGATTGGAAGGTCAAAACGAACAAAATCAGGTGTGGGTTTGTAAGATCACATACCGAATCACTCGATGCATATCAGTTTCCATTAATTCTTGAATCAAATAAACTTCTGAAAACTCTTCAATCGATGGAGGTTTCACGATATCTAAAATACTTATAATATTTTCATGTGAGAACCATCTTAAGAGTTTAATCTCTCTCAACGTTCTCAAACAAAACACTATCAAATCGATCGAAATCAGGTTCAGTAGGATACATAGGGAAGTAAGAGGTAGGAAGAGAGACAAACTTGAGTGATCGAAGGGTGTGATCTTCTTGATCGCAACCTTTTGTTTCGAAGGTTCATGAACCGCAGAGCTTGGAGCGAAAAGTGATAAGGATTCGATCAGTTTTAATAACCCTTCAAGAACATAAGAATCAAAAGACTCACCATACTACACCGTAAGCACCTTCGCCTACTACATCCAAAACAGTGTAATCGGTTCCCACATTGAACTAAATAGAACATAGAATAGCAATAGAATGATGATCAGAATTGAAGACAGAGTGGTAAGCGATCATGAATTAGTCTTGATTACATTACGATCCATGTTGAGCTGAAACTATTCAACTGTCTTCAAAGGTTAGCTGACTGAAAGAACTTTAAGCAAGTTGACTGTGAGTATTGAGATGTGATGATGAGAAGGATTGTGGTGGACGTGGTGTAAGTTGGTGTGAGGCTATGAGGGGTGTAGGAATCGATTGGTGAATGTATATTTACTTAATGCAGTTTTGTAGTTTATAATTGACTTAAAATGGTAAAAATACTTTAACCAAAAGCAAAATGGGAAAGAAAAAAAAACAATTTAACGCTACAACAATATGACGAAGTTTGAACTTTTTGGTGATGAGAAAGAATTTACATATTACTTTCTACATCATTCACATCATCTTCTCACCTTCTTACAATTCGACATCGACTGCGATAAATACATCAAAAGCAGTCAAGAAGGAAATGGGTTTTGAATCATGTATTCACTGGTCATCTGATCAAACAGGATCAAGCCCAGGAGGTGATGATCGGAAGGTATGATCATCGATCAGAATGGATGAACCTTCAACCCACAAGGATCAATGACTATCAGGAAGAAGCAGACATGCAGTGGATATGATATGTATGGATCAAACTCGGACGAATCACGTCCCCGTTACGAGCCAGTGTTAAACCTTTGAAATTCAAAGAGTAATCCATATAACGGACCAAGTCAAACACAAACTATTGAAGATGATGTCCAAAAAAATTGAAGGACCAATGAGCTATAGAATCGCAAAGGAGGGGAACCAATACTCTAGAGACTCGAGAGATGGAAATCTGCAAAATAAAACATTGAACAAGAATGACAAAGGTATCCAACCTACATTCAACTTATACCAACCAACTCCATTGTGAAGTTGTATATGGAAATTTGGATCCCTCAAAGTGGACCTGGGTTGAAGCAAATCAACTTCTGTGATTGGTTGGTGGAAGTAAATTTTGCACACTTCAACATCTGAATCTTTATACTGGAAACCTGAATACAAAAATGGTAAGACATTCAACAGATCAGTGTACATATCACTTTTTATGATCATCTCAATCAAAGCTGTGTACCTTCTACTGGAAGCCTGAGTTAAGCAGAAATGGGAAAACATTCAACAAATCATTTTGTCAATTTTTATCACCATGTATACCAACTGGGCCCTTGGTGTTTCATGCTTGTCCTTGCAGTCAAACACTGGATGTGATTTTTTTATCTGTGACAATCTTGATTAATCATGTTGAATATCATATGATCACATCATTCAAATGAGGTAAGTTAGGGTAAGTTATCTCTCAAAGTTTCTAAGCTCAAAGCAGTGGAGTCATGAGAGATAAAAAACCTTGGACCTTAGAAGCACATCTAGTATTCAGCATACACAATTCTTCAGCACAATCATTGATACAATGACTACCCTTGTTGAGCAATGATGACCAGAAAGATTCCCACAATGTTTATCCATCTCAAACTCCAAAGAACTGAAGGCCTTCTAAGTCATTATTTATATGAACTGTTTCTCCCACTTATGATCAATCCAAATCAGTGAGATTTGATCTTTTACTCCCTCCTGCTTGCTCAATGTTATCAGTGAATCACAAAATCATCAGACTGTCTTTGGAAGTCTCTTTACTTTTCAAATTCAATGGAATGTACAATGTGCACTGGGGTTGGAAGGCGTTAGAATTCATGTCATCTTTACAAGGTTAGATTATGATAACAGAAGCAACAAACAGCAAGGTCAGATCTATGTTTTGTCATTGGGATACAACAGAAGTATGAGATGTGGTTTAGTTGCATACAGCAAGCTTTCTGCCAAGATAAATTGAGTGCATGACTTCATCATTTATTGGTGAGTTTTAATCTTGATACTTCTTTTACATCCTATCACAATGACTATTCTTACTGCATACCATGGCATCTAATGTAAAAAATCATACTTCATCCATCCCAGAAATTCAATGAGACCCCTGGTTTGTAGCTGGGTTGAGAACATCAGTGATTTTGTTGAATGGTAGCCGGATTACAAAATCAAACCAAGATATTGTCCGCCATTCTCTGATTGGTATTTTACCACAGCATTCGAGCTGAGAGATCTCTTTTAGATCCAGTATAATTTTCATGAGTGGAGATATTGACACGTAGCAATTGCCTCATCAAGCTATCATGGTAGCTCACAATATATGATCTACCAATCTTATGATAACTTAAGGTGAGGTAAAAATGTATCAAACAGAAATAGTGATATATATATATTGGATGTCTATCCAATGAACGTTGTAAAAAGAAGACTTGATTGACTTTTGTAGGGTATGTATACTCTTTGATTCAACCTTTCAAGCTTTAATGAATTGACCCATCTTACTTAACCAACTGACATATTCCTTTTGTTCTTTATGTTCAGCAAGATTTGCAACCCTACAAGAAACCAACAAACCAAAAATCAGAAATCTGCAAAAAAGAGAAACTTAAAAGAGAGAGAGAGAGAAATGAATGACATACACCATAGCTAATTCCGATCCGATTCCACGTTCTTCTAAAAATTGAGTAAAACCAGATTGTAATTCTTCATCTAAATCAAGAAATGTAGGACCGATATAAAGTCCTCTACGTTTCCAATCATTTTCAGAAGATTCATCTAATGCTAAATGTTCATCATCATAAAATGATACGTTATCAATTTCGAATGAAAGACCTATTTCACCAAGAAATTGAATTTCAAACCCGGAATATAGTCAATTAGGTATTCCTTACAATCGGAAAAGTCTTACACTAAGAGAAATGAACTTACCATCTGTGGTTGAATCGATGACCATTCCTCCTTTACCTGTCTTTACAATACTAATAGCCGTTCTAACTCTAGTATTTTGGATTTGTTCTTTTTCTACATCTTCTGATTCTAATTCAATTTCTTCATCTTCATCCATACGTTCGATATCTGAACAAGAGAATAAGATTCGAATCCTTCATAATTCAAGGAGAAAACATGAATATCAAATGCTTAAGTAGGTTTGAGTTTTGAATAAAAACCCGAAATGAGACTCACTTTTCGTTTCCGAATGTTCTTGTGAGTGATACTTCATCTGATCCAGGAACATCATTAATCTACATTTGAAAAAAACATCTCGTGAATGATTTGAGATGGGTTTCAAAAAGATTGAATGAGAAAGTGATGTACATACAGTAAACGTTTGATCGGCTTTGAAGGTTTTTAACCATGTAGGTTCTTTAGTTGATTCCACTTCTTTTTCATATTCGATTTCCGATTCAAGCCTTCCAATAAGTTCAGTATCAGCTATTTTGAATAAAACAACCCCAATCAAAAACCGTCAGCTTGAGATAATAAAACGTTAGGATTGATAAAAAAAGGTTTCGAACCTTGACCAGCTGATCTGTTGAAAGATGTAGTAGAAAAATAAGTAGGTCGATTAAGTTGAGGCGCAAATGATGATGCTTGATAAAGGTTTGTGAATCTAGCGGGTTTTGATTTTAAAACTTGACGTGATAATGAGATTAAAGATTTGTTAAACATTTTGAAGAAGTTGGACGTTGAGAATTCTTTAGGTGAGGTTTCCCAAAAAAAGTTGATCTGAAGATTGTTCGAGGATATTTGCTGATCACGTGATCGGGCGCAGTCACTGCGGAAGGAATCGTCCACTTCATTCTCATGATGTTTCATTTCGATGCCTCTCCGTTCCCCTCCTATGACGTGAGGGGTCATAGGTCTGACTTGAATAAATGAATTGCAGTGGCATTCAAGAATATGTTGCATGTCAAGACAAACTCCCATGATTTAGAATCAAAGCACCCACAGGTTCCACAAAATCCTCAAGCAATCAGACAAAAAGACAGGTCCTGAAATTGTGGACAAGATGTGGGTGTGTCTTTCAAGATAAGCAGTAGCAGTAAATTGTATCCTTATAGAATTCTGATTGGAAGTTGGTCACTCATCATGCAAACACAATAAGTGAACAACTTGATGACTTCTTTTGTGGATCATGAGGTTGGTTCTGATTACATAGCCTACAGTTGTTGAATTTATTGAATATGTTTATAGGAACACAAACTCACCACTTTGTAAACAAGGAAGAACCACATTCATCAAGGAGAAATTGATCAATTGAACAGCATCCTTGCTGAATGTGAAAACACTTTTTTTGTTTCTCTTAAAATGCAAAGATTACAACACCAAATTGATTCGAGAAAATATTTTGGGAGATCTAGGCAGCTTCTTTTTTCAAATAAAATACAAAAATATATCCAATTAGATGTATCTGTTAGCTGGGAACTCACTCTACAGCTACCCTCATGTCTGATTCACCCTTAGCTTCTGGTCTGTGAACCTTCCATATATGTCTTTGGTCTCTCCCAATCGTGTTAGGTATCTTCATTCTTTTCTTTTCTTCTGTGCTTGTTGCTCAGGTCTTATAGAACTAACAGGAGGACTTTGAACTGTGCTCCTTACCCGTATTTGGCATCTGTTGCAAGATGGGTGCTTATCAGCTACATAGCTAGCCAAGTCTGAATCTTTCGTGTGTTTTCAGGGCTATATAAGCCCTCTTAAAGCAGCGAACCAAAAGGTCATTTCCCCTTGTGTATCAAACTGTCTTGAGTGTGCTTGCTATAGCTTGATGACAACACAACCCATCCTTAGAGATATCCACAGGTCTCTGTGATGTTGGTTCAAATCATGAGGGAATGGTGCTATAAATCAAATAACATCTACATATGTTGGATTCTTTGATGCCTCTCATTGTCTTTGCGTGGTTTGAATGCTCAAATTTATTTTCCATCAGTTGCCTTGAGTCCGTTGAAAAAAGTGTTGAAAATGCGGACAGACAAATCCCCCTTCCAGAATCCGCATGTTGTTTGCGCCCAAAATCAAGCCTGACCCCCCCTGGCCCTGAGTCCTAAGATACGTTGTCCAGCCCGAGCAGTTTCTGAATGCCTTCGAGTCTCCCCAGGACCGGATAAACGGACGCTTCTTGGGTCCCAGAGTTGGAAGAGCCAACACACCCAAGACATCGATCGACAGCTTCAAGCTCATATCAACAAACAACACTACTCAAACAAATGCCAAAATGACATCAAAGCCTTCATCAACTTATCATCTTCCCTATCTACAACAAACATTTGATGTTAGGATTAAAATCATACTGAGCTTTTGGTTAGTGATTATCTTGAGTTTACCAGTTTGGTGGCAAACTACAAAGATCGAACGTAAACCATTACCAAAATCTACATTAGAACATTGGAAATCACTTCAGGTCAGTTCTTCTGTTTGATTGTATCATTCTTTTCAATTCTAGAAACTTGAACATCATACTAATTCTCTGAATCTTTTTACATTTAGAATAGCCATGTCCAATTCGATTTCCTATTCATTTAACTTCTAATTCCAAAGACCTTACAATCCAATCATTAAATGAAGAAATAAACAAACTGTCTTCTAAACTTGAGAGTCAAAAATACAAGTATCAAGATGAGATTGATATTATCACGGCTCGTTGTTTTGATTTTGATTTAGATTATCAACTTGATTCATCAAGTCATGATCGTGCGTATTTTATCATCTGATATTTCTTCCAAGACTCAATATTGATTCCAATCCTTTACATTTTCAGATATTGTAACGTATAACCATGAAGCTTTATCGAATTCACATCAAACCTCGTCACGATCCGGCGGAATACCTATTCGATTGAGATGTGAGTTTCTTCCTTTGATGATTCAAACTTTGATTTCCGAAAACAAAACTTATGCCATGTGTTTATTGTAGCTAAAAACCCATCAAAAGAACTCCTTAAAAAGCTTGCACCTCTGTCAAGATCTTCTGTTTCAATTCAAGGCAAAGATTCACGCGTGGTGAAATACTCGGCAAATTTGAAACTGATCTTCAGTCTTATGAATGAAGATATCACTAAATCTGACGATATACTTGGCTGGGAGATAAAAGAATCGATTCGAGGTGAGTTTTCTTTCCCTTTCGAGTGATTCAGACCACCAAGTCTTATCTCTCGTCTTCCTTTGCAGATCATCTTTCGCCGGTCTTGACTAGCCTTTCATCACTACACAACTTTACGTTCGAGACCCAAATCTCACATTATTCACCCCTCACATCTCAACCTACTGAGCTTCATGAAATGAGTGATAATCCTACAAAAGAGAATCAAAAGTTATTTATTATTGAGGAAGACGATTTGAAAGCTTTCATCAATGAAGCTGACTGGAGTCTAGGTACTGTTTTTTCTCTTATTAAGTCAGTTTGAAATTATCTAAACTCATTCCCTATGATGCCATGCAATAGGATCACCGGTATCTATGGACCCTGTATTGCATTTTGTGCTATACATCCCTTCTGTTGAACATCGTCCTTTCAAAATCAGACGTAAAGATGGTCAGTACATGTCATGTAGTTTTTATGAATCACGAATATTTACTAATTTATTCATACAATACATCTCAGGATCACTCGATCGCGATGGAAGTTTTATCCGACCACAATGGGGTAGTGTGGTAATTTACAACCCTGAACGGAATACAAATGAACCGAACCATTCAACATCAATCTTATCTGTCAAAGAATTGACTCAACCCATGCAAATCTTTAGATCACATCTTTTAAATTTACTTGGAATTTCTGATAAAGGATTCGGATTGAAATCTCCATCCATTGAAATTGATTCGATTATGAGACGTAGAATTTTAGAAACCAGTTTGGATTCAATTAATGATCTTGATGTGATTTTTAACCTGATTGATCAACAAAGTAATATGCGTGTTGGATCAGATGTTCAAAAGCAAGTAAGAGATTCATTAAAAGCGCTTCAAATGGTTTGTTCTTTTACACTTTGAATTCTAGATCATTGAACATTGAACGATTTTATTCATCAATACTTCCTTTGATTCAAATTGTTCGATCCAGGCACAAGATGAATTAAAAACCAAAAACACAATGATCAACAAACTAACATCATCAATCTATCTCATCAATCTTTCATCAAGTTTATCATCTAAAGCCGTCTTCAATCCCACCATGTTATCATTACTTTATTTTCCTGATGAACATAAATATGCGATTTATACTCCTTTATTCGGTCCAATCTTTGTTCCACTTTTGGTTTGTTTGATAAAAGAACTGAAAGGTTTCTTTAGTAGAAGAAAATTAAAACAAAATTCTTTGAAAGAGAAAAAAGAATGAGGTGGTTTGGTTTGGGGGGGTTGTGGTTTGGTTTGGAAACGATTTTTGTATGAACATGAATGATTTCTGTTAAAGGTATTTCACAATTTATGACTCAGTTGTTTTTAGTGGGCATGGTTTATGAAGAATTTCAGTTTTGCAGACAGTTTTGATAATGTCAGTTCAATGAATCTCATAGTGATTGTTCTTCCTTGAGACTGATTTGAACTGGGTTCTTGTGTTGGCTACATCATTTTCAAAGAACGCCTCAGGTATTAAGACGCATCTATGAATCGGGTTTGTGATTGTCTTTCTAGAAATGAGAATCTTGTCTTGAGAGTGAGACATTCTCAAATACTGTCGCGAGGCCGGTCCGGCTCACCATGTCCGGGCTCGTTCTCCACATCGATCATACCCAAGGTTCGGGATCCCCAAAGTTCATGCATCCAAAGCCCTCCAAAGCCTCTGTATGCTTCCGTGGAAAGACAGTTCTGAATGGCACGTCTTGGCAGGTGATGAGAATGTGATATTGAAACCTGTTGAAACGTGATAGGGAAGGCAAGGAGGCAAGTCGTGAGATTAGATTTTTCTCATCTCGATCGTATCCACATAAGAACCCGAACAGCTTCAACATAGCCTTGCATAGCCTTTGATTCCTAGCCTAAACACTCGGACTCGCACTGAGATATGACTATGTCTTCATCCTATTCGCATGAAAATTTCGGCCAGTCTTCACAAGAAGTTGAGGCGGAGAAAAGCTTTGATCTAGAAAATGTGGAGAGGGTGATTCGATACCTTAGGAAAGTGGTTGATGAGACCGAGTGAGCCCGCTGTTTTCCTTCACCCTGTTCTCCCAAAGACATTTCGATGTGGTTCAAGCTTAGCTCGAAATGCGGAACTGATGCCTCCATGCTACCCACTGAAATCAGGGACATCATGACGGGGGATTTGAATTATCCGAGTGGTGTTCTATTGAAGGCCGCTAGAGCTCTTCAACCCGATATACCAATTCAAGACATATGTGAAATTGCAGAAGCCACTCGGGCTGAGCTCAAGCGAGCAGATGATAATTCTCCTTATCCTGAGGTAAGAAAGCCGATGTCTGCCATCTCTGCGCTCGATGAAATATTAATCTGGCCGAATTTGACAGGTCCGGGCTTGTGTGGACGCGTCTGATGACCCTACGATGCCGACCATGACTTTTAGGTAAAGTTTATTTCCATCTCATTATGATAGCCGTAACGGTATACTACTGACGGTCACCGACCATAGAGTTTGGATCATCGGAGCAGCATCAGTAGCTGTGACCGCCGTCTTCAATCAGTTCTTTCAAGCTCGAGAACCTGAACTATACCTGCCTGCGACGGTAATGCAGGTGATCGCCTTTCCTCTGGGCAGTAAGTAGACAGAACAGAAAATCTTGGTCAGAACCGTCCAAAGTTCATTAATCAATCTCTTGATCTATAATAGTTTTGATGGCAAAAATCATCCCGACGCGATCCTTTCATTTCGGGCGACGATCCTTCACTTTGAATCCTGGTCCCTTCAAGTAAGGTCCTACATACATGTCATGATCCAGAGGAAGCTCGCACGATTTTGACATTGTTTCAATTTTCAGCATCAAAGAACACGCGTTGATCACTATCGTTGAGTCCTGTTCTGCTCAACTCACCATATCGCGCTCTGCAACTCTTCAAACTTATTGTTTCATTGAATTGGACCAAGATGCTGAACACGTCCGGAACACCCTATGTGAGTCGGGAATCTTAACTTGCATTATGGACCTTTCTACTTTCAGCAAGAGGTCCAGCAAGAGCTGATTGGCCTTGAGACAGGCAACAAGTATGATTGCTGTACTCAGACTCAAACGGTTTTACAATAATCCCACTCTTGGTAGCAAACTGGGATTTCAAATATCTCTATTGGTCAGTACACAGCTGATGGGATATGCGTTGGCTGGAGTCACAAGAAGGTGAGTTTATCTTATAGCATGGTCAGTATTCTCGCGGCAAGCGTGCTGAATCGACTCAATATACCGCCAGCTTCCTAGTCTATTATCGGGAAATGGTACGCCAGCGCTCTACAGTTGCTATTGTTTTCATTGAAGGCCTCAATCTGATTTGCTTTTAACTTCAAGGTTTGGTGGGAGATTCTTCCTCAGATCTCCATAATACGAGCCTTACACGTCAAAAGTAGTCGATCCCCAGTCCATGGATGGAAGATAACGCCTATGAAATTTTTCTTCGCTTGCACAGTAAGTCAAATTGTCCTTAACTCAAATGGATTGATGTAACTGAGCCGGAATGTCCCACAGATTGCATCTGGAATTTGTCAGTACCTCGAGATTTCAATTTAATCGATGTTTCTCAATTTCTCCGCTGTTATTGATACTAGCTCAAAATTTCCCCAGACTTCATACTTCCAAGTGTCTTCTTCGAGAGTCTCTCCTACTTCAAGTATGTACATGACTTGTCTCCTTGTTGGGCACACACTGACTCTTGGTTGTTGGTTTTTCAGTTGGACAACCTGGATTGCGCCGGATAATGTCAAGCTAGCCCTCATCACCGGCACAGTCAGCGGGCTGGGTATGAATCCATTTCCGACCTTGGACTGGAATATCATGTTTGATGATCCTATCATACAACCACTATGGACAATTGTAAGCTTTGATCTGCAAAAGATAACATTGATGATGAATCTCAGTCTCTCTGGTTACTAGACCAATACATACATTGGTACTCTATGTGCCTCGGTGATTATCAGTGTGATATACTTCAAGAATTGGCTGTTTACATCGTACCTACCGATCAATACTAGTGGTGAGATATCAACCTTCTTTCCAGGTGTGAATCGGGCTGACTTCTAACTCGCTTCTTGACGAGTATCCAGTGGTTTTCGACCGACATGGGTATGTTTTAGGCGCAAACCTTACAACATCCGCATTTATACTTATGTCAATGACTACTACCAATCCTTTTTCGTATCCAGGAAGCGTTACAACGCCAGCAGACTCCTTGATACGATGGGTGGATTCGATCAGGTAGCTCGACCAGACTTTTAAGAATTTTCTCCGTCTAGTGATTGTCTCTGACCTCCCTTTCCTCTTCTAGAATGCGTACGAAGCATACAGCCCACCCTTCATGTCTGCGTCTCAGACTTTATAGTGAGACTACCAAATTTAAATCGGGTATGAGTGATCTCTGATTACTGACTACGAACCAATTGATCTGCACAAACTTCCAGTTATGCCGGGTATTTCGCGGTCTACCCCACTGTAGTGATAGAATCACTACTTCATCATCGCAAGTTCATCTCCGAAGGGCTCTCTCACTATTGGGCCTTGTGTAAAAATAACTTTAAAGGCGATTCCGAGCAAAAGTCAGCAGTAAAGCCAAGATATGTGAATGACATACATTATCGACTTATGCAATCCTATCCACTAGGTAAGTTATTCAAGTCTGAGTGGAATGAATGGTGTCAGAATATCTTACATTGATTTGTTCTTGTACCTATATATAGCTCCTAATTCTTGGTTTGTGGTGATTGGTGTATTTTCTATTGCTCTTGCAATCTTTATGAACGAATTTTAGTCAGTTATGCGTTGAGTTTTCCCTGGACTAAATTGCGGGACTGATCGAAATTTGATGTTTTTAGCGACACTAAGTTACCAATTTGGGGTCTTGTAAGTGTTGATTTGTTTTCGCAAAAGGGATTGAACTATTCAACTGATCTCTGCAATTGATCTCATGTCCTACCTAACAGGCCCTCAGTCTTTTTATTTCACTTCTCTTCGTCATCCCTACTGGAATAAGTGAGTCTCGTGATCTGTTGAGGTTTCAAGTTCAGGATCCGATCTGACCATATCAAATGTGACAGTTCGAGCCGGAGCAGATATACCAGTCCATCTTAATGTTAGATATTTTGCTACCTGAGGACAATAAAGACTTGCTGAAAGACTCACTTGATTGCAGGTGCTGGCAGAGCTGGTGGGCGGGTATATTTTTCCTGGCCGGTAAGTCTGTGCCGTTCCACCAATAACCATATGTACTACACTGAGCTGATCGCATTTCTTTGATTACAAAGGCCTCTTGGCAACATGCTCTTCAAAACTTACACCACTCAGACTGTAATGCAAGCTCATTCGTTTGCTGCAGATATGAAGGTAAGAACATTTCATTGCGCGACTCTTGGATAATGATTTCATTGTTGATTCTTTTCATTTTTGATCAGCTTGCCCATTACATGAAAGTGGGCTCGATTTCCTGAAGCATCACTTCAATTTGTACACTTACTCATCATCCTTTGCCTTGAAGCTACCTCCGCGGGCGGTCTTTATCTGTCAAACAGTTGCGACGGTATTCTCGATGCTCCTAGCTATTGCAGGTACTACAAGATCGTATCAACCAAATATGACTTCGGAATAGTGCTGATGATGGGTGTGGGTCGGTTACCCAGTGCTCGACTGGCAGATCGAAACCTTCCCTGACTTCTGTTCATCGTCTCAGTCACAGCATCTTGTTTGCCGAAGTAAGACCATTCTTACGACGTTGCCAATGACATCAACTGACAATTTGATCCTTTTCTTTAGATTATTCTTTCTTCTTCAGGTATCTTTTCATATCCATGATTTTTACCCGGCTTTCACGATTTGTTGACTTCTCTCCTCATCATTTTCTGAGAAAGTGCTTCGATCATTTATGGCGCCGTGGGACCAGCGCGCTTATTCACTCAAACTGGGGCACTTTATCGATATTGTCTCTATGGGTTTCTGTAAGTCGATCCTTCACTTGTCCACCGCATGTCATCAATTTTTGGCTTCGGTGCTACCTGAATCGGTAATAGATTTTCTGATGATTTATATTATACCCCGTTCTTAGGGTTGGTGTCATTCTACCTTTCATCCCTTGGCTCGCCACAAAGCAGTGGCCTCACTCTCGCTTGAGATACATGAAAATAGTGAGTCTGTAGTAAACTTATTGTGAAATGACTCTTCGGAATGGTGAGGTGACGTCTTCGAAAGTCTGCCATTCTCCATGGAGCTCGTTATTACCCTGGTCTCAGCCTGGCAAACGTCACGTAAGTGCAATGAAGCTGAGAGAAGGACCCCTGACACATACAGATGTTCGAATTATGCTGATTGTGACTGTTTCCTGAATCCTCTAGCCCAATGTTTGCACTAGCTTTGTTCTTTCAGGGTTACTTAAAGCGATGGTACTTGAGTTGGTATGGTAAGTCATGGAGTATCATATACCCCAGAATACCAAATATTTACTCCATGTCATTAAAATCCCTGATTCAAATCCATTAGAGAAATATGCAATTGTCGCTGGCAGTGGGATACCAGCCGGTATAGCGATCTTTGGCTTAGTATATGTTATTGCATTCAAATTAAATGGACAAACGTATGACTGGGTCAGTTCTTCCGATCTAGAAAGATTATCTAATCCCATAAATATAAATGAATATTCAGACTGAGAAAGTATTATGAATGGACCGATTTTTCAATAGGTTGGAAATACTATCTATCAAGCTGGGTGCGATGGTAAAGTATGCACTTTGTTAGAAATACCTGGGAATGGCTTTTGGCCACCTTCTTAGGGATGAATATCAAAAAATCATTGATGTTTTTTCCCAGATTGAGTTATTCCTGATAAAACTCAAGTCGGTGTGGGTGGTACGGACTAAATTTATTTTAGAAACGCGTTGCCAGGATATACTACACACGTACACCTCAGACATATACACTTGGCATATAAAAGCTGTCCCTTTTAGAAAAACAAATCCACTGTCCAATCGACAAATTTTCCATTATTTTGTATATACCTTGACGGAAATCTCTTCGCAAGAATGATGAAAGCAAAGAAATGACTATGTAATGATAGATCTGGGCAACACATGCCTCAATGTCATCCTGTTACTGAGCCGAGTTACTGCGGCAGATATTGTTCACTCTGCTTCCCGGCTTCGTTTGTCACCCTTGAAATAAGTCCTCAATTCATGCAGAGATATGGAGAATCCGAGCTTGGCAATAGTCTATTGGGACCTATTGGGACCGTGAGTCGACCAGTCCAAATACAAACAAGTACAGAAAATGGCACTGTCGCGCGGGTCCTTTGCGGCGAATCAGGAGTGGCTGAAGGATGAATGTGACATCATATTCTTGTTGTAGCATGCCAGGAAAGCGCGTGATAGATCAGACTGAAAAGTTCTGACATTGGAAGGCGTTCAGGTCATCACACTCGAATGCGTTGTGAGCAATGGTAACATTCATCCAGACATCGGGTGTGGGAACTTGACAAACGATGAAATATGTAAGACCGTAAATGCTATATCCTACAGAGGTATATTGAATGAGGTTTGATGAAGATCTTTAAAGCCTGATTGGACGACATCGAAAATACTACAATTTGATCCGGGCTGTGGCTACAGCTGTCTACAAGTCTCGAATCTCATGCTGACTGAATAATCTGGTAGTAAGTCGTCTATGCGGATCATAGGGATCATTGCTATCCTTGACTGGAGCATTTGTTTAATCAATCATCAAGCGCGATGGGTTTAAGAGTATGCAGACGAGATTCTAGTCATAATTCCGATGAACTCATTTAGCTACGCTGGATCCGAACCCCCCAGTGCTGCCAAACCCACCAGAACCACGTTCTGTCTCTTCCATGGACTGCACTTCGACACTGTTGAGACATGTCATGGGCATCAGAGTTCACTTCTCATCATGCTACTGAATATTCTGAAGACTGTTATGTTGAAAGAGAAATGTCACTTGCATGGCGGGTGTAAGAATTTGTTCGATGACCAGTTGAGCAACACGATCTCCTTTTCGGACTGATGGAGGGTAAAAGCGACAGAATCAATTAAAACACGAGCTTAGTGCGAATCATAAGTGGACTGATCACTCACCTTGAAAGTCTTCTTGACTATGATTGAACAGTACTACGCCTACTGGCCCGCGGTAATCTTCATCAATCACACCTGCACCGGTGTTGATACCATGCTTGACAGCCAACCCCGAGCGAGGAGCAACGCGACCATAAGTCGATGGTGGCACAGCGATGATGAGGTCCGTAGGTACCACCGCTCGGCCACCGGCGGCAATCAACATATCTGCCGACGCGTAAAGATCGTAGCCTGCCGCTGCCAAACTTCCCTTGGTCGGGATAGTAGCATCAGGGCTCAGTCGTTGTACTTTCAAGGTGTGTGTTGCTGACGAAGCCATCTGATATCGCGTGACGTAAGAAAAATTGAGAGGAGAGGCCTCAAGGTTCAAGCTCAGTGAAGGGAAGAAGTGATGAAGTCAAACTGGCTGACAAAGAGTTACGAGAGGGGCACGCTAGAGCGCCTTGTTTTTCAATCGATTCAGCCTGACACCGGCGACTATCCGGCGACCTCTGGGCATTCCGAGAACCGACCCGACGGATATTTACAGTATCCAGACTCGTCGGAAAAAAACCGGACGGTTTTTTTTTCAAAAAATATCCATTCGACAACCGAGCCGAATATCCGGCGGATATCCGGCAATTGGGTCAAAAAAACCTCCGTAGCTGGGAATTGAACCCAAAACCGGGGCTACCCGGGTAGTTCTTTGGCCGTCCCGGGGCCATATCTCGCTTTTTTCTTTTTCCATCTTCTGAAGTGCCCTCACTCAGACCTTAAAATTTTTTTTAATTTTTTTTTTGAATTGAACTGGGAATCAAGAATCGACATTCACTGAATCTCGATTTACCGCTCAATCATCTCAATTATAGTTATTCAGAGTCATCAATCAATTTGAAAACCACCTCGTACTGCCTAATCACCTTCAAATTGAACTTAAATCAATATGTCTTCAGGCCCAGGGACCATTACAGACACAGCCTCACAAGCCGATCAATGCAATCTCGGAGACACATCAAATACAACTTCTCGTCCGAATACGAGCTGGGTTTGGAGGTATTTCAAAAAGCTACCTGATAAAGACTTCAATAAGTGTTTTTTTCAAATGGCGGACGGAAACAACTGCGGGAAGTAGTTAGCCCGTGATAAGAAGGGCAGTACATCATCTATGAAGAATCACCTTGAAATCAAACACGGTGTCCGCGATGGCATGTTACCTGATCAAGGTAACATCATTGGCACTTTCAAGAAAGCCAAAACAGCACATGTTGTGAGTTGTACTTATTTTGAAAGAAAAACCATTATTGATGCTTACTGCATTTGCATGAAAGCTTGTAAAAGAATATTTTTTTTTTCTCTGAAAAGCGCAAATTTGGCCCCGATTCAAATAACTACTTGAAGCCGGGTCAGCTAGATGGGGTCTGACTCAATACCCCATCCAGCATACCAGTGGTTTTGAGCACCATCCACGCATCCACCATCTTCGATCGATTTCAATCCGCGGCCAATTCACTCTCTCTTACTTTGAGCAACTGGATATCTTTCTGGTCTTGGAATTGTATTGTTTTTGATTCTTCTTGACTCATTCTTAATCTCTTTACCATCTTTTAAAAACTCATCTGTCTTGTATTGTCATTGTTGATTCATTCATTCATTATTTATGCTTCTCATTAAAAATGTATCTTATCTATCATGCAAATTATGACTGTTTACCCCTCAAATCACAAGTAGAAAGAGATGCTTATCTCATATGTTTGATTCACTTGTCCCTTAATACTCACTGATGTCTACAGAATAAGAAGCTCAAGATATTTCAAATGAAAACAAAAGCCTTAAGGTTGATATATCTGTAAACTCTTTGAAAAAAGTATGTAGAATTATAGACGAGATTGATTAAAAAAAGTAGTACACAATGAAATGCATGTATAAGAGAAAAGAAACAACTCAAATACAAAACACAAGACAAAACAAATGTCATATTCAAAAGGAAACTGATTCTTCCTACCCTGATTGAAGTACAATCACATACAAAAGCTTGTGTACAATCGGTTGTGGATGGTAGTGGTCCTATAACCTGAAGAAGAAATGGAGAAATTTGGTTTGTCATTACAAATGGCAATTGAATGAAAGAAACAAGAAAGATTGAATAAAAGAAACGAAAACGATTGAATAAAAGAAATGAGAACGATTGAATGAAAGAAACGAGAACAATCAAAGAAAAGAAAGGAGAACAATCTGAAGAACAAACTCACCTTGATTTCTAAATTGGGGGGTAACATTGCTTGCAGTCAATCCACGTGTGAGGTTGATGTCTGGTGGCATTGCAGAGTTGAGTGAAGACAAGGTAGTGGATTGGTGGCCAATTGAGATTGATTGAGGGTGGCGGAATCGAGGAATCGTGGATGGTATTGGCTGGGGTATACCGTATAGCTGAAAACCACTGGTATGCTGGATGGGGTATTGAGTCAGACCCCATCTAGCTGACCCGGCTTTGAGTAGTTATTTGAATCGGGGCCAAATTTATGCTTTTCAGAGAAATTTTTTTTTTTTTTTTACAAGCTTTCATGCAAATGCAGTATGTAGAATCTTTTTAACTTGTGTAAGAATAAACTCAACACCACAAGCCTCAAGACAAGTTTCATCGCCAATTGTGATCTCCCCTTTTCAATAGTCAAAAAACCATAATTTTGAAGGCTCTTGGCACTCTGTAGCCCTCATGTATCCGGGATGCTAGGCAAACAGACTGCAACTGCTAATCATATGCGTAGAATTTATTATTATTACGAGGACTTCATCAAGAAGGCTCACTTTGGACCTTGCAAATTGATTGCAATAACTCAAGATGGCTGGACTTCGCCAAACAATGTACCCTTCATGTCACTCACTGGTCACTTTATCAACAAAAACTGGGAATTATTGGATCTTAGCCTAGGTATTGCAGAAATAAAAGGTATGTTTTTTACTCCTTTTGATTCAGCCAAATCAATTTGACTGATTGAATGAACAACTTCCAGGTGCACATAATGCAAAAAACTTTGCTGGTATCATCATCAATTATTTGAACAAATACAATCTCTCAAAGAAGTTGAGTGCAATGACCGCGGACAACATCAGCACAAATGCCGCAACGGACGCAAAATTGGTTCGACTGAAGGCATTGACTTTGATCATACCACCCAGGTACATGGGTGTGTAGCTCATGTCATCAACCTCGCCACAAAAGAAGGCTGAAAGGTGTTTGGCGAGGTTTTCAATGACAATGAGGCTGCATCCAATTCAAACATCCACGATCTTATTGACCCACCCAATGTGTATCAAGTTAATCTCAAGACTATCTATAATTGATGCCATGGTTTAGTGACGTGTACCCGCTCAAGTCCTCAACATGCTCAAGTGTTTGCTAACATTGTCAAGATGCGACACAAGGTCGCTGTGGCAATGGCATCTGCAGCTGCGCCTAACTCCACCGGTGCTGTCAAACCTCCTACCAATTCTGTGGACGATGCGGACCAGGATGCAATTGACTACATGTTAGAAGATCCGACAATCAATCACGTTTGGCAAGCTCCAGCCAATTAAACACTAACGTTGTAACTTGACTTGTGGTCAACGTTCCAACAAGATGGAATTCATCTTATCACATGTTTAGAAGGCTTCTACGTCTCAAAGACTCATGCAATGAGTTTTGCAAGGGTCAAGATTTCAAAAAATATGCTCTCTTACCTCTTGAGTGGAATTATGTCCAACAGATGTGTGAATTCTTGGAACCGCTCAGTGAAGCTACTGAGATACTTTGTAAATCAAAGTTCCCAACAATGCATCAAGTAGTCCCTATATATATTGTAGTTTTACAAGGACTCAAATCGGTAAGCCATTTTTTTGAACTCAAATTCACATCGCCCTTTGCTAATTTGTTCAGCTGTAATAGGTTGCTGGACAATATGATTTCAATCAATTGAAACCTGCATCCAAAAGCATGATTGCTAAACTTGAAGATTACTTCAAGAAAGTGCTCACCAAACCGGCACCGATCTGTGCCACCATACTGGATCCTTGTCTCAAGTTAAACTATTTCCAAGTTAGTACCAATCTAATCTTTCTACATCATATTTGTACTGACCAACATATTGATTGAACAAGGAACGAGCAATTCTCTTTGAGTATGACATCTATGTTTCAGACTTTAGGTCAACTTTTGAAGGCGAGGCCAGGAGATTTCAAACCAAAGCATCGATTACCACATCGATTTCTACCAAACGATCACCTCTTGCAATGTCTACCTCACAATATTTCAAAGACACAATCTTTGGCACTCGAGACAATTCACAAGAGCATTCAATAGAAAGTGAGGTTGCTCAATACCTCGGCGACAAGCTTGAAAGCCGTGACACTCATGTGTTGACATTTTGGAAAGAACACATGTCCATCTATCCTGGTTTGGCCAATATGGCGATGGAGTATCTGGCTATTCCAGCAACTAGTTGTCCTTCAGAGGGCCAATTTAATAAAACTAAATGGATCTTGGGCCCTCAGCGTAGTAGCCTGTCAAGTCTGCATGTTGAGACACTTTTATGCGTAAAAGATTGGCACCCAATTTTTGGGCCTTTGAAAATTCCTACTTGTATTGAACTTGATGGTGATGAAAATAGTACTTGATTTGTGGTCACCCCGCTTGTTTTTTTTTACAAATTTTTATTATGTTTTAACCTACAACAATATGAAATACATGCCTGCCTTTTTGACTGATATCCGCCGGATATCCGGCTGAAATCAGCTTTTCTGGCCCCTTCATTTGACTACCGGACTGACCGGTTATCCGGCCACCGGATGGTTGGAAGGTCCCATCCGTCACCTGGGTCCGACGGTTGCTCCGTTGGATATCTGTTGGATTTTTGGTTCCGGGTGACGGCTTGAACATATATGTGTCAGGCTGAATCGATTGAAATTGTTCATGCATTGGCATCATCACCCACTCAATCGCGCACTTCTACATCTCCTGACCACGCGCCACAACACGCCACAACACGCCATACACCACATCAGCTCCCCTCATGACACGTATTACCACAACCCACCAACACCACCCATTCTGATCTCGCCACGCCTCACTGACCTCAAGATCACCATGGTGTCTTTTGATCATTGGTGAATCCCCTACAGGATCCTGCAGAGAGCTCAGAATTTCTTCCGTTTGAACTTGAGATCGTATGCGAGCAATGAGATTGAAATGAAAAGGTCAGCTCCCCATTTTTTTGCTGCATGCTGGTGCCTGTCTGGCCAGGAACTGAATGAGGATTGTTTCGATTTACACAGTTTCAGCTTCAATCCATCCTCTCGTCGCCCGTTCACCTGAGCAAGAGCTCCAACGACTTCGGCTCTCTCACCTCAAACTGCTTAACCCAAACTATCTCTATAAACTATTGGTTATAATTTCATCCCGTGGACGCGACCTCAGAGTCTTCTACCACCACCAACATGCCGTCGACTTTTTGCAAGCCATGGTTTAGTCACTTGACTGGTGCAAGGACGAAGACCTTGGTGACCAGTTTGATTGGGCAACCTGGTGTTGTTCAATCAGCTGGTCCGCATCAAGCTGGATTGAAACCTCGCCTTGTCAACTTTTTGCAAACAAAGGTTTAGTCACTTGACTGGTGCAAGGACAAAGGCCTTTGTGGCCTCTTGATTGGGCAAACTGGTGTTGTTCAATCATCTGGTCCGCATCAAGCTGGGTTGAATCCAAAACATCTTGCCAAAAACTTGTAAGTAATTAAGCATTTCTCCGCGTCAAGAATATGACCGCCGAATAATTACTATCTGTTCTCCTTTCAGTTTATGAGTGATGTTTGATTTATTTTTACAAATTTGGAAGGATTATCTTCAGATGTGTCAATCTTGGTCAACCTACGCATACATTCAATGTGAAGGTTACAAAAAAGAGAAGATCAGATGGGACCAATGGTGAAGAACGTACTGGATCATTTAATGAAAAAAGACAAAGGATTAGAAGAAAATGAACGTGATAGGCAATGGGAAGGATGGTTAGATAGTCATTTAGGTTGGTGTGAATGGAAAGCACTTGCAAGTGCTCACGAGTGTGCATTTATTTGGCTTCCAAAGGTTTGTTTTTGTTCTTCTTCTCATTCATTCAATTCACTCAGAATTGCTGACCACCTTTTGATCTCTAGATGCCACACTACAACAAATGACATCTTTACCCGGGGGTATAGAAAAGTAGTGTGGGCATAGAAAACTATTGGTAGGGTACTTTTCTATACCAATGAACAATGCTTTTGATACACCTATGTACAATATTTGAGATTGAGAAATTGAGTATTTTCTTTGCGCTGACTCAGCTGTATGTATTGGGACCCAAAGGCAGTGTTACAGTGCACAGAATCTCAATTTTCTGTTTTTTGATATTTTTACGCCAAAATACAATTCTATGCTGATACAAGAGATCTTCAACCATGTTCAGCATTGTATATGAGTATGTATGCACTGTGAAGATAATGTAGTTTTCCAAGGTGAAAAAAGATTACATTTAATCTACAAAATGATTAATTCTGCATTAATTCTGCATTATTCTGCATTAATTCTGCATTATAAATCATTTTGGTCATATGCAATCATTTTTCACCTTGTAAAATTCATTCTCTTTGCAGTTTATGCACAATCTTACACAAATTGACAGACACTCTCTACATATGTACAATATGACTGATGGACCATGCTTTCCCATGGGACAAGACTCAAGAAGGGCTTTGAGTCTCGATTTATATATACAGTCCTTGTGGTCATGTGAATATTTTCATCTGTGGGTATAGAACAGAATGGTTTGTCTAGGCATAGATGATACTATCTCTATGGATATAGAAGAGTACTTTAACCATAGTTTTCTATGCCCACACTACTTTTCTATACCCCTGGGTAAAGATGTCATTTGGTGTAGTGCCAAGGCGTTGGTGATCTTATATAACTCTCTTGACGCATCCAGCTTGTCCTGCACCTTTACATCCCAGTCATACGCGCCATACTTTCAATCGAGCCTCAAGAACTTTTTACACAAAACCAGTTGGAAACCTTAATTAAGATGGTCAGAAAAAGTGGCTGGTGGTGAAACTTGTGTGAGAGTATGGAGGAGATATTTTTAACAGCTCATTATGTCAAATTGATTCTATTGAGGATGACAAAGATGAGAAGATGGAGATGAACAAGGTGTCACAGAATCTGGTACAAAGAGACCTCATCAATCTTTAATTGCTGGTAAATTACTTTTACGATTAGTTAGAAAAGCTAGAAAAGGAAAATACAAATCACCCAATGGAAAGAGGCCCTAGATTGAGTTCATCTCCTAATCAATTCGGTATCAGTTTGAAAACAATGGAACAAACGAGACTTCAAGCAAAGGTCACCAGGCTGTAGGCCTCGACATTCTGACCCTAGACAGGCAGATCGAACAGAAGCCTATGACCCCAACACCGATCCTTCAAACCCTCAAAAACTCTTTGAAAAAATCACCAAATTAGAAGGTTTCAATGTTTATAAAGATCAACTAGGTCTGATTCAACTTGGCTACCTATTCAATTAAGATAACCGAATTTGAAAAAGCTAAAGAAGTATCCAAAACAGGAATTAGTAAAGTTTTAACCATTCGAGATTTCACCACAATCTTTGATGCATATGCCAAATTCTCAGAATGATATATTTCATCTCTCATGGAATTAATTTCCAATGAAGAAGAAGAAGAAGAATTAGATTTAAAGATGAAAGAAGTTGAACATCAACAACCGTTTTTGTTCCATGATTTACAAAGAAATCCAAATGATGTACAAAAACGTATTGTATTGTATGATAAAGATCAAGATGAGAAAACTGTGGAAACTTATGTCAAAGCTATCAAGACTATCAATCCTAAAAAAGCGACGGCTAATTTTGATCAAATACTTGTAAATTTTGCTAAACGGTCTGAAGAATCTGGTTAGAGTGCTAATATGGTGACAGATGATGGTGGTGAAGGGTTTTCTGATCTTGTGAATGCTAGAAATCAAGGTTCATTTCCACGGGTGGATGATTTGGCTGAAATATGGATTGAGTGAGCAGAGATGAAAGTAAGGAATGAGTTAGTATCTTTTTCCATTTTCTTCATATATTCTATTTGTTTGGTGTCAGGGTGGCTATAGTTAAAGCAGGTGAGTATGGCTAACTACTCACTTTAAAGTCCTGACAAGTATCTTACTGGTTCCGTAAGATGATGCACTAACTTATATTCTGTAACAGGGAGAAACAAATAGTGCGTAAATAATATGTTATGGAGATAATTAGATTTATCAACGAGATTGTCCCGGTCCACTGTAGGGTTACAGCGTGGAGATGGTCAAGCTCTGAACCGGTAGTTTCCTTTGATGGTAAAAAATCCCAACAAAAGCGCCTGTGTTACTAGACACAGGGATTCTGTCAACTTTACGTTGCAGAACCAGTGGTACGTGACCAAGATATAACTATCCCAGGAATGAGAATAGTTCGAGACTTTATAGCAAAGCTATAATCCCACAAGGATATATTGAAGAGGAGTGCTTTAAGAAAAAAGATGAAAGACAGAAGTAAATGAGTAACTTACTGAAGATCCTTTTATAAAAAGCTTTCAAACATATGGTTTACTAACAATAGTTGGATGTCTTCTATTATCTTTATAAGATGGTTGCTAGTAAAGAAGTGAGTCCTTTTAGATATCCGGGATAAGACTCTGTTATTTATAGATGTGCTGTCTTGATGGCTGACCTGTGGTTACCATGTTCTCCTTCTGCTCGTATTATGATTATCTAGTGGTTCTCTAAGTTACTTATTCAGTTGTCTTGGGCCGGTTTGTGGTTTAGACGGATCTGGACAAGGAATGGTTACTTCCCTTTTGGGAATCTCTGTTTGTTTCTTTAGTTGTATTGGTCACTAAAGATATTTCACGATTTCTTCTAATTCTGAAGGTTGTTAGATATCTGGGTATTTGTACTTCGTCTTTGACACTTCGACGCAAGGTGTTTGTATTTATAAGAGTGTAGGAGATAAAAATTAATGTGTATTTACATCCTTCTTTTGGTATCTAGACGCGAGGTGCTATAAAGGTGTAAATCCAAAGCTTTTACTATTAATTTGTCTTTGAAACTAGACGCAAGGTGATGTACTTATTTTTGTGATTTTATATGTATATTTTTATTTGAAGTCCTCTTGGCTTTTGCTCCGCGAAAGCTCGAGGGCTGACATTTGGTCCAATTGCTCCAACTGATCATGTATCTCTGTGAAATGATCATTCTTCAGGAATTACACAGAAGCTTTGAAGGTGATGCAAAGAGCTACAATGATACCAGTTGATTGGAACAAGATTTTCATGATGAATCTTGACCTGTACAATAAACCTTGGTCATTTCAAGTGTTTTTAGGAGAATCAACTCGATAGAGCTACTACTAGAGTTGCTTTAACTGAAAGATTTGATGTAAGCTTTTCTTACAATCTTGTCTCAAGATTTGAGATACTGATTTGTTTTGATTGTTTTTTAGATGTTTGTGTATTATATTGCAAAAGCTACAGAAAACTTGGCTTACAATCTACTTGTTCAATCTAATTGATAATCAAACAGCTAAGATGTAAGATTTGCTTCATAAAATTAGGTGAAATTGATAGAGCTCTGCTAGTGAGTTTTTACACCTCTATATGTTTCACTCGAAACATGTTCTTTCACTGTTATACCAAAGATAGTCTCGATAGATTCCTGATATATTGTCTTTTTTCCCCTTTTTTTAGTTTATACACACGCTTCTCAATTTTGTGATCCACGTACTGCTCCAGAGTTTTGGCAAACTTATCTTACTTTGGAAATTCAACATGGAAGTGAAGATGCGTTTAGAGAAGTAAGTTAATCAAACAAACTCTTGATTTATATCAACTTAGGTTATTAATTTATCTCTTTTATTATATGAAAGAGGAATCAACTTATTTTCATTTCCTATTTTAAACAAGGTAACAAGATTGAAGATTTATTTGAACAAGATTGTTCGGAAAAGTTGAATCTCTTGAAGAGAATCATGATCTGACAAAGAGCTATGAGTGTACTCGATAGAGCTGCTACAAGATTTGATGTAAGCTTTTCTTACGATCTTAATCTATCTTCCGACTGCGCCACCGGCCTTTCTATCGTAGAGACCGGTAGATCTATGAGGGGAACGGGTTGTCGGATAATGAAGTAGCCGGGAATGACATGTCCATTCCTTTCAGATGAGGATCATTCCATTCATATCATGAAAGATCAATGATGTCACCATAAAGAAATGGATGTTTAGGATGATATATTTCCCTAGTTCCCATAGGGTCATTCATCTAAAATTATTAGACAAAAAATATATATATTTCATTATTCAATAAATTTCCAATATAAAAGTTTCTCTTTGATGATAGCAGAATCATTATGGTAGAGAACAATAACATTCCTCATAAACGTTACTATCGCCATTTTCAATGATATTGACAAGATTCTTACAAACTAGGATGATTCTGGGGGTAGCAAGAATACTTCCATGGCCCAGTTTTGTACACAAGTCGCATCCATACATCATTACAGGGACGCCGACTTTCTCTAGTATTTCTCTGCAGTTGCTCGAGTGGCCATTGCACTGAAGTTGTTTTATTTTCTGGAGATCTCAGGCAGACTCTGCCGATTGTTAAAAGGTCCAATCTCATGGATCAAGTAGCAGCAAGTTTGAAAATTTTGTTTCTTTTGGACGTACTGAATTTAAAAAGTCTGTAGACGACATATTGTCCAAGTTGTTAGCAAAATATATCTTCAGCCTTCAAGCATTGCCCCTATTCCATATGAAGGATTATCCTCACAGCCAAATTATCGTGCAATCATCAGACCTTTCAGACGCGCTTTGAACTCAAAGACCCAAAAACCCAGCCCTATGCTTCGCCATCTTTGATCTAGCATTATACCTTGGTCTAGACAAATTGTCATCAAAGGACTTAGCAATTCTAGATTGTGTACTGGTCTCATTTTGGGCAATAATGTATGACAATTCAGGCTATCTTTGAAAGACAACAATCAACAGCAGTAGAATTAATCTAACAAGTCGCATGCACATATTAGCCAAGGCCAGCATCCTTTTGAATATTGCCAAGTCCCCCAATGGAATGAGAGTTTGTTGCCTTTTTCTCTGCATAACAATTCCATAATCGCTCACCAGTCACCCCTACAGGAGGGCAAATGGCTGGGGCATTAGAAAAGATAGTGTGCAGCTCTTCCCTCACAAGTGCCCTGAAAAACGATCAATGCATCAGAATGATCATCATTGGTTGCAAGAGTCAAAGGTTCAATCTTACTTCTGAAAGATGAGGGGTGATTTGATTGATATGCCCAGGATGTTGATATAGACAAAACGTCTTCAAAGGCAACATCAGCCAAGAAGTTCCATGGAGAAGAACAGCTACCCACAGGATGTGCTTGCAGACATGTCCGAATGCAAAATCTGTACATGTACACTCTGGATATCATCCAATAGTCACCTCATAGACCTATTGAATTGGAGCAACTGAAGATAAGCTAAAGATCAAAGCGCTTAGAAAACGGGGAGGAAGAGGTACCTTAAAGCTGTCGCCACATATCACAAACTTTTTTTTCAAAGTCAAGATGATGGTAGGATGGTCTGGAAGAAAAATGCTTTCTCTCTTGACCCTTGCAAGTTGTTCTTGGACTTTCTGTGGATGAGGAAGTCATTAGATTTATCCAAGGATCTTGGCAATGGAGATTGTACTTACCAAGGAACAACAAGATCTCCATTTTTCTGATCTTTTCTCATCGCTGGCCTTGGGAGATTTGAAGGTTTTGCCTTCTGGGTGAGGGTTGTATCTTTCATTGGTGGAAGGATGATGATGATGAGACATGTGGTTTGAAACACCCAAAATCGAGATGTGAGAGTGAGATTTGTTTTTATTTAATTTCTCTTTACCTTGCCTTTTACCTCTGCCTTTTACTCATGCCATCATTGTTTTTCCTTTTTCTCAATTGCTGTTGACCACACACTCACCATTCTCTATTTCATCATAAGTTTCAATACTTTAACTCTAGCTGCCAATCTCGTCTCTTCCAATCCATCCATCAAATATCTACTTGCCTTCCGAAATCTAGCTGCCGATCTCATCTCTTCCAATCCATCCATTAAATATCTACTTGCCTTCCAAAATCTAGCTGCCGATCTCATCTCTTCTTCATCTCTTCGTGATCTCTTCACATCTCATTGCTTTTGATTGGTCTCCATAACCTGAGTGAGTCCAGCACGCAATTTCAGCCTTTTGAACTGTGACTGATTGAAACTATTCAGCAATCATGCCAGTGCAAAGTAGGCTTGCAGCAGTAGCCGCGCGTGGCATCATTGCTATTCCAGTGTAAGAATGTATTGGAGTCTTGGAACTCGGGTCTGAAAGCATACACTAATGTACTAATGAGCAACAATCGAACAAGGCATTAAGCTAGAAGTCTCTGACCTGAAAGCATACGCTAATGTACTAATGAGAAACAATCGAACAAGGCTTTAAGCTAGAAGTCTCTGACCTGAAGAAAGGTTCAGAGTAATAATGTGAATAAGTTAGTTATAAGTTATCGCTGGTTGATAACTGATCTTCGGATCAAGTAAGAGACAATTTTTCTCTTCCCAAAGATTAAGCTTGTATTCACCTGAAAGCATACGCTAATGTACTAATGAGCAACAATTGAACAAGGCTTTAAGCTAGAAGTATCTGACCTAGGACAACAATGATCTAATCAGAAATAATTTTAAAAGAAACGTGATTAGAAGAAAACAACTGATACCTGAATAAAGGTTCAGAGTAATAATGTGAATAAGTTAGTTATAAGTTATCGCTGGTTGATAACTGATCTTCGGATCAAGTAAGAGACAATTTCTAAATGATTTAGGCAACAGAAAACAATTATGATGATAGAAAATTAAACAACATTAATATAAAGTCATATTGATAAAGTAGAATAAAAATGTGAAATTGTACTTACTTCTCTTCCCAAAGATGGGGAAAGAGAAGTAAATCGAATTCTGAGTAGTATTATAAGTAATGTGAATTATGATCAATGACATCATAGCTTTCATTTCACTCGATGACGTCGACTGGTTAATCCATCCATTTCATTTCACAATAAGTTATATGTAACATTTCTTGTTCACGTCGATTGAATAATTCAACAAATTAGCACCGTCCTACAACAACCCTGGTGCTCCAGGAACACAAAAAGCCCAAAAGGGTGCTTTCGATTTCCTCCAAGCAATTCAAGGACAAATTCACAAAGACTGGGACGAAAAAACTCTCTTGGCTAAACCACCGACTCTCTTGGACCTCCAGACTTGTATCGCCAATCTGGTAGGCACAACGGACTTTGCAGGATTTATGCAACCAAGGATTCAGGGAAAGGACAAGATTTTGTTTTCTACTGTGTCCAATTACATGAAGTTAATTAGAGAGTGGATCACTCTGAACTATCATGGTTGGAAACTCGACGAATGTGACGAGGCAAGCTACCAAATGACTCTAAGGATGACACATGTCTTGGGCCTTACTCGCCGCGGTGGTTTCTTTAATCGTCAGGCCCTGGGCTATCGAACAGTTACTCACATCCACCTTCACCAAAGAGGGTCACCCAACTGGGATGTAGCGATCTCTCGACTCTTGACCATCAGCCTAGCAGTGGCAACTGGTTGCCGCGCAGGGGCCCTAACCTTAAGCAGACACTACGTCAACAACAAATGTCTTTTATATGAAGACATCATAATTACAGTCCAACCAGCTACGCTCTCTGTGGCTTCTTCTCGCCAATATTCCTTGCAGGATATTGTCACTTGTGTTATTCACATAAAATATGACAAGCAGTATAAACAAGTGAACAATCCTGGAAATCACCACAGTGTCATGCCGCAATTCAAAAACCCTGGTGTTTGTCCTATTGTTTGGTTGCTGACTCATACCCTGCAACATGGACTGGTTGTTGGGGGAAATACAGTACATGACGTCTTGAATCACCAATATCCGGCTGTATGGCGAAAAAAAAATTGAAAAAAATAAAAAAATGGCAAAAAAATACAAAAAAAATACAAAAAAAATACACAAAAAATACAAAAAAAATAAAAAAAAAATACACAAAAAATACAAAAAAAATACAAAAAAAGTACACAAAAAATACAAAAAAAATACAAAAAAATACACAAAACATACAAAAAAAATACAAAAAAAATACAAAAAAAATACAAAAAAAATCCTCCGGATATCCCCCACGTTGGACTACCAAACCGGCCGGAGTAACCGGCGCTGGATACTTCCAACACCGTTTACATGAACCGGACTCGACAGATGCTCCGACGGGTACTCAACGGAGCTCCGGGGCCGGGACTTACCTTGAGCTCAACACATGCACAATCAAGGCTGGTTCAGCGCTATTGCAGAATCACTGTTTGTATGTTCAATGCATCCCACAGGCAATATAATCGGCTGTCTCTGTTTGCTCCTCCCAGCCTTGTACACGTCCCCACGCCTAGGATTTGTAATCATTGGGTCCGCGACAGGCCCCGGCCCCGCCGCTGCAGAACTTGAATGCTTACGTAAACCATTTGGAGGGGACTAAGGGTACTCAAAGCAAGTATGTGGCGCTACATATGTGGCACCACATACTTTCAAATTTTGTTTTTGACAGGCAAAATGACCTACGCTGACATTACAATATGCCAAATATAATTCAATATGTCCTTTTCTTCAACTCGTTATGGTATTACCTTTGCTAAAAAGGTTGACACCTTGAGCCCGTTTTTTTTTTTGGCTGCCCACTGCAGCACTGCGCCGCAGCCGACTCCTGAACCAGTCAAATTTG